TCTCAACTAAAGATACTGAATATAAATGTTCAGAATATAGAAAACTGCACAGAATATGATTCTTTGGCATCAAATGAACTAAAAAACACCAACAAAACGTATATTTCTATCCTGCACACAGTTTATAAAGAATGCTAAAAAATTAGCACAGATTCAGCATGTTTTTAATAATAAAGTTAAGTAAATCTATAATGAAATCCATTTGTAATCTTTGTGCATATAAATAGCTTAATTTCTTCATGAGATATTCAAATTTTGAAAAAAAAATATTCCACTTTTCTAAAAATGCTGGAAAAGTGTCTGTATGTTGAGATATTGTCCAGATGTTAGGCCCAGTTTTTGAAAGTTTCAGGTGTCCCCAAGAAAAATTGTCCATATGTTGGGTTGTCTGCATTTCAGGGTCTCACTGTACTTACACAAGTGGGCTCTTTATACAGCGGAATTCTGGGGATGGTGAACAAATTGTTTTAGAGAGAATTTTGATTGCAGAGAACTGTCCTCTATCTTGAATTGTTTGGAATTTTCGAGATGTTTGTTTTTATGTACGACGTAGCGTTTCCTACGCTGCGTCGCACTTACTGCGCCTTTCCTGTTCCTGCGCTGCGGGCGACATCTAGTCGACCCGCGACACTACCAATGGAGGAGAACTTAATTCGAACAGCGTCAGGCGGGGTTTCAAAACTTCAGAATAATCTTATTACATCCATTTTCACATTCATAAACATTCCATCTTTAACACATCATAAGCTGATTATTTCTCTGATATTACGCTAATTTTAGTACAATCGTATGAAACTCGCACTTGTAATTCTACGCCATTCAAGATTGCATGCTGGCTTTCCTGTATGATGACCCCGCCCCTCTCATTTATTTTCAGCAGAAAAGTTTGACTTATTTATTACAGTGAGACCCCAAGATGTGGACATAATTGGTGCTAAAACTGTGTCCCTATGTCAGAATGTACATATGTTGGACCTTGTTTTCCAACAGACTTCAATGGGAACTAATTCAATTGGTTCTCCAGATCCCAAAAAAAATGTGTTTCTCAACTAAAGATACTGAATATAAATATTCAGAATATAGAAAACTGCACAGAATATGATCTTCTAGCATCAAATGAACTCGAAAATACAAACAAAACGTATATTTCTATCCTGCCCACAGCTTATAAAGAATGCAAAAAAAAAATTAGCACAGAATCAGCCTGTTTTTAATAATAAAGTTAAGTAAACCTATAATGAAATCCATTTGTAACCTTTGTGCATATAAATAGCTTTATTTCTTCATGAGATATTCAAATTTTGAAAAAAATATATTCCACTTTTCTAAAAATGCTGGAAAAGTGTCTGTATGTTGAGATATTGTCCAGATGTTGGGCCCAGCTTTTGAAAGTTTCAAGTGTCCCCAAGAAAATTTGTCCATATACTGGGGTGTCTGCATTTCAGGGTCTCACTGTACTTACACAAGTGGGCTCTTTATACAGCGGAATTCTGGGGATGGTGAACAAATTGTTTTAGAGAGAATTTCGATTGCAGAGAACTGTCCTCTATATATATATATATATATATATACAGTGGGCCCCCATGTTACGTCATCAATCCGTTCCAGGATGGACGTCATAACATGGGGCCGTCATAAGTTGAAACCCTATTTCCCTTAAGGTTACATTATACAAAAATTAATTTGTTCCAGAAAAAAAATATTTACCTAAAATTTCCTTCATAATTCAACTTTTTGTCAGAAATTGCATTAATAGACACAAGACATGTTTGAAAGATTGTATAAAACAAAAGTGATAGGGGGTAGGGTAGTGAAATAGGGTAGGAGGAGAATGATTTTCACAATTTTGAGAACTTCTCACAACTTTTTCCATCCTTCATTTTAAAGCTTGATTTTGAGTCTGCATTGGTTTACAATTTTTAAATTGAGTGTTTTTTAAAGATGTGTGAAGAAAGAAATTGTGCACAAAATTTCATGTCATACATGCATTTTGAGTTTTGAAATTTTGGTGAGTTCATCCTCCAATTTTCAAGGCTTGATTTTGAGTCAGCATAGGTTTTAAAATTTATAAATTGAGTTTTTTAAGGCGCAAAGAAAGAAATTTAATACATACTGTGCCCAAAATGTCATGTCATAAACACATTTTGAGTGTTGACATTGTTTGAGTTCATCCTTCACATTTTAAAGCTTGATTTTGAGTCTGCTAAAGTTCTACAATTTTTGAATGGAGTGTTATTGCAGGGAGTAAGAAAAAATGATGTGGCAGGAATAATTCCTCCATTGCTACTTGTTTTTTTGGTGGTGTGGTTGGAAACGAGAGGAAGACTGGAGTGGGGAAAGTCAAAGTGCTTTTATAGTTGTAACATGAAACCCTGACGTAAGTTGGGGGTTTTTTTGATTTAAGAAAAGCGTTGTAAGATGAAACGGACGTAACATGGGCCCGTCGTAAGTCGGGGGCCCACTGTACAGTAATTCTGTACAATGGGTATAGATGAGATCCCTGTGTGAAACAATTTATGCAGATAAAAATTGATCTAGACAAAAATTTTGTACAGAGAGAGAGAGAGTCTACCTGCCTAATGATATAGATATACTGTACACAGTGTACACTGTACAGCATACTGTATACCTACATTATATATTTAAGCACATAATTTTGTTTTACCTATTAATGTCAGGTGAATGTGACACTCGAAGCTTCAAGTTGGGCAAGGGCTCAATGGAAAGAAAACATTTCCCAGTTTGACCTGTCTGAACTTCACAAATCTGCTGAGCACGAAAGACTATCCAGACTTTTCAAGGCTGTCGAAGTCCTTGGGTTTGCTGCTTTGGATGATGACAAACTGGCTCAAGTGAGTTGTGCTACATAAAATCAAACTTTATCATTTCTAGAACCAAAAGAATATTTTTTTGCAGAGGACAAATATCGAGTCAGACATGACTTCCATCTACAGTTCTGCCAAAATATGCCCCTTTGACAAGCAGAATTGTAACCTGAAGAAGGATACAACCTGGTCTCTTGAACCAGGTCAGTGAAAATTACCTCAAAACATGTATTCAAAGGCACTTATTTAATTTCCTGCTTCGTGATTATTTTTTCATCAGTGATTCACCCACGCATTTCACGGAATAAACAGCGAAATCTCGTCACAACAGATCTGTTGAAACTGGCAAAAAGCTGCGTTATAAATATAAATGCGTTGTAAATCGCTTTAAATATCATTATTGCTATAGGGCAGGGACTCGAAAAATGACTTTACTGTACGAAATAATTTGTTATGAAGAGATTTTACTTCATGCATTACTGAAATACTTCATATGAAGACATTTACGAGTCTGAAAGGAACGAAATTTATAGGAACACAGCAGCTGATTTATTTTACAAATTCCGAAGAACTTTATTAAAGAAATTCTTCTCTAACCAGTTTATTGACTCAAGTGAAGCAATAAATATCACTTCCTTTGAGAGACTCCCGTTATTGTCAACTTCGAAAAAGCCTCGCAGGTTAATGAAGGCAAGAATATTCATGATTGACACTGTGCGATGGGAAATCATTGTGATTCACACATTTTCACTCTTTGTTGTACTGTTTATAAGTACAGTACATTATTTATCACGGTTGACTATCATAACAAACTGCATCTCTTGATGGATGAATTACTAATTATTGCGAAACTTTTGATTCAACATGAATCATGCGATAAATAAGAGCTCGTTTCATATATGCCATGCATGAGAATGTTTCATACAATTTTTCATCTCCCGCATTTGAATTCACAGAGTTGACGGAACTTTTCCGAGTTCAACCGGAAAAAGAAAACTTCGAAAAGTTGGAGTATGTTTGGGCAAAATGGAGAGATGCGTCCGGAAAGCTTATTAGACAGAAGTACTTGGATTACGTCCGTCTGAGTAATGAGGCTGCAATTGCCAACAGTAAGTTCAATTACAATTACCGAACTTTTTCCGTCTTTTAATTTCCACAAGACAATCATATAATCAATAAATAAAGGTTTCATATTTCTTTCGTTTTCTCATCCTTCCTTCGTTCTTAAAGGCTCCGCTTTAATCGTTCCCCAAGCTTTTTAATTGATACCTCGTATTTTCAACTCAACGGAGCAATCGAGAAAATACCGTATACCAAAATGACCCCTTTCGCTCATCAAATATGCTTTATCAATAAGCATATCTTATCTGTGTATCTCTATTAACCCCTTCGAAATTCTAACATCACTTCTTGGTTCCATTTGCAGAAAATAGCATGATCAAAAATGCAGGTGACTTATGGCTAAGAGCTTATGAATCCCCGACGTTCAGAGAAGAAATGGGAAGAATGTACGAAGAACTCAAGCCCTTCTACCAGGAACTGCATGCCTACGTAAGGCACAAACTCAGACAATTTTATGGAGAAGAGAAAATAAGTGCGGCAGGACCAATTCCTGCTCATGTTCTGGGTATGTATACATCTTATTGCTTGTGTAGACAAAATCTTCTGGAAGAAGCGCGTGACATTCGCCTGCCTTCTGTTAGAAAATCCTTCGTATAAACTGCTGGTGAAATAATGCTGTAGTCAACCACTTGAATACTTACAAAAATGCTTCCAAGAAAAAGGCTTATATCTCGATAATGTATACGGTATATCTAATCAATGTATACAATGTAGATGAATCGATTTAAAATAATGAGCTTAGAAAAATCGGGATCATCATTCGGATCAGAAAATTCAATTCAAGGCATGGAATGGGTTTAGTTTTGACCACATATCCGAATTCAAGAATGAGCAATATCACTGATCACATATCTCAAAATTTGCTATCTTGAGAATATGTTTTATTATTCGGATCAGAAAATTCAATTCAAGGCATGGAATGGGTTTAGTTTTGACCACATATCCGAATTCAAGAATGAGCAATATCACTGATCACATATCTCAAAATTTGCTATCTTGAGAATATGTTTCATAAATGCTTGATAAATTTCCTACCTGTCGAAATCAGGGAACATGTGGGCGCAGAACTGGGAATCGATATTCCCCGCAGTGTCCGAATTCAAGACAAAGTCTTTGGACGTCACGGACGAGATGTTGAAGGTGAGTCATCCAAGATTATGTATTTCCTGCCATATGTTTTTCATCCACACGTACGTGTTCCCGGTTATTCGTCCTTCGCAGCAAAATTACACTGTCCGCCGAATGTTCGAGATTTCCGACAAGTTCTTTGAAGACCTCGGGCTAATAAGTGTCAACGACGGAGCCGCTGATTTCTACGGATTATCCATGCTGGAGAGACCGGAAGACGGGCGTGAAGTTGTTTGTCATGCGTCCGCTTGGGATTTCTCCGCCACGAACAAGCTTCCTGGAGACTTCAGGTGATTTCCATTGTCTTTCCAATGATTCACGGGTATTATTCTATGAATTTTCTACGCGTAATTTCAGAATCAAGATGTGCACCAGAGTCAACATGAACGATCTCATCGTCGTGCACCATGAACTCGGTCATATTCAATACGGATTCCAGTATGTAAATCAGTCCCGGTTATTCCGAGGTGGGGCAAATCCAGGTACTGTATTGTATAACCAGATCAAGAACCTCGTGGTCTCAATCAGGAAGAATATGAATCTTACTCTTGATTGAACAGGTTTCCATGAGGCCATCGGTGATACTCTGGCGTTATCAGTGTCAACCCCGAAACACCTCAAGTCCATTGGATTGCTCAGCGAGGATTTCAAGGTGGACGATGAAGCTGAGCTTGCTTTTTTGCTCAGGATGGCGCTGGAGAAAGTCGCCTTTTTACCTTATAGCTACGCTATGGATTTATACCGCTGGAAAATATTTGATGGATCCATCACCTCTGAGAATTTGAATTCTGAGTGGTGGAAACTCAGGTGAGCTCGAAATGAAACGCATCTCCGTTTCACTGGCACTTAAAGGCATTACATAATACTTCTTCTCAAACTGGTAGGCTTTCGAATGATGAATTGAAGCTCAGTTTCACACTAAATCTATTGAAAGATACGGTTCGTGCATTGCAAGAGAATTATGGGAAGCCATCTTTCCACGAAACCGATTACTATATACAGTATAAACAGTTCCGCGAAATTCATGAACCCATTAATTTTATTATCACAGAGAGGGTTTTGTTCCCTAGTGTGGGGGAGACTTTGCAAGGCTCCTTCTAAAGCTGCGACCAAGGTTTAAGGTGCAGCGTCGGCCCCACGGAATGTAAGCGATGAAGCAGCGGAAGTAAGAAGTCAAGCTGAAAGTAGAAACTTTGTGCACTGCTGCCGGGCAATTTAATCCTTCGGATCCGGCTGAGCACTTGTTACACAACTGTGACATCAACGGAAACTTGAAGGCTGGAGGAAAACTCAAGTAAGTCACCCGATTCTACGCCTGAAATTCGGTATCGGAGCCCGCTTCAAAAGCCCGAGAAATCTCACCTAGATTCGAGTCCAGTCACTCAACAAAAATCCTTCTCCTATTATGAAGTACTGTAATGCTATTCAACGAACCATACACAACATTTCCACGGATATCCTCACTCATCAATCTTTGCAATCAATCGGCTCTTGTCGAAATTATACGGTACACGGCCATTTTGTTTCCTTTCATGATTCACAACTTGAACGCAGTGAAAGTGACGTTCTGTCGATCATCATTCTGAATTCGCTGCTGTAGAGCAAAATGCCAGCTAATTTTACAGTTTGAAAAGTTCATCAGCTAGTTTTCCAGCTACGAACTTCTCGCTGTTTTTAGAAAAAATGTACATTTTTAGCTCAAGCCACAGGGTACTAAATTTCCGAACTGTCTCGTTCAATCGATCCACAGGAAGTTACTGGAAGCTGGGAGTTCCAAGCCTTGGAAGGAAACCTTGTTCCAGCTGACGGGGAGAAGGGAAATGTCCGTTCAGCCACTGCTCAACTATTTCAAAAAGCTACGCGACTACATCCAGAAGTATTTGAAGACCAACAACGTGCCGGTCGGGTGGGAGAATTCATTGTAAGTCACGAAAAAAAATCGTTCCTATTTATTCACGTTCGTTGAGTTTACGCAATTGACAGAACCGTTTCGAAGAAAAATAAAACATTGTTTTCAACTGCAATGCAAAATATATTATCGCTTTCTCTCGATTTTGCGCGCGTTTAATTGATAGCTAACAAAATCCAGGCACTCGACTTCGTTCTCTTGTGCCCGAAACACGTTTCCAGCATAAACATGAAAAACGTCAACGTAAGATTACAGTACATAAAATTTTAGCAATGCGTCCGTTCCTGACGCACCTTTGGCAGCACACTTGAACGGAGATCTACCACTTGAATGCATCTTCTGCCTCGTTGTGAAGTCATACGATGTGAACAACTCGCCTTTCCAAACAATGATTGGCTAAATACTCGTCCCACATTTTGCTGAATACCATCGGAATGTACAGTATACATTTTTGTCTATCCTTTTCAGATAATTTTCCATGTTACAATCTACTGAAAACACGGTTTTAACCCTGATTTTTTTCTTCCATTTTTTCGCAACAACGCCTTCATCACAGAAATTGAAAAAATAACGATTCAATATATGCTAAGTCGCGATGTACAAACGCACGATAACCAAACAACGTATGCTTAATCATGAATTCAACAATAACTCAAGATTCTCGAATGAAAAATAATAATGATTCACTCGGCAGCAAACATAACATAGCTACGGTAATCTTCGAAAATCGAAGATGATTCAGAATGAATCTTTCTTTCGTGCTCTTCAACTGTCTCAATTTTAGAACAGAAATTTCACGGTAACGCATTACCTTGTGTTCGCGAGATTTGAGAAAATATAAGCAATGTATATCAACAACAATAATATCAATATCCACAGTCTTAACGCAAAAATTCGTGACCATGCAATCACTGAAAATATTGATTCGAGGTTCAAATTCGGTAAAACCTCTCCCAGAACAGTCCTTTCCTACCAGTTTACGTGCTGTACTTCGAACAATTTCAGTCATGGGATTGTGTAAATACTGCAGTTGAACCTCTTCAAGTCAAACTTACAGGGACCAGCAAAAATTGTTCAGTTGGGGAGGTTTTGGGTAAGGGATACAAGCATTATTGTTAAGGGGGAAAAAAAGGATTACATAGAAGAGTTATTTGTGTTATTCTGGGCCTTAAATTGCTTTTCGATTGAGTTGACAGGATGCTGAACTTGGAGGCAGGGGTTCATTTGCCCAATTGGTCTTCCATTTCCTTTCAAAGCACACCAAGTTACACTTTCTATTGCTTTTCGATTTCCTGTGTCAACAAAATATTCGCGAAATGGCCCCAGAAAATTTGAGTTACGCAGGTTTGAGAGGAAAAACTTTCGAGTACGGGAGGTTTTGTTTCTATTCATTGTTTCTAATTAGGGACTATTAAGAAATTTGACATAGGGAGGATCGAGTTACGAAGTTCCAACTGTACTAGCTAATTATCAAGTGCTACCCCTCATAGGCACATTACGGGTTGAACACTGTACTGTAATTGTACATCCCTAACTTTCTCGAGACAAAACTCTTTCATGCGAAGGAAAAACAACTTTCGCATTTGCACAAGTAACACTGGATGACAAAGGTCTCAACCCATCCAAACTCAACTAAAGGGATACGTAGAAGGGTGCTGGATGACCATCAGCTTTGGACAACTCTGGTTCGTCAGGCTCTTTGAGAAAATACACAGGCGTCCACTGCTTGTTCATACTGGACCTCTTGATGGCCTCCATCACCGCCACCACATGCTGGCCATCTTCAAACGAAGCAGCGCCCGCAATGGCGTCCTTGTTCCACTTGATGTTGCCTTCCTCGGCACCGACAAACGCCGCCCTCAAGCTCTCAACGAGTTTCAAAAGCCCTCGCAAAATCGGCCACGGCTCGTCCACATTCGCCGGCACGGATCCATCGTCGCTAAACAGAAGTTCTTCTTCGTCCGAGTCCCACTTTTTCCCATACAATTCCGAGTCCCGAATCTTCAGCGCTCCTCGCGTGCCAGACACGAACAATTCCAGGTTAAAGTCCGTCTTTCTAGTGCTCCGAACCCCGAGCGTCGCATTAACACTCACATTTCCCGTGAGCTCCATCTGGAATGAACAAAACGTGTCGCTGTTGACGCGACGGAATCCATTCATGACGGCATTGTCCAGGTACTTGAGGAGCCCATTGACCAAATGCGGCTCTTGACCCGTGAGAAACAGCACGGCGTCCACGACGTGCGCTCCAATGCACGACAACACCCCACCGCCCATGGCGCCGTCGCACGTCCAGTCGTACGTGTCCGCGTGGACAGGGCCAGTGTCTACACGCACGTCGCAGAGTTGCACCTGGCCACAAAACCCGCCTTGAATCAGCTGCTTTGTCACGCCAAACACCGGCAACAGACGCAGTCCGTAACTCATCACCGTGATCAAAGTAGGATAATATTGCGACGCCTGGACTGTTTTCACCACGTCAGCCTGAACGAGGCCACCCGGTGGGTTGCACACGACGTGTTTGCCGATCCCGAGGGCCTTGATGAGGATCTGCGACTGGTACTGCGGCGGACACACAACGAAGATCACGTTCACTTCCTTGTGGAGCACGATCTCGTCCATTTTGGCTGTCCAGAACGGGATGCCCAGGGCTTTCGAGGCGGACTGGCTTTCTTCTGCGGTTCGACCCCAGATGGCCTTCACTTCGAAGCCTTGCTTCCGAAGCATCGGGACGAGCGCGTAGATCACTTTGCCCGTCCCGAATATACCGACTCCAGGCATCATTTTCACCTGCCGCAATAAAACGGTTCATGTTTTTCTTTAATTTTTATAGCCTCGTTTCAAATTATTCAGCAATCAACGTTTTCACGAATATTTGCAGACCTACGATGATGAGCATCATACATTTCTTCATGCCCTTGTTGCGTGATTAAATTAATTACAAGCAGTAATCCAGGAGCAGGAAAACGCACTGCAAATATTTCCCAAGGTTAAAAAGTAGGTAAACGAATAGTCTGAACTTTTAGAAGTCAAAACAGGCACAGGATGCAAAAACTTCTCGCATGGGAACGCCTCTGAGGTAACAACCTTTGGAAAAGTATTTTGCATGCGAATCTTTAGATGTACACAAATTTTCCACGAGCAAACTTCGCACGAAGACGAAAAGCTTATCGTATTAGCGTAAATATGCTAAGGTATTTCTCTCAATTGGAAGAGAAATCTCAACAATACTCGTGGGACCGAAAGTAAATCGTCGTACAGAAAATACAGTGAACAGTAAATATTGAAGCTGCTCGTGGAAGATCTGTCAGGATCAGCGATCTTTATTTTTACGATAAATAAAAAATATCTTGAATTGAAATTTGAATAATGTTATAATAAAGCTCCTGTTACAACGTTTACGAAGGATTTACATCCTTACAGCGAAGGTACGACTTGAGATTTACGCACAGAATGTGTATATAAATTTGTGTTACTGCAATTCAAAATCTCAATTCACACTTCAAAATTGGAATTTAAGGAAGAATCCCGCAACGCAATAATCCGTTTTTCACATTGACAATAAAGTCATAATATTGTTGACGAAGTCTAAATTTACGCACAAACTTGAATGAAAAGTTCAACATAAATTCTGTTCATCGTCACAATGTAAAGTTTTCTCAATGCTTGGGATTTACAAACAAGAGTAAATATTTGAAAATGGACGTATTCTACAGTCTACTCTGTATGATATTTACGAATACTCTCTAAATTTGGCCCTCAACGGTTGTCCTGTTGTTGTTCCAAGTTAAAAGGTAAATGTGCGTCTCAGAATCGCATCAAAATATCTGAAGACCAGCAATCATGCAAATTTACAGTATTTTGTTCCAAGGAATCATTTTGTCATGCTTTTTCGAAGACTGAACCGCTCACCGTATCACATTAGAAGTCGATGCGACGGAAACAGCACCACTGGAAACACTGCACATGTTTCTAGCCTCGTCCGAGAACCGAAACAGAACAAAATATCACAAACCTAACCGTACATCTGAAAGGAGAGAACACGTCCGGTTAGTTTTCAAAATCACCCGTCGCACCATAGTTCTCACACTCGTTTTTCATCTTCGCTTCTTATATACTTTTCTTTTCCTACTAGTTCTCACAGAGAAATATATGAGGTTTCTTTTTCACTGGTCTCCCCACAGTTTCTTATCCAGGTAATCGGCGAACTTCTGCGGATTCCCGCGTTCGAACGGGCGCAGGGACGAGAAGTCGGACTGTAAAATCACTTTTGGCAATTCGGCACAGTAGCAGGCAAACAAGTGGCCCTCGGTCGCCAATTTCTCCGCCAATTCTTCCTGATGGTTGTCCATGAGCGATTCGTTTATCACTACGACCGCCGGTTTTCCCAGCTCGAGCAACTCCAAACACGTGCCGGAGCCCGCGTGGGAAACAACGAGATCCGCCGATTTCATATCGTCCAAAATGGACGACTTGAACCGAAACGCTTCTACATAGTCCCCCGACTTTCGCGCGATAACTTCGGGGTCAAAACGGCCTTTCCCGATTTGTAATTTCACTTTCGTGAATCCCAAGTTTCTCACAGCGTCGAGGAAATCGTCCTTCAGCGTCGCTTGGATCAAACTGTCGAAGCTTGTCGTTCCAACAGTCACAAACAGCTCCTTGGGCTTCATATCCGTATCCTCTTGCTTCAATTTACCGTTAACTCGAATTTGTTCCACAGCTGGTCGTTAACGTCGTAATTTTTCATCGCTTTCTCGATAGAAATCCATCTTCCGAAAATCCCGAAGTCGACTATGCGATGTCTTAAAATCTAACACAAAAAGAAAAAGTTTTAAATTCAGAATTTGATACTTTGGACTGACGTACAGGCCGAAATGCGGAGCGAACAATTTAAAAGTAACTGAACGATTCAAGAAAAATAAACATTTCACAGCAATTTCAACATCGTCGAATGTTGACTAAGCTACAAGAAAAGTTCAACACAATACTGTACTGTGATAATAAAAAAAAGCTATCGTAATTGAATAATGACAATGGTGTTTCGTGTTGAGAAAAATTGTCTCAACAACTATTCATTTAAACGATTTTTTCTCGGAAGTTCGTCGTTTGCTTCCTCAATGCGGGCCTCAAAATATAAAACATTAAATGTATAGTGCACGAAAGATTGAATAACGAAAGGCCAATTCAATTTGAACACCCAACGAAGCAAACAACCGAAACGTATAAAAAATTAATATTTTTATATTCCCGTTTCTGAGCACTGGCTACTTCGTGGAAACTACTTTTTCAAGACACGTATCAATGATGTGAAATTACCGATAACGTCAACAAACTTCAAGTGGTTCAACTCCAGTCAAAACGCAGCACATAATTAGAAACACTTCTGTGTGAACATCATTACCGAAAGGGTCAGAACGACCTAGCAATTGCCAGAATGAGGCACGTAGCTTAAGCCACTATTACACAATATTCGCAGGCACTGAAGGCAAAGATTCGAAACATAGCATACCTCAAAATAGCTCGGCTGCAAAAACGAGCACTGAGCGTAATAGACGTCAGTCAACGCGTCAAAATCGGCTTGCCAGACTACGGAAAAAATGCCCAAACTCTGATGTCGAATCAGACCCTCATTGAAGCCGCGATACAAAGACCGGATACGCTCGTCAGCTTCTGGATTCCGCGTTCCAAGCGTGGTCAACGCGAGTCTTGAATTGTAGGCCACCACAACCTCTCGAAAACTGCTCTCGTTTGGGTTCGTGCTCCGTGCAAATCCCAGAAGCCCGAGACCCGCCAAGAATGACAAGTATCTCGAAGGTCGCTTTATCGAATCAGAGTAAGTATCTACTGCCACGTCCTTGTAGTCACTGATAAGCTGCTTCCAGTAAGCCCCTGGAAAAGATGAGCCATGCGTGAATACGAGTGGAGAGGATCCAAAATCCTGACGAAAATCAATGCAGAGAAAATGATGACTGCGGTACTTTTACGGATTTTTAACGTTGGTACCAAATGTGATCTAAAGCTACGAAGGATTGAAATACTTGCCCCATTTTTGAATAATTGGCCTCGATTTGAAAGCAGTCCAAACACGGCTAGCCAGCTTTGAAAGGCTTCAGATCCTCCACGAAACAAAAGATTTATTTTCCAATTTCTGCGCGGAAGGTCGAACATGAGAACATCACGTGCGAAAAGAAGTACAGTACATGATCAACGCACGGACGCAGAAGCATCCAGACACCATAGCCTCTATTTCTCACATAACGCCTGACTAAAATCGGTACAATATTGCACTAAAATCCAAACATTAATCTTCCACAATACGTTAAAAGCTTTTAGGAACCTTTTCGGGACGACTTTTGATCATTCGTGGCAGAAAAGCCCCAACCGGAAGAGATGTCAACCTCCCGGATTCTTGAAATTGAAACAAACACCGGGGAATCGCACACAACGGAACCGAAAAACTTCATATCAAATTTGCATACAGGAAAATCGTAGGCATGCTTGAAACAAACAGGGCGAAAATGGTGAGAATATTGTGCCCCGCGATTCAGTCATAGAAATTGCACTAAACCCCTCCGGGCATTCCTGGCTTCTAGGACTTCATGGAAATAAACGATGCCAGATGGATGAAGTTCTGCATGGGTTCAATCGTGGTTTATTCCAACCTGGGTTTTCAAGCTTCGGACAACGCGGCAACTCCAGGAAGAACTTTGCCTAAATCAACAATCGTCACGGTGAGGTTTCATTGATTCATAGATTTCTCAAAATTTATTGACAAACCTTCGAGGAGTTCCAACGAAGCTCCACCACCAGTGGAAACGTGAGAAACCTTGTCTTCGGTGCCCCATTTGGCGCAACAAGTTGCCGTATCACCACCACCGATAATTACGGTTGCCCCCTTTGAAGTGCCTTCCACAACTGCGTCCATGATCGACTTAGTTCCAGAACTGAAGTTCTTGAATTCGAATACTCCAACAGGCCTTCAAACGAACAAAAACATACACTATACATTACAGAAGGTTAGGAGAAAATACTGCATTAAAAGACCAAGTCATTCAACCGCGCAGCAAAAAATCCGAGTCACTCCTGTTCACTTACGAAATTAAGTTTCAGACAAGTTCAAAGCGTCACAATAGTAACACAAATGAGACAAACGGAAAAGTGGATGGAATCCAAAATACTGTAAAATAACCGCTGCAATGTTCATTATATTCTGACTTTTATAATATCGGTCTTTTTTCTGGCGAGAACAACGATTCTGTACACAGCCGGTTAACAGGAGAAAAATGTACTCGCAATCGTCGCAAATATACAATATGCAGTACAGTAATGAGTTGACAGGATGCTGAAACTGGAGGCAAGGGCTCATTTGCCCAATTAGTCTTTCGCTCAATTAGTATTTCGCTCTCTTTCAAAAAGCATCAAGTGACATGTAAGATGTTCATCACTCTTATCTTTCCTGCATTAATGAAATACAGTACTGTAAAACCAAATGGTCTCCAGAAAATTTGAGTTATGGAGGTTTGCGGCCTTTGAGTTTGGAAGGTTTTTAATGCATTGTTCCTAAGGGAAATTAGAGAGGGACTTGGAAAAAATTTGAAAAAAGGAGGGAATTCAACTTAGAGAGGTTCGAGTTAGAGTGGTCCTCACAAAGGCATGTTTATGCTATTTGCTCAAGAACGACTCTATAATAGGTGATGCTCCTGTTTTCAGTCCACAGAAGAATCAGGCATGTCTTTCCTATCAAGGTTGAACCGTTTTCTAAAAAACTAGCTCAACGCTCGAGAAAAAATTCAATTTGTAGATGGCAAAATTTGTCCTAAAGATGACTAAATCAATAGCAGCTTTATCGCGCAATTTTCACGAAGGTTGAATCACTTGAATGCGATCATGGATCCTTAACCCATGAAGTCGGAGCAAAGCCTGAAAACTTCGAGAAAACGATTCTGAGCCTGAAACTAACCTATACAGTAATGATTGGGAATTCGAATTTCGCACATTGAATCGACTCATTCCGACCAATTATGCATGTGACATTACCCATTCCAAACGATCGTCTTGGCACGATGCAAGGGTTCCAAAAAGGCGGCTTCGGTGGCAGGTCCAACGTCCAGACCCATCCAACCATCTGGAATGCCGGACTCGACAGTGGCAGCGTCCACTTGCGCGTCTTCAGCGAATTTATCCGCAGTACGGAAATCCTTGGGCAAGTGAATCTGGACTCCCTTGGCCTTAGCCTTTTCCATCAGCTTCCCCACAATTTTGGCCCCTTCCTCATCAAACAGAGATGATCCAATCTACGAATACACCGAAGAGTTGATGGATGAAGGTTTCTGACTGACAAAATGCTCTAATTACCCTCTAATTGAGAAATTTGTTCACAGTATTATTCAAAATTTGGCAATTCTCAATTGATTTCACCTGAACCCCTCTGGGATTTGCATCTAGCGCATTTAATCAATTATAAACGCTCTTTTCGATTTTTGAAGCTGAAAAACTGGGGGGATCTGGTCCTTACAAAGGCATGTTAATGTCATTTGCGCAAAAATGCGTCTAAACTATGTGATATTCCTGTTTTCGGTCCACAAAACAATCAAGCATTTCTTTTCTTCAGTTCTTTAAAATGGAGGTTTGAAAAAATCAAGAAATGATCAGCTTTTCACACTCGAAGATTCATAAGTTATTGACTGAAGTAAAACAGCAAAGGTTGTATGACACAGTTTTTTCTTTTACGGGGAAAACCTGAATTTCGTCAGGACCTTTAGGTTCCTAGAAAGCCGGAACAAAAACAAAATACTGTGAGTGGGTTCTTACATTTTCCTATTTATGGGATTTTCAATTTGTGCACAAAAAATCTATGGAGGTGCTTATGCGGTATTTCAGATAGGTGCCACTGGAATTTCTGAAACTTTCTTCGAGCACGAAAATATTAGGTTAATGTGGGTTTGATAAGGCAAGGTTGAATTATTTTTGTTCAAATTCAGGGAACCATTTGACAATCGTGGAATACTACAAATAAAATATTTGAAAGTTTGAAGTGAAATAAGTCAGCATTTAAACGCTACATCTGCATTTTTAAAATTCTTCTCCCCGATTAGAAAGGTCCCACCCAAGACAGAAAGTCAGTTCACGGATGATGAACGAAGAAATAACATAATGTCGAATTATTTTTGAAATTGAAAAAAAGGTAAAATGGTCGAAGGGTAATTTTTCAAACATACTAGATATTGGAATTAAGGCGAGGTAAAACTCGTACCTTCATGCCATTCAACTCCTTCAAAAACGTAAACGCCATTCCGCCACCGATGATCATTTCATCCACCTTGTCCAACATGTTCTCAATCAGCTGGATCTTGTCCTTCACCTTAGCTCCACCCAGAATCGCCAAAAATGGACTGAAAGCGGCAAACCGGATTCAAAAACTCAAGGATACTTTCATCATCCTTCAAATATCAAACCAACCGTTCCGGATTTTCCAAAGCTTTTGCAAAGTAGGTCAACTCCTTTTTCAACAAGAACCCAGAAGCTCGCTTTTCGAACCCTTCTCCCACCATAGACGAATGGCCTCGATGAGCTGTTCCGAATGCATCATTCACATAAACGTCGCCCAATTTGCGCAGGGACTGCCTGAAGGCTGCAACCGCATCAGGAGAGGCTTTAATCTAAGAAGGAAAATGACTATATATATTTGAGGTCTTGCCATGTGCAAATCGAAAACCTCAACTCACCTTGCTTCCCGAAGCATCTACACCCTTTCCTTCTTCCTCAACGTGATAACGCAAGTTTTCCAAAAGAATCACGGAACCTTGAGCTGGATTGGCACAGGCCGATTCAACCTCGGGTCCAACGCAATCTTCCAGGAATTTCACATCACTGAAAGTTCAAATCGCCTCAGTAACTCACTGCATAATAGAAGATCATCTGCAAGCTTACCGTCCAAGAAGCTTCTGAACCTCAGCAGCAATTGGCTTTAGGGAATATTTATCCACACGAGATCCATCAGGCCTTCCCAAGTGCGACATCAAGACTACCGACTTTGCCCCGTGATCCAAAACATGCTTAATCGTATCCAGTGCCGCTACAATTCTTTGGTTATTGGTAATGACTCCATCTTTCATCGGCACGTTGAAATCCACTCTGCAAAACAGTTCGGGTGAAAATGAGACCAGAGAGACAAAGGCTCTTTCAAACAAGATATCTCCTGAATTTTATATTACATGAAGCTTGCATTTGTTAGTTTTATTTGATTATGCTGGTTGGGTTACGCTGGGATGATGTTACGTTATTTCACGCAACACTAAACGGATTCCCGCCGTTTTTGATATAGGCGACACCTGCCCATAACTCAAGAAAAAAAACTGTGCCGTAAGTGCGAATCATAAAATACTGTCCTGAACATTAGTGACAAATAAATCACATGTGCTTTCCCCATTGGACTTCGGGGGGCGTGAAATACAAATCAACATTTCAACCAGCTTTTATGACATTTTGAAGAACTTTGAAACAACCATGAAGATAAAAAAGATAATCAACACAATAATAATATTACGATAACTTCTATCAATCAATTGTCAGACAGAAACCTGATGATGACGCGCTGGTCCTTGACATCCACATGGTCAATGCTCAACTTATTCAACGACATGTTCACGGAACCAGATACACACGCGAAGCTCGCACGAAGTCTTCCAAAGATTCTGGCTTGAAAAACGATCAAATTTCTGGTGAATAACATTGGACTGATTTCCCGGGATTCCTCGAAGACTTCGGAATTAGATTCGCGATTACGTCACAACATTAGGGAAATTAGGGAAGCACTCCGGAGAAAACATGACATTTTGAACACTTCTGACCTTGCTCCCCACTGACGAACACATTCGTACACATGTACAATTCCCCGTGCTTCCCGAATGGAAAAGAATTCCCAGTTGCACCCGGCAAACCACGGTGGATTTTTCGCAAATGCTCCGACGAAGAGCCCATCGGCTCGAACCTACGTGAGCACAGTTCACAGAGGTTTGGGGACACGTGACTTTAGTCATGCACAATACGCATGTGCCGCTGAACGTCTCCTATTCACGCAAGGGAACTTCTCACAGAAATCGCAATGGGAAGTGATTCCTGCACGTTGCACCCCGTGGTGGCGTTACCCTCAACCTCCGGGGCTGTTCTTATGCAAGCCAGCAGCGCCAAAGGAAACGGTACTCAAACTGGTGGCGACATTTTAAAGCGTGGCAAAAATTGTTCTATACTCAATGCAACTAAAAATTATAAAATGAACAATATTTTAACACGCTTCAACTCCTAATAATAAACTTTGCACATATTTTGTGCCATGGTCTGTACAAGGCCTCCTGTGAAAATATATTTTCACAAAATTAAACATTTTTTCGGCCGAAGTTAACACTTCTCCAAGAATCACCAATGAATTGAATTCACACTTAATTTTGTGGAATGAAACACTGCCTCAGTGCTCACTGCGGAAAAGCCGCCACAGAACTTCACTCGGCTGATTAGGTATAGACCCGCCAGACGGCACGGTACCCACCGGAGTACACCCTGCCGAGGCGAGGTATACTCCTGGAGTACGTTTTGGTGCGAGTATACTGTGCCATCTACACCGATCTGAGTGGAAGTTGTACCATAACGTCGCGTCACGAGTTGAAAGACGTTGGTAGGGCGCTACAAGCAAGTGAAGCAACATAACGTTTGGACTTCTCAGCGATAACTTGGATAATGAATCAGCGTACGATGAATGATGCTCGTTACAAAAATAGAGCGGTTGAGGACTCCATATTTCCCCAGTTGATCGGAGCCACATCCTCATTTTAACACTTGACGGCGATATGAACAATGAATTCAATATCATCGCACAACTAAAATTTAGCATCGGTTTTCAAGCCATTTGCACAGGGCAATCTCCGGGATCGAATCGGATTCTGAACCAGGGTCATATCTTCCAGTCCCTTTCGAAATGGCGAAACAGAAATCGGACACGGAGTCTAGGTTCTGCGTTGCAACATTCAACCGGTGTTGCAAGTATTCATCAGTATTCCGCAGTTCCAAGTAAGATTCACAGATACACAGAACGTCACGATAATTTGATTCCACGGAAGACTAAGGCAGGAACCGGGAATGATTCGAAAGCAACTTCACAGAATATCTTTCAATAAAATTCACTACAGCACAAGTCCTGAAAAGGAAGAGCATTTTTTGTATACTCGTCGTTCAAAAAGCGTTCCGGATACAGGCACTCATTTTAGACAACGTAATTTCCACTTCAAGTCAGATTCAAACCTCAGTAATGTAATCGAACGTCGTATCCATGAAGCTCTCCCACACGAAAATTGTGAAAACCATTCAGTACATGAAAAAGTGCAACAGGAAATACGCAAGTAAGCCATTTTCTTCCTCCAAAAAGTCCCCTTTCAATCTTGGAACATTTATCCAACACATTTTCAACATCAAGTACAAATCAGGGCACGAAAAATCTTCATACAACTATCCACGCGCAACAAGAAAGTAAATCACCTTCTGTAGCGATAGCGCTTGAAATGGAACCAAAGCTGAAAAATGGAGTTATGGAATTGACAACGAAACCCGCGGCGATACGAGTACTCCCATTCCCTGTTGACGATCTTGAACGCGATGTCTTCATACGGAGGACCTGCTTTGAATCTCAAGATGGCAAAATCACCTTGGTCACCACACGGTGTCTGAAAAATAAATGAAAAAATACTGTATTTATGTCGAGGCAAATCCTGTACAATATACAGAACGAAATTCGACTCAGTTTTCAAAAAAGGGACTAGTTGGATCACTGCTTAATGTGCTTTCGAAATGAAGGGGTTTAGAGAGGTCATCAGGGTTGTCGAAGAAACATTTTAAAATCGCGGATTAATTGCGTAAAACGAAGAACTTCCTCGGTCTTTTACACATTTTTGACACGCCACGCAAAAATCACAAGTTTATCTTTTCTAACGTGCCTCAGCTTAAACTAGAAAGAACCGATAAGAAACCATTACCGGTGCATTTCACAGGCTATTTTCTTCTGACTTTTCTACGCATGCAGTAAGAAATTAACCCATCCTAAACTAAACGTAAAAGCTCGATTTCAATTCCAATGATTTTCAAAACTAAACTCGAAATTTGCGGTGTTCACACTTTTCTTGTTCGCGTCAGTACTTATCTTCATTCCAGGAGAAAACAGAGTTGATTAAATTCACCCTGGACAGTGACGCCTAACATTTTAAATAAAACGCTCGTGAATAAACATGCAGAGGCCACGAACTACCAAGTTACTTCCCAGAATCCGCCATGTGAACTTACTATTGAATATGCGGGAGTTGAGGACTTGTCCAACAAGTCGGGATAGAAGATGTTGAACTTATACCCTTGCACAATTTTCGGGGGCGGGTTATCCATGTCATAATGCGTCTGGTTGTATTTGTTCCACTCAAATCCAGTGTGGACACGATTGAAATATCGAGGTTTACGTGGTCTGTACTTGTCAGACCACAAGTACGACTGCTGCTCCAGCTCCGCCTCAACTCCGAACACAGCCTCGTCATCAGTCATTCCCTTTCTCGCCTCCTTCTGCAGCGCCTTTTCTTCTGAAGTCATGACATCTTCGACGCGGCGACCTTTGCTTTGCACTAATTGACGGGAATAATCGAGGCGCTTCGCATCGTCGTCCTCGTTTACGAACAAGGTTCCTGGTTCAAGATCGTCAGGGTCAAAGGCTGTCGGGGAATATCGCCCATCTTCGTAGTCTTTTACGGCAGTCTCTATCATTGACACATCCAAATCCTCCTCCGTATTCGCCTCATTGTCTTCTTCGTCGCTGACGTCTTCTTGTCTTCGTTCCTTCTCTTCCTCGCCGCCTTCTACGGGTTCGCTGATCGCTGCGTTCTGCAATGCAAGTTTCTTAGCTTCTTCAACACCTTGTTCGGCTTTGAGAATTTCCAGCTTTTTCCTGAGTCCTTGTTGGTGAGCTTCTCGTAGTCTCGCTCGAGCCATGTAAGCGTGAAGCTGTTGCAACAAGGATTCCCAATACGGAAGATCAGCTCGTGCACCCGGAGGTCCTGACTTTTTAGCCGCGACCTTGCCAGTAATTGAGTCTTTCAACTGCTTCAATTGTTCCGGTGACTTGCCTTTGAAGACCTCAGCGACGTCTTTCGCGACACTGGCGTGAACCCCGGGGCGTTCGACTCTTTCGATGAATACAGCACCGTGGGTTTCAGCATCGGCCTGGGCCTTGGCCTTCTGTAGTTTGAGCAGTTCATCTTGCACGATGATAGTCATGTCCTCCCAGAAGGGTTGATTTGCATCGTGTTCAAGTTCCTGGTAGACCTTGATGTCCTCGATCAAGTCCTCCAGGTCGTCAATCCCAAGACCAGTCAAGTATGTGTAAGGTTCGTGCATCTCCACTGCGTCGACGTCTTCTTGGGAAGAAATATACTTGGCGAGGAGATCGATTGGCTTTGCGCGACCGTCTTGGATGCGTATCTTGGACCGAAGTTTCGCCTGCTCGAGGTGGAAAAGCTCTTCTTGCTTTTCCCATTCCTTGAACTGTTCGGCTTCTTTGGAGCGTTGGGCGAGCCACATGTCGTGCTCACGTTCTTCACGCTCTTTTTCCATCGCGAGTCGTCGCTCCTTTACTTTTTCCAGCTCGCGCCGGTTTTCTTCCATTTTCTGGCGCTTGCGAAGCTCGAGTTCTTCAGCAGGAAGAGTAGTGAGACCTTCCTTTTCCAGCTTCTTGTTCCACGTGAAGGTATCCAACAAATTAGAGTCACCGAATGGATTATCTGCGTTCGTGTAGTGGAGATAGTCACTATCCCAGCCCATTTTCGCCTTCCGACTACGCTCTTTAATCTCCTTCTTGGCGAGACGACGAGCGCGCTTCTCTTCGGGAGTTTCGATCGCTTTCCGTTTCAACTTGTTCTGCTTGCGACGTTCAGCGACTTCCATTCGTTTCTCGAGAAGTTTCAAATTCAGCTCCATCGAATCTTCGCTTGAAGAACTTGAGCTCGAACTGCTCGATGATGATGACCTAGATCTGCAGGTAAGGAAATATTATGTAATGTTGGACACCGAATGCACGCAAAATTATGTTCAATGTACCGTTGCGAGTGCTTTTTCCGCCGTTCATGACGATCAGTTTCTGGGCTGCGTCGGCGTGAGGAAGAATGCTCGGAAGATCTTGAATATTGCGATGAACGTTCTTTCGAGTGAACGCGATCTCTTCTGTCGAGTTTTTCGTTTCGGCTTCTAGAATGTGTATCACGCTGAACATTTCTGCGCGATCGCGGAGACGCGCTTTTTGAACGGCGTCTTTTAAAACTATCAGTCTCTGAACGATGCGATCTGGAGACCTCTCTCGGCATCTACAATAAAACAAACGAAAGTTCAACATGAGATCATCCCCGGAAAAACTCAGAAACAAAGAGATAAAAACGTAATAAAATGTTTATTGTGTGTTCCAACGTGTTTGCATCCAGGAAAAATGCAAAAAAAACTGCGATGTACCGGGGATCCCCATTCAGAATTCCAAGCACAGGTTACTCGAACACTATAAGAGATCATTATGGCTAATTTCTAAATTGTTCGCTTTGTGCATTCTGTTGACGTGATGAATCAAATTTCCTCTCGTATTAGAAGCATATTCACACAACATACAAGGATACGGTCGCTCGCCGCTATGTCTTCTCTCATGTTCTTTCAACTTTTGCACCGTTATGAATATCTTATCACAGAAACGACATTTCTTGAAATTGGCACCAGGGCATCGAATACTGTGACGTGACCACATGTGCTCAACCAATCCACGTTTCGTCTTGAGCGACTTCGAACATTCCTGACAAACCAAAGTGGTATCAATATTAGAATGGGTCTTCCGAACGTGTTCTTGAAGCAGGCTCTTCCAACCAAATCTCGCAGAACATATCGGACAATGGAAGTTCCTCTCTTTCCTGTGAACAGCAGCAACGTGTTCTTCCAGTTGGAGCTCGCTTTTCAGTGAGCGACCACACGATGTGCACGGTATACAACGTCTTTCCTTCGCCGTCGGGGCAGCCTGCACAGGTTCCAAATTAGTGTATGTATTATCCGGCTGTATACTACACTGCGGCATACGAAATTTCTGCGAGTTTATTTGTCGCATTTTAAAAAATAAAGCCTCCAGTTCTGCTTTCAGCTCGAGGGCCTGAAAAACTAGTCCACGACAACGAGCACATCCTTCAACACTTTGATCATCAGAGTAGTTTCGTTCCGGAACTGTTTCGTCGAGATTTTCAACTACGAATCTGATTTCATACATAGGGATGACCGGAATGTCTCCTGAGTGATGACCCACGTCGCAGCTCCCGCAAAGAAAACACACTCCAGTCGAGTAAACATTTTGTTCTGTCATCTGCAAAACACCAAGACCATAACTTCAATCGGTTTCTGAACAGTCACAACACAAATTTCCACGTTCTTTCGTATCGTAGATGATTACGCACGCGTTAAACGTCCGGTCACCGCGCTTCACCGATGGGAAAACAAAATACCATAATCCTTTCAAGAGATGGGTCAATGCTGTCGGATTTGAATTTTAGTGTTATCTTTCTTATGTAGATGTCATTAGAAGCAATGTTCGATTTTGTTTTTTTAAGAATGCTCAACTGTATGTAATGCAGCTGCTGTAGATCACAGCTCTCTCAGCATTGAGAATTGTTACTAGGTAATTCATCCCTATCACTGCCACTTCTGGTAGTTGAAGCTTAGAATAGTGGACTGGTTTGGTGGACCACTTTCTCAACCAACAGAACTCACACCTCAGGTCAGATTTGATGCTGTTCAAAATAATCTCATAGCCATAGCCTCACCAAAATTCTTATCTCAAAAACATGAAATAAAAATCGAGGAGTCTCGTGCAATTGGCTGTTGCATTTCGTAAACTTCAGGATGAAGCTAGAAAATAGGATCGATCTTTATAAACCACGAAGGCCATTGAGGAGTTCGTTGAATTCGCTGTTCCGCTCGATTTCTTCTTTCAAGGCCCGTTTCTTCTTCGTTAAATGTTTCAGCCTGTCGTACACTTTCCGAAACGATGCCCGACAATCCAGCGCATCCTTCGAAAGGTTGGAAACACGACACATCATCTCCTCCAACTTCTCTTCTACTGCACCGCATTCTTTCGTATAACACCGCGTGAAAGCCTAAAAATACTGTACTTCAAGTTTTTGAACTGTTGACGCAGTTTTCAGCATAATTATGCGCACCATAAGTAATGAAAAAAGAAATTTCGACGAACACTTTCAAAATGGGAAAATTAGCGTTTCAGTTCTGGAAATTCGCATCAACTGAAAATCGCATGAAATCTATCTCTGTTCACTTTCTTCGCAACGAGTTGAAAATTCGAAGTACAAAAGTTATATTATTAGAATAGGTGAATATTCGAAATGATACGTATTAAAAATAATCAAATAACTTGAGAATAATTTCAGGTCTTCATCTTCGGGGCTTCTAGAACGAGTTCATTTCTTCCGAATCTTCCCCAATCTTTTCGTCCAACAAATATCGTTGGTAAGAAAGATGAAATTCTTCGATATAAAAAATTAAATAAATTCGTTTCAAGTTCTTTCTTTACTCGCCGAATCAGCCTCCTCAAGACTGGAAATGGATGTACCAGTCTTCGCATAAATCCGGCATGTACGTATATCCATGGCATAAATCAAGCCAAAGTTTCTCCAATATCCACACAAATATGAACTAAGCCTTACACACGATAATATTGGACTTACACACTCACTCCTTTCACTGATTTAAGTGCAGCTTCAACGCAGCAACCTTAACTATCCACTCGCCTTCAATTCAAGGCACTGCTCAACGGGCAACACAGACTCCATCTCAAGAAGCGACAGCCATTTCATTTGCGAAACAGAACTCGGACTTCCACAAAAACGCTCATCATTACGAGCCACGACCTCAGCAGGGCACACGACGCATTGACACGACTCTTGACCCGCGATCTTCACCGACTCTTGAGAAACGCTTTCGAGCAACCCAGTCAACGATGTACCGCACGTTTCAGCGCTAACACTTCTAGAGATGGAGCTCCGAAAGTGTTCTTCATTAGGTAGGTTTCTGACGGAGGAGCTCGACGAGGTTGAAATGGTGAAAATAGAGCGTCGTCTTCTGGGCTGCGCATCGGTAACATTCACCTTCACCAGAAGAATAACCCCACTCAGTCACTCACAAAGTCTCTTTCTCACTCAAAAATGGTACCATTTTCTTCTCAGCCGTTCGCTGTGAACACACACACAAGATACCGTCGAACTCCTCCACATCCATTTCAATCTCAGAAAATGAAGGCGGCAGACCTAACCACATTCTCGATATTTGCTGAAGAACAGAAGTATTACTGGCAATGATCGCAGACATCAGAGAAGAGAAAGCCTTCAGATATTATGTCAAAATCGGAGCAGGCGAGGAGACCGGGAAAAAGGCGAAGACAGAGAAACCAATCGTGAGAAGGGCGTTTAACAGAAAATCTAAAGCCACGTACGTTTCAGAAAAGATGACCGACAAAGCCTTCAACATGCACAGATCATCATGAAATAAATCGCAGCAAATTGTTTGTTCGTACTGTAACATTCGCAATTCATTTATGAATAAAATCAACAGAGGGGGAAAAACAAACAAATAAAACGGAGGTTGAAGTTCAGCCCGCCATCAAAACTCCTGAAAGCTGAAATATACTGTGCGTGAATTCGCGTGAATAAACCACGGCGTGGAGTCAAATGCACGTCTTGGACATGATTCGGGGCATCTGGAGAACGAATAGCATTCAGCTTCCTAACACCAGCAAATACATATTGACATTCATTCTGACACGCACACGAAGCACAGTTCATATCCTCCGGCATTTTTGGCATGAAAAAAATGACCACTGCCTCAGAAAATTCAAACCTTGGAAAAAACGCCCGTTTATTTCTTCCTTTTTGGAAAGGAATCCTGAACTCGATAGCCCACAACGCGAGAAAGGAAAAAAAAAATTATTGAACAATTGGATCACTCAATGGTCGAAACCTGGGGGTTCGGTTTCGAAGGGTAGCGGTTCAACGACCCAAGTTCGGAATGCGAAAGGGCGTTGACTTTGATGTAGCGACCCAAGGCCAAGGCTTCAAACAGTGGCCCGACTTCGAACGGGTTCCCGAGTGCCTCGGTGACAACCTTTTCCAAGTTTCGAATCATTGCTACTTTGCGTTGCGGTTTCAATGGATACTCCACTTGCGTAAGGGGTCCACTCTGAGAAGCAAAACATTTACGAGAAAACAACATCAACTACAATTCAATTCTACATTCCAAAAACCATCATGATTCGTCTTTCGGGGAATTTAGCGAGTCGGAAGAACTGGATTTACATCATTTCTCTCCCACGTGGCTTCGATTCTCCAATTTGAAATCCATCCTTCATTAGTGATTTAAAAACTTGAGAAATCTTTTTCCAAATCCAAGGACAACTTCGGTATCATCTCAAAGAGAGCAATAATGTACAGCACATTGGCGCAATCTTAAGACAGAACTGATCGCTCCATGAATAACAGCGAACTTTTTGATTCATGAACATAGCTTTTAAGCAAGTATGTTGATAGTTCTTGGCGTTCAAAAAATTCCGCAATGCGTTCTGAGAAGTTCAACAGAAGTAGCAGGTACTGTATTTATTTGAGTACCACATGCCCTCAAGTAAGGCATGCACCCGAATTTTTCAGCATACATTTTTGGATAAAAACTTATCCCACAGTAAGACGCTCACCCCCTTTTTAGACTGAAAATTTAAAACTTTGCAAATAGAATGCACCAGAATTTCAATTTTGAATCGAATTAGAAGTCAAACTGAACGTTAATTTTCCTAAATTTACAATTTTAAATTATTTGTTGAAATTAATAGAAAAATATTTCCAGTTGAAATCAAATATGACGCGATCTAAAGCTTAAAAACCTGTATAACTGCACATGGCATTCAACCACTTTTTTCCCTCTTATTTTCGAAAAAATAGCTGCACGTGGTACTCGATTGAATACAGTATTACAATGCTCTCGGGATCACAGAAAGTAATTTTTTTTTTGCTGCGGAATATGACTTATTCCTGAATAACGAACAGTAAATCCATTGAAACTATGGGTACCTTCATCTGAAGCCTACCAAGAGATTGGGTCGAGATCAGCCAAAAAACAAATCCTGCCTCGCTGAGGGATCGAACTTGAAGCTTTTCGGGCAAAAACATATATTTTACCTTATACCAAAAATTGATGGACGTCGTGTGACCGGCTCCAAGTAAGGACTCAACGTGATGCCACCAATACTTCGGAATATATAAAACATCTCCGGGTTCAAGCACACATTCGAAGCCACGCAAATGCCGCGCCTTCGGGAAAGACTCAAAATCCGGCTTGTCAAAATCCACCTTAAAAAAGAACACATTCGACGCAGATATAGACAGAATGACCTACGATTCCGGCATTCAAACAAATCTCCTTTTTTTTTTTCTCACCTGACTCTGTCGATCATGAGGATGGAACACAGGGTAAGGGTAAAGACATTCGAATGTTTCTGGTGGGAACAAAATGCATCGTTTGAATCCCTCCACCTGGGCGAAGAAATTCTCTTGTTCATCGTAATGCACCGGAGTCACATTTCCTGTAATGCAAGCATTCCATTCACCCTCATTTAAGTAACTTCACTTCATTCACGTACACACACACAAAAGAACGTCATTCAATTTTTAAGCTACAAAAATGTAACTAGTTGACCCTCGATGAACAGAACCTCTCCAAGTCGAAAAACCTCCATATGCCGATTTTTTTTTTAAGTTCCTGTCGAAATTTCAACAATGCATTAAAAACCTCTCTAACTTCAAGGCTTCCCCTTCAAACCATAACTCAAATTTTCCGGAGGCCTTTTGGCTATCATTTTAGTGACACGGGAAAGAGAAAAGCAATACAAATGTAACTTTATCTGTTTTGAAAGGGAGTGAAAGACTAATTGGACGAATAAACTCTTGTCTCCAAGTTCAGCATCTTTTCAACTCATTCAAGAAGCATTTTATGGCCCAGAATATCACGAATCACAATTACCGGCAATTCTTCTTTCTTTTCTTCCACAAACATGATTATTTCTACATCGAAATTTTTAATCTTCCGAATTCTTTTTTGCTATCCCCAGGATGTTCCACATGAAAAGGTTTCACTCTACTAGAGGATAAAATTCGCTTCAAAAAATTAATTCTGGGAAATAGCTGTCGAATCCCGGTCTAAAATAAATAATTTAAAGAGGTAAATTAAAGTAATATGTACTACTCTGAATATTTAAATGGGCCACTCATTCGAACAGAATTAAAGTACAGGAAAACGCATCAACATGATTGCGTGGGATAGGCAGAAAATACTGTACACATCATTTTGAAATCACGGATGTAAAAAAAAAAATCTTTCCTGACCTTCCATGCCGATGTAAATCAAATTGGAGGACAGATTGCCCCAGTTATGCTCCTTTTGTACTGACTCCAGCCATTTCCAATTGAAAGCCAGAAAGTCATCTTTGATCGCTTTTCCTACGGAGTCATTCAGGGGATGCTGCAAATACATCCTTCACGAAAAATAAGTTTCAATTGACATAAAATGAAAGGCAGGAATCACTCGAAAAACTACGTACCGAGGCTGTCCATGTTTCCACTGCCTAAACTTAACAAGAAACTCGGAGAACTTCATCGTCGCTTGTGACATTGGCGGCGTGAAATCCGGCACAACCTTGTCATTATATTTGGCTTGGTCATAGTACTTGAATTTGTGATCTTTGGAATAGAAAACCGAGAAATCTCCGTCACCAAGGTTCTTCTCAAGGTATTCCAAGTTCCAGGATAAAGCTGGTTTAACCAAGTTCGTATCTGTTAGAATCACAGGCACCTGCAAAAAAAAAAGCTTGAGTTTACGAAGAGGCCTACGAAAAATTCAATTTGTTGACGTTTTTCTCCCTGATACTGACAAAATAAAATGCGTCTCCTTTGAAATAATCAGGCTAATTAAAAACACGTTCATGTCATATTACCCACGAACTCACAGGTAGGTATCCACTGCAAATCCTATACAGTACTCAAAAATTCCTCAATGAATAACATTCAAGAGCTTAAATTACTAGATTTTGAGGTAGAAGAGTGATTTCTGAGACCAAAACAAACGGGCAGCCAAGTCCCAAGCATGAAAAAGCTGATATACAATCAATCCTCGATTTAAATATACTTTTATTTATTGCTGATTTTACTGATAGTGTGGAAGCTTCCCTTGTTGGATTAGTGAAAAACTCCTTTTATTCACTTGTTTAGTATTTTCAGTATTCCTTGTGGATTGCGTCATTTCTCTGCACAGAATAACGAAAAAAAATTACTCTGAAAAATGAATAACATATAATAAAGGTTTCCCTTTGAATATACTTTATATTCAAACCTCTAGAAGTCAAACTTTAAGAGATTAGAAAATTTTCTTTTGAGTTAGGGATGTACTGGAAAAAATTTACACAGGGATGTTTGAGTTACTGAGGTTCCACTGAATGTTCTTGGCGGCAAACCTGCTGATTTCCCACATTTAATTTTCTATCCTGTATCTGCATCATTTGTTCTTTTTTGGGTTCCATTAATGCCGAACAGCATCTTCTTTAGCTTGAAATAGTAAAAAAAAAAAGAATCAATCTCACTTCCGAGTGGATGAGTCGATCGGCGAGTTGGTCCCAACGTGACATCCGCATCACGGGCTCCATCGGGAAAAAGTAGCGCCGCATGTACCCGTGCTTGTGTCGGATGACACCCCCAGGAACCAGAGGCACGTCGGCAGATGGCCCATCAGCACCCACGGGATCCACTCGCAACCCCGGCGGACCAACATCCCCACCATCAACACTTTCGTCCTCTACGAGAGTTCCATCCATATCTCCCGCCCCCCTTTCTCACTCTTCTTGTTCACCCCTTCCTCGTACCATTTCGTCCTTCTTAACGACGACGAAACTCACGGTGAAATAAAAAAGGAAGGAAGGAATAGCAATCACATCACTGGTACAGTATTCTTGAGCACAGCACCATGTAACTCTGAAAGAAAAACTCATATTTTATACAACAAACACGAAGAAAAAAATCCTTTAGTAAAATTACGAGAGTACAAATGTTCCACAGTTTCAGGCAAAACATACGTCTATAAATCTGCTAATATGAACAAATAAATGGCATCGGACAAAAACCAGGTAACACGAGATCAATTCTTTGAATCCACAGCGAAATAAAAAAATACTTTGTTCACGGCCTCGAGGAAAGGCACACACGGGAATCAGTCCACAGCATGTCTCAGAAGGTTCTTCAAAAAAAGCGGTGCCAATTTTCGACAAGCAGACGAGCTCTTTTCATTCTCGATCCCGAGAGATATCATGTCAAGCAGGTCGTTCACACTACGTTCGATCCCAATTTCGTTGAATGCGCGGTACAAAGCACCAAAGATGGGCTGCTTGTCGTTGTGGAAATAACCGCGACTGCCGTGTACGAGGGCAATTCCGTCAGCCTCGGCAGATTTACATGTTGACGAGTACATGCAATGATCCGGTCGAAAATTCCACCTGCAAAAAAATTAAAGCTGACTATTAAGAACAGTAAACCCTTTGGGCAGTGAACATCCGTGGTCACCATTTTTTATCCTTAAATTACGCGAACCTCCGATTTTGGAAAGACACAGTCCTGCCAACAATATTTCAGATCCTGTCCCTGAGAAAATGCACAAAATCGGAAATCCTTCTTCTTTAAACATAGCGCTCTATCCAGGTACACGCGTAAATTTTGAATTGCGGTCTGAGTGGGCGGGATACAAAAGCGTACCGGGCGCGCGGCCTTTCGGGCACAGTACCTCAATTTTGAGTTTCAACTCGTCAAATATCTCCTGAAATTTCAAAAAAAAGGAACTTCGTACGACTGAACTTTTTCCATTCGAGTTGATACATATCTACAACTTTCAAAGACACGCTTAGGGATTCGCGCCCCATATTCAGTTCGGAAATTGTTTTAATTCGAACTTTTTTTTTCCATTTTTGAATGGGGGTCCGTCGTTTTTAAATTTTTTTTTGGGGAAGCCAGCATCACCAATACGATTAAATACGAGTGAACCTCACACTACAAAATTCAGAGGATAAAAAAAAATTAAACCGCCAAATGAAGAACACGAAGTGGGTCCCCACATAAAAAAATAATCCGTTCCTGGGTGCGTTTCGTTACACCGAATGTTTGTTACGCAAAACGGTATTTCCCAAATCTTACATTATCAACGATTTGATTTGTTCGAGGCACTCACCCAAGAAACCATACCAAACTTTAAAAATAATCGTTTTTTTTTCCATTTCTCAACATAAAATTGTGAATTCTACATTAGCATTGAATTTCATTCATCCTGTACTCTTGAAATTTCTGAACACTTCACAAACTTTATGGATAAGAAGAGGCAAAACAATGCCCCACTCATGCCATTTTCCTCGATTTTAAAAAAATTCCTTATTTTCAGCCCAAAATGTGCTAAAATGCAAGCGTCTTTTCGCCCAAAACACGCATTACATCAGAAGTGACACATTCTCGCTCCGTGAGATCCTTTTTCCCTCTATAAACTATTCGAATTTTCGTTACGCGGGAATCACTATACCTTAACATATACAGTACTGAATATGCATCAAGGTTCACCAAAAGCAGAAAATACGCGTTGATGGGTTAAAAAAAATGCTGCATAATATAACTGAGGGAGGGAGGGAGGGAGAGAGAGATTCTAGCTGCACGGAACTTGAAGAAGCGAACCAATGGAACTCTCCACTTAACTTATACGTCACCAAAAAAAGAAACATTGGTGTCACAAAATCAATAAACGAAACATAAAATAAAATCCCATAAATGAAGATGATGGGTATGAATCACAGAGAAAAATTAGCGGCCGAATTCTAAGGGTTGCAACTTTTTCAGACACAGATAATAATTATTCACTCTCTCTTCTTGACGTAATCATGAGAGCACGTGAGATCGAGTTTTTTTTTTTCTCACACCCAATCATCACAAACTTACCGACACGGCATAACCCTCAGCTTTTCCGGATGAAAAGAGAAGAGGATGTTTATTATGTCCTGGTCACCCCAGGTGAGATTCATCTTGTATCGATTATAAATCGGAAGCAGGTATTCCTCCCAATTGAAGCCTCGCATGCGGGTCAAGTTCATCAGCATGACCCCGCTGTTGATCCCCAACGGCTTGTAATACGGATGTCGCGCGAACCTGTTGTACCAACCCGCCGCGGGTTCTTCGTGCTCCGGAACCGCAGCCGCAATGTGACTCGAATTGAATTCTCCAAATTTTTCCCAAAGCTCCTCGACGGGTGACAGGAACAAAACGTCCGTATCCACATATATCACAGCATCGATCTGCGAAGAAAATAAAAGTTTACGTCTCAAACGAAACTTCAACACAGAAACGTTGCCCTATTCTCCGGATCAGTTTTCAAAACTCACTTCAGAGACTTTTAAAAGCAAACGTTATCTTGTAACCCGCAGCAGATAAGTAAAAGAGGTGCCAACAAGACGCGGTAGTGAAATTTGAGACTCATCTGAATCAACAGATATACTCACTGACGGCAAAACTGATGGGAGGAAGAGTCGTTGTGAGGCGCAGAGTTGGAACAAGTTTTTCCACTCCTTTTCGTGACCGTCTTGCGGATACTGCACCAGCTTTAGCCTTTTAAAATACAAAAATACAACAAAAATTAAATGAATAAGGCATCGTATCATGTACTGTATCGTAGACCATGAGCTCAAAACGTACTGTTCAACTTCAAACAAAAAGTTTTCCGACGACGTTTGAACCATTTCTTGTCAATAGGCTGGATAAATGAACGATCATATTTTTCAGCTCCTGAGCTTTTACCTGTCTCGTATTTGATCGATCGCATATTGCGCAGAGTCTGGAATTCTGACGCATAATCGTATTGATTTTCAATACGATTATGCGTTCAGTGAGCTAATCACAATATAGCTTCAAAGAAATGGCCTTGACAAAAAATAAACCAAAATCGAATTACCGTATTTTTTCTGGCCTGAGCATTCGGCAAAATACAGGGTGCTAAAAATTTTCGTTAGGCCAGCTAAAAATATTTTTTTTTATTGTTTCAATCATCAAGTATTTTAAATCTCTTGAAATTTTCCATTTTTCAATCATTTATTTTGTTTACAACAAATGAAAACGAAAAACGTTTTGCTGCTTTTTCAAAAGCAAGAGTTCATTTCCAATTTTCACATCGTTTTTCTTCAAAAACACCATCAGCCATCTTTCTGCCGGCAATATTTTTCTCATTACCTCGATGTTTTGAAACTGTTCTGTCTTTTTGGTCAAGTCGGACAATGCTCGTATTTAACGTAGAATTTTCTGATTACTTCATCGCGTCGAAAATAAGCTTCGGCTACTTGATTTCGATGCGTTTTCCCTGAAATGGATGGAGGGAAGGAATACTGCTGATTCGGAAGAAAATACTTCGTCAGGTCACAGAACACGGGCTTTTCGCCAGTCACTGTATCAATCAATTTCCTTCCCTCTTTCAACTTTCAGGAAAGCGGAATTCATTGTACATACAGCGTTGCCACGGTTCCTAACCTGACGTAAGCATGTTGTCATGCACTGTACAGTATTATATCACTATTCAGTTGGCGGCGAAGCAAGCAACTATGAAAATGTTTTTATATGACTGGAAGTAACGCGATAAAATTACCGTACTTGAGTTTTAAAAAAATAAGCACCCTTTTCTCAATTTCATAATTTCAAGAACTAGGGAGGCGTATACTTGACTGTATTTACACACGAGTATTAATGAAATTCAATTAAAATATAAGAATACTACACTGTACTGCATTATGAAATAAAATATTCTTACTCACGGCCCACAAAAGGATCGAGCCCTTTTTTCGTAATTTCTTTTGGAATTGAATTTGAAAATAATCAAGAAATCGTCAGCTTTCAGCACTTCAAGGTGCAAAAGTTAGTTGGCTGAAGGGGAAGAGCAATGGTTGTGTGACAGTTTTTTCTTTTCTGGGAAAACCCTAATTTAATCAAAAATTTTAGGATCCTGGGAAATCAGAACACCAGGAAAGTAAGAGGGTACTTATGTTCGCCTTTAAATGGAATTTAAATTTCGTGCAGGAAAAATCTAGAGGTTGCTTTCATTCGGGTGCGGTCATACAACCGAACTTCTTCGAGTCGAACTTCAAGGGACCAGCAGAAAAAATTTGATCCAGGGAGGAAAGCAAGCATTTTTGGGGGGAAAAAAAACAATGAAATACTGTACAGGGAATTGTAATTGGTAATACTGTATTCTAGGCATTAAATTGTTTTTTAAATGAGTTGACAGGATGCTGAACTTAGAGGCAAGGAATAATTTGCCCAATTAGTCTTAAACTTCCTTTCCGAACACATCAAGCTACATTTTTATTGCACTTCTCTTTCTTGCGTCAATGAAATAATAGCCAAAAAGCCTCAAGAAAATTTCAGGTATGGAGGTTCGAGGGAAAAAGCCTTCGATTTAGGGATGTTTTCAGTGCATCGATTCTAAACGAAATCAGACAGGGACTCAAAAACAATTCGACATAGGAAGGTTTGAGTTAGGTAACTACGGTTCCGTGAAGAATGTAATGTTTTTCAGAACGGCAGAGAAACAGAATTTCTGATAACGTAACAAAATGAAAACGACACACCCCGAAACTTTGGGCAAAAAAAAAAAAAAACCAAGGCAACGTGAACTCACGACACTGAAGTCCGATTCTTGATAGCTTCAGGCCATCCTTCGAGTATTTTCTCGAAATCACTAACGAGACGATCCTCGGTGAAAATGATCACGTTCAACATCCGCGCTTTACTCAACATCACTGCAGATTTGACCATCACTGAAACTTCTTCCAAGCGATTCCCACAAGCCGCAGCAGCGAGCGTAACTGGCTTCACCGTCTCCGTCGCACATTCTTTCAAGCCGCATGTTTCCGAATCGGCCTTTTCTCCGTCTTTCGTGTACCTGTCGCTTTCTCCGCAACGAACACACCGTTGTGTCAACAGAACCGCGATCAATACGAAAACCCCGACAGCGAAAACGACTCGACACATCCGTCGGCCACAAAGCCGATTCATCGACTTCCTACAGAAAAAGCAAATGAATCCATGAATTGACACTTCACGACTGCGATTCAGCTTCGAGGTGCGTCTTGAACTAAGATCATCATCGATTTTCCTTTCTTACGCTCACAGTCGCATTCAACGCATCTTGCGTCGAGTCCAAGAACCAAACGTTGGATCTTCACCTCAACTGTACAGATACAAAATGGTCTCTCCACACGAGACGAAAGATTGCCGTGAGAAAAAATTAATAACTCGTCGTTTTAAACCTCATATAAATTGGCCAAAATGGCGACAGAATGCTTAGTCAAATTCCAATGCGCAAGAAACTGAAGACGAACTGGTGCAGAACACAGGAGCAAATCTTGAAAGAGCAGCGTAAAAAATACATCGTTTGCATAATTCAAATTAGGCTCGTTTAATTCAGATTAGTTTACATAATTTTACGCATATCTTCTCATTCGCGTCTTTTTTATGCATCTGAAAATTTACTTCGTCGTGGTAATGTTCAGTCAACTGGCAAATGTTGAAGGACGGTCACTATGCCTCGTTTCGCCAAAATTAAAAAAGCATGTGCTAGGAATTGACTGTAAACATAAGAAAAAACCATCTTGTGAGGCATCCAACAACTTTGGCACCCAGTTCCAATGACTCAAAAATAGTTTCATTGTCCCCGAAAAATCGTAAACATGCAATATCTTTTCCATGCGGATTCCGAATTACATTCACCAACACATCTGTGACTCCGAGCAGACTCGTGAACCACATTTCACATCAACACAGGATGCGAAAATGCTCGAGTTTTGAAGAATCTTTCAATGACTGCTGCGCCACGGCAAGGAAAAAAAACTTTGTGAATAACAACGAGCAACTTTTCCCACGTCTTTCATGAATCAACTGGAACTCTCCAACACAAAAAAGCGGGCGGAAAAAATGGTCAAGAGAGTAAAGCAATCACGGGATCACTCGCTGAGAAACGTTTTCAGCGAAGAGAAATCAACGGGATCAACGAGGAACTTGGAGAAGTTTTCTAGGGCGTCGGGACCCCGAACTTCCCGCTCCTGCAACGGCAACAACGTCAAGTTGAAATCCTCGTATAAATCTTCGATTTGATCCAAGTATTTGCCTTGGATCTTGCACCTGGCCAGACACATGGAACACGGCTTCTTCGAGTCTCCCTCACTCGCAGAGAACCCAGGCAAAAGTAACTGGTTCACGACAATATTGTGAGTGTCGATCCCACTTTTTGTCAAATCTTGAATCAATCGTTCAGTTTCGTAAAGCGACAAGAACTCGGCTATACAAACACAGACAAACGTGGTCTGCTCCGGGTTCTGAAATTGCACGTTCAACTGCTGCACCAAAGGGAGAATGCCTTCCAACTTGTTGGCCATTTCATCAGCGTTCAGACTGGATCCCATGCCCAACATTGCAGTCACGCGATTCAGGAAAGGAGATATCTGGTTCTTCAGTCTCAGAAGCTTTCCGAGTCCCTTCTCAATGACTTGCGGGAATGAAAGCAATCGCAACGTATGACCAGTTGGCGCAGTGTCGAATATGACGACGCTGTAATCCATTCCTTTGACGAGTTTCATGACTTCAGCATAACTCATGGCTTCGTCGATGCCCGGAAATGCGCCAAGCAAGTCTTGAAAGACAGACTTGGACGCTCGCCAGGCTTCGGAAGACGGATCGTCGAAATATTCGTCGGGCAATTCAGCCATACCGATGTTGGGGTCGATCTCCATGGCGAAGAGGTTGGGGAAACCCTTGACCTTGGTCGGAATTTTCGAAAACTTTTGGTTGAACGCGTCTGAGATGTTGTGAGCCGGATCCGTCGAAATCAGCAAGACGCTTTGCCTCACCTAAGAAACATTGAAAAAAATTATGCACGTTTTCATCCTCAATTTTTCATCGTTCGAGAATAATTTCTGAACACGGGATTACGACGTCAAAATGATTGGGTGCGTCTCAAGTAAACCTGATAGAGAATTTCTCACGAAATAAACGAATTATCTTACACATAAATTTACACCAGATAAGTGCGTTGACATCTTTCACACACTATAATCACCAACTAAAACGCAAGCGCATAGGAAAAGATATTTTTTCCTGTAACATCAAATCACGAGAATATTCATAATCTCACCTTTGAGAGCTGAATGGCTAGACTGCAACTCGTCGTGGTTTTCCCAACTCCTCCTTTGCCTCCAACAAAAATCCATCTCAGCGTCGTCTGGTCAAGCACATTCTGCAGCGTTCGCGCAGGTAATTCATCTTCATCAACGTTCACACGCGAAGCCATTTTTATCTCCCGAAATTTCAACTATCAGAGCATTCAAGGCATCGAAAGTGTAAGACAGACCACGCGGAGACGAAACCGCGATTCTCTTTCGAAAAATATATTCAAGAAAGATGATCAACTATTGTATTACGATACGTTCGACTTCGCGATAGCTTCACATTTGTCTCGTCCTTCACGAAATGGATGCAGAAATTCACACGCACGTAAATCTGCAGAGATAACACACACAATTGAGCGAACGAACTGGTGTATCCAAGAGAATTTCGAACGAAAAAAAAATACACTGGATTCAACAAAAACGGTGATATATATATATATTTTTTTTTTGCAGTGCGCTACGTCCATAAAATTAAAATGCAATACACAAGATTGGTCGTTGGTCCCCATGCAAAATTTTCGCAACGAAAATTTTCAAATGCGTTCCCAAACAATCTCAGCGAATTTCAGAACACTATTCACAAAACTTTAAATAAATATAACGATCCCAGTTTTTGAAATAGCACTCTTTGGCAATGCGCAATTTTCAACAAGAGGTGAAAATATTTCAAACAAAAGCTTGAACAGAAGGAATAAAATCTAAGATTTGTATCGATCAATGAAAGTACAAGAATAATGTAGAAAAATTGGTCCACCGAATTTATGCACCACAACAGGCTCCGACGCAGCTTGGAATGTTTTTCCGAGGAACTTCATGACTTCAATAGTAGTCAGGAACGGGTGCACAAACGATCTTCACGAACTGATCATAGTTCACCATCCCGTTCGGAGCAATCTTCGCTTCACGGAAAATCTGGTCCACTACAGAAATGCAGTTTGATTTAAATTGAATCATGGAATACACTTAAAAAACGAAAGTGAGGCTTGAAAATAAGGTTTTACCGACGAATTCCCGTAGATTGGTTCACACATAAACAGGATTTCCACGCAGCGTGATATAGACATGTGTTGACCGATCATGAAACACTATACTGTACAGTACTAGAGTTTAAAACAAACAATTTCTGAAGCAAAGATTTCAAACAAAAATTACTTAGCATCAAAGTTTGACTATTGGTCTTTCGGAACCTATCAGTAAATTTTCTGTTCCGTTCATTTTTTGAACTGGAAAATTACACTGACATCGCTTAGTTTTTATACCTGCTTCTGTGGCCGAATCGGTTGGAAATTCAATAAAAAAAAATCACATTTCCAACTTTTTCCATTCAGGATTTGGATTATGAATTTTAAAAATGGATGAACATTTAAACGTCCATAAAATAATTTTTCTTAGATCAAATGTACACTGTCAGTATTCACAATTTAAGATATTTCAATTAAATTCAGCTACAACACTTTTCCAAACAAATTTTACATCCTTTCATGAACTCGGGACAAGTCTGAATGCATTTGAAAGTAATTTCCAAAATTTTGGCAATATTGCATACTCATAAAAATAAATGACCTTATTCGAACGTTTCCACAAAACAGTATCTTTCTGGACAAGCCGCATATATAAGGCACGTATAATCCGCTTTGCACGACCAGAAAAACTCTTTGAACAGGGCACGAACTTCACACATTTCATAATACGAATTTTTCTAATGGCAGTTGAACTTCATGCTTTACAACGCATTTTCTAAGCCTCCCATGGACGAAAGACTTACATTAGTAGATTTAAAAATTTCTAACATTATACTGTACTAAAAATATTACTTGCCTTCACGAGGACTCAGTCTCTCGCCCCAGCGCAGAAGAACGTGCCTCAAATCCCTGGCAGAAATTACCCCTTTCCTGCCAACATCATGCGCACGGAAGGCCTTTTTGATTTCTTCCGAAATGTTCTCCTTCTGCGTATGTGTGTGCATCACTTCCAAAAAGTCCGCGAAGGACATTCTTCCATCTTTGAATAAACACGAAATCGGAAATATATTCGACTGCATACTAATGACAGCACGGAAAAGCACAGACTTTTATCCTTCAAGTATTTCCTCAGCTCGATTATAGTCGGACTGGTTCCCAAAGAACGCATGATCACTGACAGTTCATCAAGGGTAACGATGTGTCCATCTCTTGCGTACAGATAGAAGCAATCTCTGTACTCTAAATAGAGATACGTAATTACGAATTGATCGTAGAAATTCAAAGACGCATCGAAAAAATCACTCACCATCGATGTCTTGTTCACGAAAAAATCTTGCCTGTAAGAATTAAATTTTCTAGGTATAAGATATTGACAAAAATGGCATAAAACTCACCATGTTTTAGGAAAGTAGTCGAGAGGAGGAAAAAACGGTACGATCCGCCAAAATAAAATCAACGTAGAACGTTCTGGAACGAAAGAGGAATGACAATCAATCGCAGCTGTTGAGAATCTTTTTCGAACAAGCTCGTCTCCTCCGATTAAAAAAAAACTCGAATTAAAATGAGGAAAAAACACAGGTCGCACGTTCTTCGACAAAAAACGAAGTACAAAGGCAACGAACGAACAAAGCTCAGAAGTTTACATCATCAACCTCAACAGAAAAAACATTGTAATGCTCACAGTTCTGATCTGGTTGCGGTTCACGATTTTGTAAGAAACTTATTAATATCGAAAAAAAACATAGAAAAATCAGTAAAAAAAAAAGAAAGTCGGTGGAAATACGTCAAGTCGGAGTGTCATCATAGCACAATCCTAGAAAAATCTTAGAAACAAGTTTCATCAGAACATTGAGGCTTGACAACACATATATAAACTTTTCTTCTCTCTCTGTTCCTTGAGAATCTCAATCTCACGACGACGTGAACTTCCTTCACGAACAAGATAACAGTACACATTAATCGTCACATCTAAGCAATTTCGTCACAACTTCACTTAATAAACCAGCAACTTTCGCTTTTCGGCTCTTGAAATGCTCAACGGTAAAATTAGCCCATTCACGTATGACACCTCTAGAATTCCTCGCTTGCAATTCCTCGAGCGAAGCAACAAACTCGTATTCGGGCTGTGCTTCCGTTTGCGTGCCGCAATCTTCCTCAGTAAAATCCGGCTGAAGATGCTTCCTAAAGGCTCTCCACGAGTCCACGTTCAAATGCTGCTTCAACTTGTTGAAAAATTCCGGTAAATGAGCATTGCTGGCGGCAGACACAAGGAAATCCATGTTCCGTTTCCCCAACAAACGCCTTTGTTCGCCAGGCATCGATGAAAATATTTTGCTGCACACATTCACGGATTCCACGCCGTGTGTTTCACTCGTATTTAATGCTTCTACGAACGTTTCAGAAAATTCCGACAAGTCCCGTTCCGCTGAAATGCGTAATAATGACTTTCGCCATTTTTCTTCGGTTTGCAACGTGTGCCTCAAAGCATCATCTCCTAAAAAAATAAAAGTTTGACTTCAATGATTGTTTCTTCTTAGTTTGTTAAGCGAATTTCACTCGCTCAACACTAGCAATCTCAATCTGAAAACCATGAAAAGCAAAATTCCAAACTCACCAGCAGCAGTAGCTAAACGGGAAAATCTCTCGTGCGACATTCCTTGACGCAGTAGAATGGTATCAACTAAATCGTCATGATTATCCACGCAATCCACGATATCAGCCGACGATAAAACTAGGAGATTTTCCTTCAACAAAGTTTTGAGCGGGCCTCTTTTTTCCTCGTTGGACCCAAGGGAGTTGAAAATGTTCTTCATCACGGAAATGCGGTCAACGGCAGACAACTGTGGTATGAGTTCCATAACAGATGCCAGCGTTGTTTCAGTGTTCGACTCTGCGTGCGAATTAATATTTATGATCATTATCGTTGAATCATATACGCGATTAGAAATGTTTTTCCGAAGCACATTGGAGCACGTTGAATTTCGAAATTTCGATTCTTCATAATAAAATTCACATTCCTCCCAACACCACCATTTTTGCACGATAAAATTCACATTCATGCCAACACCACCAGCAATTCACGGTAACCGGAATCGTTCAATTACTGCACCGAAATCAGCACTCGTCAGATCACGACTTTTGCAAACGCACTTCAAATTAATATTTCAAAACTAAACTCACCCGCATTGACGCACACGATCTCCGGTGGCGGAGGGTTCTTCACAGGCTGGTCAACGAACAACGACAATTTCTTTCGAATGAATTCCAACGGAGCGGTTTGATTGGAAACCGCTATTGGCAATCCTAAAACTTGTTCTTCTTTCAGTTTGGCAAAATCCCCGATCGTAGCCACGCCCAAATTCCGAACGCACTTGAGAAAAACGTGTGCCCTGAAGGAGTGAAAAGGGCTGTTCATTCAACTTGTTCATAAACGAAGTGAACATGCTATGCATGACTATGACAATGAGACTAATGAACGATAAGATATTCAAGTCGATTTAACTCATATCTTTCCATCGTGATCATATCAGGTAAAATTACGCACAATACAAGAGAATGTTTCAAAAATTACGGTCAACACATCTTCAAAATTATCTCAGTACATGCCCCGTGGATTTCGGATTGAAGTCACAGAACAATTTCAACGTTTCCTTCAAAACATTTGGACAAGAAAACTAGGAAAAAAGGTATACCCGGAAACAGCTTCTCACCAATTTGCAGGAGCAAGTTCTCTAACAATAGCCTCTACTGACTCCTTGCAATCCACAAGCTCGGGGAAGAATCCCGCATATTTTTCTTCCTCTTCTTTGGCTGGTTCCGGACGACTATTCTCCTTGCCTTCCTCGCTATCCCCAATACCGCTATCTTCCACAGGCTTGCTTTCTTCAAACACGTCATCGTTCAGCGAGTCATTGCTAGCGTCACTGTTGACTTGTGCAGCTTCTTCTTCAGCTTCTTTGGCCAACGAAATGCATCTTCGTTTTCGGGGGGATTCTCCTCCTCCGGCTGTGTCTCTGTATCGAAGCCCTCGTTTAGCTCTACTGGTAGCTTCTTTCGTGCTCTTCAGTCGACCTTCCGCGGGGATTTCGACCTTGTCGATTTCTTTACGGAACTTTACGCGGTGCCCGGACTGAAAAGAGAGAGCAGACCAATTATTTTAAATTCGACGGTGATTTCATGAAATATTGAGAACATCCATCTCGTTGTCGTTATGATTTATAACGACAATTTATCAAACCATGCGTAAGGAATCCCAGAAGTATGGGAAATAATCTCAGGATAACACAGATGCTATTTACGGGAACCTCCCAAGGACCCACAAAATATTTTGAAATTCTTGTATCATACAAAATTCAATACACAGCACAGTCGAACTCCATAAGATGCCCCCCTCGGCAACCATTCAAATATGCTCCCGCTAATTAATTTTTTGTCGATAGCCCGCTATCAAATTAAAGTTCCTGCGAGAGGTTTCTTATTGTAAAAAAAAAACCGCAAATTTTACTAACTTCATGGGAACATTAGATAAAAATAAAAATTCTTATTGACGAAGGTTGAAGTACATACAAGTTCCTGGCACAGTACAGTACATTCTTTCTCGTGAAATTCATGAGTATTTTCGAAGATAACTCACACAGCTGTTCGGTGACGGAGATACTTTCAAGATACCATTCCGTGGTGATGCAGATGGAGAATACGTATGCCTCGCCCATGGCCTGGGGGCATCGAACTTCGGCAACGACCTATAAAATAATCCCGAAAAACGTCTGCTTAAAGAAGGGTGCACCATCAACGCTATTCGCACAGCTTTCTAAAAATTCCTCGACATTGATCATTAAAAATAACCAATCCCAAAGCAATATCAATCCATGGAACGATGATAAAACTTACTCTAGTGGAGCAGGATGTTCGTCCTCAACAACTCCGTTCGTCAGAATTTCGAGATCATCGGGGGGAGCCATTTCTTCGTTTTTAACTTTCACAGCCGATTCAGTGGGTACATCTTTAAATGCGGAAACCATGGCTAAAATTCTAGCTCCTCGAGACAAGAACTTCGAAGATGGAGCAGGCCAGACAGTCTGCTTGGAAACTGATTTTGTGGAAGCCTTCTCTTCGGCTGCGACCGTCGGACGCTCCTGAAAGAACCAGTATGATTATTAGACTATAAAAACCACACGAAGTTTGTTGAGACAACCATAACAAGTTCAAGCAAACATTTTTAAAATAATTATGGCTCTTCTCATCCAAATCTAGAGGGTCCCAGAATTCATTATCTTCTTGCCGCCAGAAACTGTGACAATTCCTTGAATCTCAGATTTATTTAAATGCAAGACGCCACCAGTTGTCTGGGGAGATTTTAAATTATTCGATTATATTCATTATAAAATCAATGTAATTATTATATGATAAACAAGAATATCTCAAATGGTATAATTACCAGGTCGATATTCTCGCCGAACAATTTAACGGGACTCTTCCTAGCTCGCAGAACTGCTTCGTCAGGCTCTTCGATTGAGCAAAACATTCGCTTCGACGGCGAAAGAGACGCTGAGCACTCGGGAATTTGCTGGGCATCTGGAGGGGTTGTCATCAGATCTTCTTGGCGCTTTTCGTCGTCCAATTCGGAAGTGCTAGCAATAGTTCGTCGCCTTTTCAAACCTGCGCGCGTAGCAGGTGGCGAAGATGCCGCATGAAGAATCATCGTGGTTCTCCTTGACGCGCGCTTCATGCTGCCACGAATTATATCACCAACTGATTCGGTAGTGGAAATAATCTATTTTGGAAAGATAAGAAATTCTATTGAACAATTAAATCCAAAACAGGGGCATACAAAACGAGCGAATGCTCGAAGAGAAGCTATCAGAACAGATATTCAACAGAAGCGCGATCATTAAAAAATAACTAATGAAAAATACAGTTCTCAAACACTGACGCTTCGTTCAATAGCTTTTCTGAGACTTGCTCTTCCGCGAAAAATTGATCGTGAATGCATCGAGTCTCAAAAATCGCCACAAAAAAAAAAAAAAGAAAGATCGGCGGTATATATCCGAATACGAATCAGCCATTATGACTAGTTTGTTCCCCTTCCTCGCACAAAACTTGCGAAGTGTTGTAGGGTTAATGAGATTGTTCACAGCCTCCCGCCATCCGAAGACGCTTCATATCAAACTTAATTTTTCTTCACGACCATGGGCAAGCTTGAAACACGAATTTTCGATCGCAGCCGCAACTGTACGTAAATGCAAACAGTAAATTGATTAACTTCATCTGTTGGCATCTATTGGTCTCTCCGTGAGGTTGAAATGGTATATCAAAAACTCCATTAGATACATGTCGTCGGGTTGCACGTAATGAATGGAGATCAAATCGGATGCACAGCATCCAACGTTCTGAAAATAAAATAAAAATAAACCGTAAAATATATTCTTACAAAATCCAAAAATCTGTACGTTTGAATCGATCAAAACGCAGCTCACATCGGATATGGGTTCAACCAACTGTTCTTCCATCCACTTAACATGCGATTTCCTCAATCCCGGGACATAGAGTTCTTGAAGACTCATAGGCAAGAAGTGCGTTTTTCCTTGATCGTCAACAAAATTTGTCGGCTTAATACCTTTAAAATACAGTACAGCAAATTTGTACAAGAAGACATGCTTTAATATACATAATGTTAGAAAAAACTGTGAATAATTACCTATAAGCTCAAAGCAAAGACCAACTTGCATGTCTTCAGCATAGGTTTTAGTATTCTCGTAGCAGTCAGGCTTTGTTAAGGCTTCTTCGACAAATCGTTGCAACGCTGTACGGTCCATCACATATCCTGCACCTCCTCCAGCATACGCAACATCGATTCTCGCACGGTCTTTTAATAGAGGTCGCATCAGTAAACCGGCATACAATCCTTCGTCACTCTTTTCTCTCGATTCCAACCAATTTCTGAAAGTTCCTTGCCATCAAAGATAACAGTCAAGCTTCGGTTCCACGCGAAACTTCACGTCACGCTGAATTACGCAACCAAAAATGTACTTACCGGAGGTTTTCAACAACTACGTAGGAATCGTCGTCCACCTTAAGGAAGAAATCGTAGTCCCGAATGTAATTTTCGTACAAATGGCCAAGTCCTTCCCTGAGCTTTAGCCACAAAGCAGCGTAACGGTCCACAGAATCTTCTACAAGCAAAGTCGGCAGGAGGACATCTTTCCCGGAAGTTAGGAAGACAAGACCATCGCAATGCCGGCCCCAAGTGGCCATAACATGCACTGCTCTGGATCTATGCGTTGCAGGAGATGTCAATATCATGCACATGATTCTTTTACGCGGTCCATCATCTCCTCGACGCACAACTTCAGGCTTGGTCAGGAACGGTGAAACGAAGTGGGAACCTCCAACAGTGAGCGTCCACCGTCGACTTGCTTCAGTATACCTTCCGTGAAAAACGTTCTTTCAAATTTGAGCTTCACCTTATCTCACGAAAAAAGATTCTCACCAGCACCCGACGTTGAACCCAATCACAAAAGCCAAAATTATGAGGAAGATAACGGAAGGAAAACCACCGAGGAAACGATCCACGCGGGGCTTGAATGCCTCCAAGCTCCGTAGTCCAGGAAGACGAAATCCCAGAAGCCTTATCATAGTCGAAGGTAAATTTTGATTTTCGTTCGGAATGCCAAATTGGCGGAGCCAGAGCAGTCCCCTCAGACATGCGTGAACGAAACAGTTCGTCCACTCAATCCATTGATCTCTCAACTTGAAACACTTAAACACAAAAAGAGGCGATTTTCCGGTTCCTTCACCGCCCGCACACCATCACGCGCCGTAAACCTGTGTAAACCGCGCGTTCGGACCTGTGTCATTCAGCACTTCCTAAACACAGAGCTCACCGACTTTCAGAAGAGCTTTATTGCTCTTTTCAAAAATGCATTTTACTGTGCAGTGCTGTAATGTACTCTACAGGGCTGAACAGAGCGGTGAGATAATTCAATGAAATGACTGATGATTTCTGTCATTGCTGCGCTGCGAAACGAATCCAAATTAAGCTCGTGAAGTTTACAAAGGTTTCATTTGAATGTGATAGATGACCCACAATATAGTTTGACCCCATAAGAACATGCATGTACAGCAGTAAATACAGCTATGTTGTACCTCATTAAATGCATCTCCTTTTTGAAGTGTCTTTCTGTCCCAAAAGAATCAGGGCCGGATTAAGGTGGGTGCTATTGATGCTGCAGCATTAGGCCCACCGGAAAAATAGGCCCCTGGAGAATTTGGAAAAAATTACCCAAATTGAGGAATTTTCACTTTTTTTAAATTATGAAAATACACAAAAAATAGGAAACAGGCAAAAGTATTCATGACAAAAAAATCAGGCACCAATAAATCAATTCTAGCACATTGCACATATAAAAACTTTGAAGAGGAAACCAGATGAAGGATATGAAAATCAGTTCAGAGCCCACAATCACTCCTGCATTAAAAAAAGGAAATGAAAGCCAATAGCCTGAAACAGGAAGGTGTAGTTAGTGGCAAGGAATCATGGGCAGGATAAAATTCAATCAAAGATTTCAATTCCAATCATGCCACCTCACCTGGCCTGAGAAAATTATAACTCTGTTCCCCACTTGAAAAGCCTTTGGTTGCCTCAAAAATCTTTTGAAGTGATTTCTTGCTGGTGTTTATAAAATTATGCTTTTTTATTTCTGAAACATCAGTAATTGTTATTCATTAACACTTGTGATGCAAAAAAATAATTTAAAAAACCCAGCATTCCCTGGTGTGACTCTTTAGACAAATCCCCACCCTGCCCCCTTGGACATTGTTGCCCTGGGTTCTGTAAATCCTAGTGTCCCTGCTTTGCAGGGGAAATGCTTTTTTGAACCCCCCCCCCCCCCCCCCCACCTAAAAAAAATGTTTCTACCTTGCATACTGGGAAACAGGCAGATCCCCCACCCTCTTGCAATTTTTTCAACTTTAACATTTTGGAGGTGATCAAGAGATTTCCAAGTCTCTGAATATTAATTATCTTGACTTTTTTTTGGAGCCTCTCTCTGAATGTAGACACAAAGTTTGTTTTAATGTCACTGAGAAACTTCAGAAGATTTCTGAATCTTCCTCAACATTTTTGGCAGGATCAGAATAAAAAATGGAAATTTTTCTTCACTTTAGTGTTCATTCCAAAGAGCAATTTTTTTATTTTATTTCAAGTGCTCATGGGCACAATATTAAAAATATCACAAGTTAGCTGCACATGGGTTAAAATTCTGAGAATTTTTGAATCAGTGGAATAAGTGGATGACATTTTGACATGCAATCCAAATTACAGTTCAAATTTGGAAGTTAAATTTCTGTTTCACTCAGCAGACACATACTTCATCATCATGCATTCATTTGATCATGTACATATTTTGTGCCATGAGTGGAACAACTAATATTGTTGTGCCCACTCGACCAAACACTTTAAATTGAATCTCAATTCTACTTTGTTCTATGTTGGAGCATGTGCATGATAGAGTAATATGTTGTAGTCTTGTGATTCATTTTTTCAAGCATATTTCAAACTGGAATTCATTGAAAACAGCATGGCAATATAACTTCAGAGTGCATCTAAAACAGATAAATCAAGACATATCATGATTAATAAGTACAGTAATTTGATGAAATGAAGAGAAAACGTTTGAAAGAAATATGTATTGTCTTTCATTAAACTTACCTTTGTACTAGCAGAAATTCTGTACTTCCCTCTGCATCAACTTCTTTGCTCATACCTGTCTGCTCTTTCAAAGCAAAAACATATTTTCTAGGATACTGTTCATTTGAAAGAGAGGCATACAACTTAAAATGAAGCTAAAGAATTTTCAAGAAATATGTCATGTTGTGCATTTTTGAACACCTAGCCTTCTCTACAATAATCTTTAGTTTCTCAAGACATTGGAACGGTGCACTCTTTCCTTCAATAAAAGGAATTTATTATAATGAGATTTCCAGGAAATTGTGCCTATGGAGAAACTGCCAGGATCAAGAAAAATTCATTATCAAATAATGTATTGTAATGAAATTCAGTTTGGTGAAATTCTACTATATCTATGTCTGATTGAATTCTAGCCTCAGCAATCCCATGTTATCTAAAAATTATATTATTGACTGTGTGAGGAAAAAATAACTTTTCCTTTTTGCAAAGGAAAATTAGGCCCATTTTTTGTGCAGCATCAGGCCAACATTTGGTTTAATCCGGCCCTGGAAAGAATGCAGTACTGTACCATCATCATATCTAAAAATAAGGATGTAGCTCGTATGAAGTATATACCGTATTTATTTCCACGCTTCTCCACAACTGGACTGTGTTCTGTTTTATGAGCGGTGTATCTTTACACATAAGAAAAAAGCTGCGCAAAAAAAACGAATAAAATTGTTCCATGAGGAAAATAAGGCAACTCACACAACGGAACAATTTCACATAATAAAATATTAGGTCCCACCAATGCTTAAAATTCACTAAGTTTTCAATTTTTTTCCAAAAATTGAAACAAATACATATAGAAACGAGGGTTGTCCTACTTATTCTGACAGACCCCTTGGGTACTTCTAGAGCAGGTATATCTAGGTTGGAATATAACAAAGACAAGATTTAGTCATCCAATTTTGAGGTTCTGGGATTTTTCAGATTTTTTGAAAAATTTTCGGATTTACTGCATGATGCATGATGATGTGAAATTTCGGGTTTTGGTGAGAGTTCACCAAAACCCGAGCCACATCAATGGAAAACAAAATATTCATTGAAAAAATTTGAAAATTACACAAGATGTAGGAAAGTTTATTTAAAAAAACATTACATTTTCAATTTTTTTTCTGGCCTGAAAAATGTTCAACAGCGCTTGTGACATGGGCAGAGAACCCTCAAGAAAACCAGAAAGTGTTCACTCATAGCGTCATGCAGTAAATCTAGAATTGTTTATAAAAACCTTTAAAAAATCCCAGAACCTTACACATTGAGGGGCTAAATCATGTTTTTTTCACGTGCTCTAGAAATACCCAGATTCAGTCAGACGTGGGACAACCGTTGTACAGTATATACTGTACATGAATATTATATATATTATATATACTTGGCCTCGTTTCTTGAATTTACACTTTGCGGAATTCAGAAATGCTACGGCTCAAATTCATCAGGATTACTTACACATCTTACTTATATAAAATTCAACGTCGCAAATATTATGCAAAAATAAATCTATACAATGGCTCATTACTGTATTATGGTTTTTTGGTGAGTGTCCATCCGGGGCAAATTAAATAATTTACTTAACGTTACCCAATATACGGAAAATCTTGTTTCGCATCACGAAAATTCCGCAAAGGAAACACATCCAGCAGGAACCAATTAATCTCGTTATATTCAGGAACCCAGCAGCAATAAATGCTGCACGCAAAAAAATTACAATTGAATACACCATAAACCAGCAAAAAAAAAACGAGTCAATGCAACAAGATTTATTTTATGTTGACGCTCACTTTATTATTCGGACAGCAGCAGACATATTCAGACGAATTTTCCACTGTTCCTCCATAAACGACGACTGTTGGGCAATTTCCAGCGAAAAAAAAATCTGCATATTAATTTCGCAAGCAGCATCGGTGTCATGATTGCTGGTTTGAGTCCTTTATTACTGTGCAATATATTAGACTGACGGGGTTTTTTTTTTTTCAAGGCTGATCCCCGTAATCTCTTTGCTGCTGGTTGTCTTCGACCAAAGGCAAGGGCGGAATAAGTGCCTCTTGCTCAGAATGGCACTTATTATTATTATTATTGTCAACCGGGTGAGAATTTAAAGCAGCAGCTGGTAATGCGACGTTGTCTTGATGCTGACCAGCATTCAAGTCGTCAGGAAGCTCACTATCCATCACAGTTTCAATTCCGGGCGATCTGTTAAGTCCATCAACTTTTGGTTGCAATGGTTTGTTCATCAGAGGTTCCTGAAGAAAATGAACTTGCCTCAGTGAATAGAAGTATGATATAATAGTCAAATTTCTCCAAGATTAAATCCCAAGGGATCAGCAAAAAATAATGCAAAGTCAGGGAGGTTTCCAGTTTGGGGAACCAGCAAATTTGTTGTGCAAAAGATGGAATAATTGCAGGAAATAGTAAATGGTGATACTCTGGAATTTTAATTGCATTTTAAAAGAGCTAACAGCCTAAGAGGATGGATGCTGAACCTGGAGGCAAGATGCTAATATGCAAAATACAGGGGGACTCTCTCTGCCACAAAATTCAGGGGACCAGAAAAAAAATAATTGTAAAGACAAATTTGTTGTAGACCAGCCCAGTCTTTGGAGAAACTGCTGGGACCAAGAAAAATTTCTTGAAAAATAAAGTTTGTGTAATGAGATTTGTTGAACAGAAATTTTACTGTTTTTTTTTTCCAACTCTGTCTTAATTTCTTTGTATAGAAACAATGCATTAAAAACCTGTGTATCTCAGAGACTTTCCTCCTTAAACCTCATTAACTTCAATTTTATGGAAGCCTTTTTCCTATTTTTTACTAATACAGGAAAGATATAAGCAATAAAAAATAAAACTTGATGCATTTGGAAAAAGGTGAAAGCAATCCAGTCAATTAATTTAAGAAGCCATGTACTCTGAGGTCTAATACAGTGTTCCTCAAACTTTTTGGGACTTCTGCAGATGGTGCAGAATGGCGCCAGCCTGCAGAAGAATTTTTTGCTGGTCTGCGGGAAAATTGCTTCCACATGATACATTTATCAAAAGTATTATTTAAGTCTGTCATCCCAATCCAAAATTCTAGAAAGACAATGGCAGTTGAAATTATTGCACAAGAAATAAAAGTTGGCTTTTTTCCTGATGATACAGTATTTCAGATACTGTATTTTTGTCTGCTGGGATTTATAATTTTCAATTTTCAATCTGAGAAACATTTCCTAATTGAAGACCATCAATATTATATACTGTACTTGTAGCTGCTTCATTGGTTCTTAACTTATTATGAAATTGAAGTTTTGTTCTGGAGACTGTCTGGCAGGTATTTAAAATTTTTCTGCTCGTTGTCAAAAATGTTTTTGAACATTACCAGTCTTCAGAAATTTTTATGAAAATAAACCCCAGTCCATGGAAGATTTTGTTGAAATTTCCCTGCCCAACACTGGTTTAGAACAGTGTTTGCCAACCTTTTAGGCCCCACGGACCAGCAAATTTCCATGAAATTCTTTGAGGAAAAGCAAATTCTCAAAAAAGTATCTGCAGACTGGCAAAATTTCATAAAAGTTTTGCTTGAAAGACTTTACTAAAGGTATTTAAAAATTACTGCTTTTTTTTCAAAAATGCAGTTGAGCACAAGTGAAGAAGCTATAGTTGAATGTCATCAAAAATTAAGAAATGTTGGCTTGAAGAGGGGTTTCTCAGAATGGAAAATTAAAATAATTGATTTCAGCAGGTGAAAATTTGTCTGAAGTGGTATTATTATAAGAAAAGCCAATAACATTAATTTTCATCACGAAAATTTCAATTGCCTTTGTCCTTCTGAAATTTCAGGTAAAGAGAACAGACTTCATTCATGAAAAATTTATTATGCTAATGATTTTCCGCGGACCGGCCAAAAGCCTCTGCGGACCGCGGCGCCGGTCCGCGGACCACGGGTTGGGGAACACTGGTCTAGAATATACCGCCATTTACAATTTCCTGCGATTCTTTTCCTGAGCAAAAATGCCCGTTTCCCGCCTTCAAAACTTCCTTTCAAAGCAGTCCATTATCGAAGTTCGATACTTAAAAATACTGTAAATAGGTTCAACAGTACTGTACAGTAGATATGAATTACACAATATATTATTTACCCTGAACGAGAAATTGTCGCGGTTTTCCAAAACCTTGATGGTCTCATTCAGCATGGCAGCCGTGCGTTGTTTCGACACGTCCGGGGACATGTTTTCCATGAGCAGAGCGGCGATTTTGTTGATCAAATCCGGGCTCTGCTGATCCCCGCCGAGAAGAAGCCTTTTCAAGTGAACGTACTGCGCCGCGGTGTCGAGCACTTCGGAAAGTTTCTGCTGCTCGACCTTGTCCGATATCAGGTCGACCAAGTTGGTGAGTGCCCCCTGCAGGGAATTGTGAACGAGTGGGACGATCTCGTTGGACTTGAGGTCGTGCACTTTGACATTCACCAGTTTTCCCCGACCTCCTGATGGGTCATCAAGAAGCCCTGAGAAATGTTGACAAGAACGATGAAACAGCAACAATTGGAGCACACATGCCATACAAGTGAGACCCCAAGATGCGGATGTAATTGGTGCATCAAGAGTGTCCCCAAGTCGAAATGTCCCTAAGTCGAGTCTTGTTTTCCCGTAGACTTACATTATATCATTTTTAATTGGTGTTTCGTGGTAGAAATATTCTTCAGAATTTTTCTTGTAATTTGGCCTGAAATGTATTTGCAGTTTCATCACAAAATGTCCCTATGTCAAGTCAGTGTCCTCATGTCGGGCCTTATTTATTGATATTTTCTGGGAAAATAAGTGTCCCTATGTCAAATTGTCCACAGGTTGAGGCGTCCTCATGTGGGGGTCTCACTGTATTTGACTCAAGTAAGACGTGTACATTTTTTTCAAAAATTGAGGGTAAAAAAAATACTGTGCTTATTTCAGTGATAATAATTAGGTATAAATTTTTAATTTTTTTTAGAAATTTAGTTGCATGCCAAGACACCTGATTCTGATGGAGATTCACGAACCATTTTGTAATAAATAAAAATAGAAAGAAGTGAAAATTGAATACATGATTTCTTTGAAGGGAACTTAGAATTTTTTTCAAACGATCTTTTTAGACTTGAGGCTGTGTAGTTCGACATTCACCAATTTTCCTCAATTGACAGACGGATGATCAAGAATAAACGATCTCTAAATACTTGTAATGTAAAAAAATGGATTTTTACAAAATGTTTTTTGCATAAACCGCATTTACTCAAGTACCACATGTAACTTTTTCTCCAAAATTGAAAGTAAAAAAAAGAGGTTGATGAACAGATATATAAAATTTTCAATTTTTTATAGAAATTTAGGTGCAAGTCCTACTTGATTCTAATAATGGAAAATTTCAGGCCGATTTTCTCAGAAATGAATATCAACACAATAAGTGAAAATTAATTGAAATAATTCCTTCTGGAGAAATATGAATAATCAAGTGATAAAATCTTGTTTGACTTGAAATTGTGTACTTCGAGATTCCCCAGCTTTTCCTTGTTTTCCTGATTAATGTATACTGTTTACCAACAATATTTCCTAAATATGGTAGTGTTATCCTTTTTTACTATTAGTTTTGGTTACATCTAAACTCAAAAGGACTGCTGTGAGTTTGATGTAATTTTTACAATACTTTATTCCATACATTGGTTAAACACATTCACAATACTGTACTGCAAATATAAATACTGAATCAACAGAACACTTGGCAATAAGACAAACTTCATGAAGAAAATTTTGAATGAAAAATGCGAAGTCTAGATCACAAACACAACAAGTCCAAATTTAAAGTTAAAGTACAAGTCTAGATCTGTTTCTGTACTCAGAACCTTCACTGGGGAACTCTGGGAGATCACTGGACATGAATTCTGGGGAACACAGAATTGCACACCTTTAAATACTTGTGCTGAAATAATATGAGTGAAAATGGATGTACACTGCATCAGATTTTTGCCAGTGCCAATCTCTGCTAAAAGCCTGATCCAGGGATTTAATCTAGGAATGGGCCAGATTTGATCTTTTGGCAAATCTATCCACTATCATGAGGATACAATGAATTCCAGGAGTTAAATATTCTGAGCTGGCCACAAAAAGGGAGAAATAGAGCAAACTAAATATTTCCTGCTGGAAATTTGGGGGTGACTTTTCCTTCTTTCATGTTTCAATCTTTTGGGGGAAGATAAGCTGGATCAAAAATGGGCATGGAATGGATTAGTCATTCCTGGGGGCAAGTACATGAAAACAAAAATGGCTCAAGCAATTTATCAATAAGACATATAAGTTTGAATATTTTTGGGAAAGGAATATATAGTTCCTTTCCTGGATAACAGTAGAGTAATTTCAAAAACGTTTTGATCTTATTTTTGGTTTTAAAAGCACATGGCGCTTGGTATCAATGTCTGTCAATCATAATTTAAGAAATCACCAAATGTACGCGATTATCAACAAAACTGCACCCTGTTTCAAGCAGCTGTTTAAAAAAATAGTACAGTAATTCACTACTGAACTAAACAGCGGATTGCAGGAAAAAAATTTGTGGGAGGCGAAAAAAGACAATGCAATTGAATTAAATTGGCGTGTTAATTATCTTAGCATTTCCAGTTGCTCTGTTGCAGGATGATAAAAAAAGTACGTGCTTTGCCAATGATTTGAGACATGACTTAAATTTACAGCATATATACCAGAATAAAGGAAGGATCCTGATTAGCGCACTTTAGCTCATTATAGGCGGAGGGCAACTTTTCACAAAATTATTTTCTCCATACTGAAACATTTTTCCGCAGTTCTTTTCGGTTTTTTTTTCTGGGCAGGTTTTTTTCAGACAGCCTCATGAAATAATTGAATACTGTATTGAAATGTACGGCCAACAAAAAGTTATGAATGATGTGCAAATGATTCATAAGCAGTTAAAATGGAGGCAAAATAGTTTCAAAAAAGGAAAAAGATGATGTTTTTAGAGCTTGATCTCGAAGTTTTTAATTCAATTTTTGGGAATTTTCTCCCAATAAAACGAATGAAAATTATATATTCCAGCACATGCATCCAAATAAAAATAAATCTATTGATTAAGTTAATTTCCTGTTGAATTTCCATCTTGAAAAGTATTCTGCTAAATATTCGCAGTACAGTTTTGAGTGCGGCGCCCGAATAAACAGCAATGGAGCAAACTGATGCATATTATGGAAAGTAATTTGTATGCAGATGATCCTTGCTGACTCACTTTGCATAATCCAAGAGAAGAGTTTTGAAATAACATCGCGCATAAGATGAGGAAATGCAGATGAGACCCTTTGAACGAAAACAGAGTGAGTTGAATTTATCGATTCTCGGTCATAAGCAGCAGAAGTATGAGAGGAATCATGAATAAATTTCCAAAGGTTAACTCTTGTTAAATCTTAATATTCACATGCTTTGGTGTTAACACTGCTGTGGTTATATACAGTACAGTATACGGTAAATACAGTGAAAAGACGAGAATCTGTTCTGACAGCTCAATCGAAGAACCTCGAAATATCTTCTCTACACATTTCATTAAAAAATGTTTTCGGGCATGATCATAATACTGTATATAGCATATATATTTTTCAACGTCACCATACGTCATAAAATAAGATACAGCAGCATGTTATGCATATATGAAACTGAAATTACTGTTCATTCATTTAAATTCCTTGCATGCTGCTGGAGTAATTCAAATTGCTATTATTTGAATTATTTGAATTAAACAGTACATCAGGGTTATATATAGTGAACACATTTTGTACAACATAGTATACAAGTTTTATAGTAAGTATTTAAAATGGAAAGGTAGACAGCAGTATGTACAAGTGGATGTGTGGGAATATATAAAATATGAATATTTCCTCAGCAATTTGAGCTATGGCAATCAAAAATACATATACAGTACAGTAGTATCAAGCTTATTATTCAATAATGTCATACAATGTGGATCCACAGCTTCTAATTGCTGTGCGCGCATTGCACTCGCATTTCAATGAGGTTTATTTTGTAAAACTACAACATTGGCTGCATTTGAAGCTTTTTCTTTGTAGCTGTTACATATTTTCGGCACCAATTGCTTTTCTACTTGTTACTGCTGTCCAAAACGTTGCTGCTGTTTATTTAGAGTAATATTTCAGGTTCTTCTAAGGATATATGGATATGGTTTACTGAATCATCGACTATAGCAGCAGGGAAAAGAGAAAATACATATGCAATACAGGCATTATTCCAGTTGACAGCTTCTTTGTCATATAGCTCTGTGCACCCTAGTAAGAGGCGTAAGTGAAAAAGCAATTTGAATTATGCTCCATTAACTGCAGTACTCAAACACGATATTCACTCACATACTCATGCACCTTCTATAAGCCCCAGAATTGGTACCAAAAAAAAATTTAGTAGATTAAAAAATTAATCTAAAAAACCACCTTTTCAAAAAGCAAAAAATAACCTTAAACGTGGTGCGTGCTTGCTAGCTAGTCGGGAAGTGAGCAAAATTTGATCCGGACAAACAAACGGACAAGAAAGCAAGTGAATAAAAACGTGTTAAAATATGAGAGCATGGGCATCATTTACTCAAGTGCAAACTTTTCCAAAACTCTTGGGTGCATTTCATCGTCCAGTAAAGTATTTATATATGGATCGCGGTACTGAGTGTACAGAAAATTTTTAAAAGAATAGCAATTTGAATGAAATTGAATTTTCTTCTTATTAGAGTACACATTGATAATTTGAGCTGTTATGTTTCCTATCTTTGAAGATTATTCACTGAAAAGTGGAATTATAGTACAACCTTTCAAACAATGTGGACTCTTACAAATGTAGGTGGGTGTGCCGATATTCACAATAAGAGAGCATGGTACAGTATTCCATTGAATACATCACAGTATTTATTAGTCACGTTCAGTAGTAAAATTCAATTCATAAGATGAAGGACAAATTCCAAAAATTTTAATTTCTGGGAATAATTCTAAAAAGGGAAATTTTGGTTCTCCCGCCACCACCAAGAGGTTTTCTTCTGCCATTGTAGGATTATAAAAGGATTCGAAGGAAATTTCAGAAAAGTTGGCCCACACGAGAACAGGCCTAAAATATCTCCAAGAAATACTCTATAAATACGTTTCACGCGGAATTTTATACTGCATTTACTTCCAGTTCCGCGGAAGCTTTCCGGACGGGAAAGCTTCCTGGAGAAATCTCACTGCGAAAGTTCCATTTGCGGATTCGAGGCACGGTAAACAGGCTAGAAGCACTTTCAACAGTTCAGCATTTTCACGGATAAGGCCAAAAACGATAAATTTTCGCCAAAAAAAAAAAAAAAAAAAAAAACGTGGAATGCCACATGCATTCATCATGTCTATATGGACCAGTGTTCCCCAACCTTTCCGAGCCAGCGTACCAGAACTTTTTCCATAAAATGTTTCAGGCCATCTCATCAACATGATTTTTCTAATACCTGCCATGAAGCCCACCAATCCAAAACAAAACTTATACTGCAAAACATAAAGTGAGAACCAATATGAAGCAGCTAAAGTGGAATGCCATCAGCAATCATAAACTTGGTCTTCAAGAGAGGTTTCTCAGAATGATTGCTGGAAATATGTTATTTCAGCAGGTGAAAATGTGTCAGACATGTTATTTAGGAAAAAGCCATTAACTTTATTTCTCACCATATAAATACAACTGCTATTTTTCTTCCAAAAATTCAAGATGAAGATATATACAGTGCTACCTTTGATGAATTTATTACAGAGAAAATTCTTCAAAACTTACACTGAAGTCTGTTATTGTTTTCTGAAATTTGAGACAATAGCAGTTGAAATTATCTGATGAAAAATATAAGTTGGCTTTTCTCCTTGTAATACTTCAGACAAATGTTTACCAGCTGAAATAAATTGCAGAGAGACCTTAAAATATGGACACCATCATAACATACAGATGATTTGACTTAGGGACAGTTAGGACTGGAAAAATCTAACCTGACATCTGGACAGTGTTTCCCTGGATTTTTTGAAAATTTTAGAATATTTTTCAAATTTTTGTATTTTTTGAAGAAATTGAGCTACTGTATTTAATTTACACATGCTGTAGATAAATTTTATTTTAAAACCACTACTGTATATAGATTCATTAAAAAATCAGGCTAATTTTGGACTTCTTTTTCATTGTTTTCCATCATCTATGCACAGTATTGCAAGACTTTCTCATTTCCTTTGCTTCTTGGGCTCCTTCTGGTGCCAAAATATCAGCCCGTGTGTTGTTTTCTTCTGTACATAGATTATCTTGAAGTTGGGAAAAGATAATTTCATTAAATTTGTGAAGGACTTTTTCCTTAAACATTCAACTACAGTACAGTGGAAGCAATTAAAATTATTCCCATTGAAGTCTATGGGAAATGGTGAAGATGCAGATGTAATTGGTGTATGGACCTTGTCCCTAAGTCAGAACATCTGCATGATGGGGGCCCACTGTATTTCAAGTTTTCATTTTCAAAACCCTACCTTAATGCCTGGCTTTGTATTTGTCAGAAAAATTTGGCTCTTATATTCATTTATTTTGACAATAAGAGTTTTGTTCTGAGGAATTTACAGAAAGTATTTAAAAGTTTTCTGGTGGTCTGCAAAAAAATTCTACGGAACTTTGCCAGTTTTATTTTTTTGAAATTTGCCAGTCGGCGGGCCCAAAGGGGTTGGGCAACACTGGACTCGATGCAACCTCCAAAATTTACCCAAATAGGTTGATCCACTCGCCACGTCCTGCAGAGGATTTCTCACATTCTGAACGGGATTTGCAACGACAGGACTGTAATACCGAGGAACAGCTGTCATCATCACTGGATTCAGCAGTTGGGGAAGACCGACAGCAGGGTTTGGACCGTAGATTTGGGCACTAATACCCATAAAAAATAAACACATCACCGGGAACACTTGCGAAATTCTAACCGATTTCAACATCTCGGCGATCCTAAAACATACAATCGATCAGCATGAACATTGTACAGTACCTTCAAGCTTCAATTTGGTGACATTTCCCTAAATTGGGGGTATTTTATGAGAGGAAGGTTCATTTGAGGGATTCAACTTCAGTCAAAATAAACGTTTTGCAGGATTGTAAGGCCACAGAGTCTGTTTTGTTAAAGAAAAAGCCACAAGCAATAATTTGGAATTATGAATTACTGTTTTATATTTTCATTTAGTTTATTTAATGGGTCAGAAAAAATGCATTTATACCCATATTGTGTCTCGCAAAAGAGCTGCGCTGTTCTTTAAAGAATTATTCAACTTTGAATTTTATATACTAAGTATTATTATTTTATTTTATTTTTATTATATTGCGGAAATTTCTCCAACATCTTCAAAAGAGCTCCCCCATATTAAAAAAAAAACTCAACAAAGAAAGGTGCCATGCAGCAACAAAAACATTTTCAACAATCTAAATTCAGAAATATAATTTTCAAAATCATCACAAGATTTTTTTTAATATTGGCATGTGATTCTCAGTAACCATGAACATGAAAGTAACACATGAAAGTACATCTATAAAAACTAACAAGGCTTCAATTTATTCCATTTTGGCCCGTTTTTCATCCAGGACAACGCATTTTTTGTGGCACCAAGTTCGTTGGCACTAAAGCGGGGGTTTTCTTATAAACGCAAATTACGCAATGGATTTGTTCCTACAGAATTCTGTTGCACTAATTTGAGAGTTGATTGTACATATTTCTTTGCTTCCGTCAAAATTTGTCGCTGTTGAAGTGTTGGTACATTATTTTTTTCTTTGCAGCACTGGCACGTAATTACCGGTATTTGAAAAATAATAATCACAGCTTTCGAGTTTTTACATAAAATCCTCCGGAAATGAACGTGGTCGGAAACTAAAAAAAAGGTTTCACCAACAACCTCATCAGTACCAACAAAATTAAGCTTTTCCATTGACAGCCAATTTTTGTGATAATCGAAAAGATATGCTCCCCAGAAGCGAAAACGCTTGCAAAAATTTTTGGCGCAGAATAACGAGATCAAACGATGGCTTCCGCAGATCTGTCAACATCCCGCGTGTTCACTCAAAACACGAAAAAAACAATACCTCGGCGCATCAACACGGATTCGTTCAAATGATATTCCACGAGAGGATCCCGTCAAATATTCCGCGTTCAACGTTCGACCTCAAGGACAAAAGCCGGTTTGCTTGTCGGTATCCCTCCGAAGACGGGGTTCAAAAGAAGTCGAAATGAAGGAAAAGTCGTCGCACAAACAAATTTTAATTCGCCTGGCTTCCTAAGTATTGATGAATTCTTGTTCTTGATTTCCTGTTTTTATAGTTTTTCGCGAAGTTATTATTAGTTTTATTTTTAGGCAAAACTGGTTGATTTCATACACGACGTTCGCGTGCGCGTGGCGGTCCCTTACACCTTTGGCCATTATCTAATCGACACAGAAAAGAGAAAATGTAAATTGCTGCGTTTTTAAAATAAGTGAAAGACTAGTTGTGCAAATGAACCCTTTGCCTCCAATTTTAGCATCCTGTCAACTCATTTCAGAAGCAATTCACGGCTCAAAATACAGTATCACCAATTACAATTTTCTATAATTTTTCCTTCTTCCCCCCCCCCCCCAACTCGAAACCTGTCCAACTCTTGATATTTTGCTGGTCCCTTAAAGAGGTTCTCCTCCACTACTGTATTGAAATCATTTACTCACAATGTAATCATCATCGTCATCTCTCGGCCCGGCACTGAAATACACACGATAAGCTTTGCACGCCTCCTTCACTTGTTCCACGGTTCCCGTGAGCCCAAGAAGGGCCGGATGAAATTCTTTCACGTATGCCCGCACAGCTGGAACAGTGTCCCGTTCTGGGTCCACACTAACAAACAATGGCTGCACTGGATCCGCGTGTTCGCTCGCGGCCAGCGTGTCGACGATTTTGCCGAGCTTCTCGAGCTCGTCCGGGCAAATGTCGGGACAGTGCGTGAACCCGAAATAGATCAAGCACCATTTGCCGTGGAAATCCGAGCTCTTTCGCGGATTGCCGAAGTGGTCCACGAGTTGAAAGCTTCCGCCGATTTTGGCCTTCCCTAGTTCTCGCTTCCGCTCGCGCTGAATGGCTGCAAGACGAAATTCATTGCATTCAAGCACGTTCAAAAAGTACACTGTAGGGGCAATGGACTTGGAAGAACTTGCAAAATACTGCACTAATGAAAATTTTGATGCTTAGTCCATCACAATCAAGGAATACGTGGGTTGTCCCAGTTCGACGCGACCTCCGATATTTTTACATTACAGTACGCGGGATTATTCAAAAAATCCTAACCTAGCCCACAATTTATCAGGTTGTTTGATTTCTTTTGGGATTAAAAAACAAAAGCTTTTCCTTTTACTGCCGGATGATAAGTGAAAACTTTCCAGTTACTCATTTCACAAGGTGATACAAATGTGTCAGGCCAGCTAGAGTATCAGAGTTCTATTACTTCAGATAATGATTAAAAATAGCACAATTTAATTTTTTGCTAGCCAAACATACTTGAGCGTCCTGGGACATGGTTGGAGAACTCTGCCTTCAACTGGGAAGTTTTCACTCATAGCATGCAGTACAGTGAATTGAAAAACGTGAAAAAAACACCACAACCTCAGATCATTATGGGCAATGCCATGATTTTTTTTGTACAATCACACCTGCTCTTTTCCAGCATTTTGGCAGAATACAGCTGAACCTCAAAAAGTCAAACCTCTTTATTTCAAATTTACTCTAAGTCCCTGTCTGCATTTCCTTCAAAACAATGCATTACTCAAAGGCTTCCTCCTAAGAACTCCATAATGCAGATTTTCTGGAGGCCTTTTGGCAATTACAGTATTTTGTTGACACAGAAAAAAGAAAAAAAACGAGGAATGTAACTTCATGTGTTCTGAAAGTGAGTGAAAGACCAATTGGGCAAATGAACCCTTTGTCTTCAACTCCAGCATCCTGACATCTCACTCAAGAAGAAATTCAAGGCCTAGAATATCACCAATTATATTTTAAAATTCTTTGTTCTTTTTTCCTCAACAAAAATTCCGGGTTAAATCGGATTTTTTTTTTGTCTATGGTCTCTTGAAAATTCGACTTGAAGAAATTAAATAATACAACAAGAGGTGGACCACTTTCGTGTTGCCCACCGCATATTGTGGATTTTGATTCACGCGCATGAAGCACCGAAGGCAAAAAACTTATCGTTCAAATGATTAAAATATTAAGTATGACACAGAAAACATACCTTTATCCTTTTCACTCCTAAGATACATCACAACGGCTACGAAGACAGATCCGAAGGCAGCAAAAATGCCTAAAGTTCGCCAATTGACAGGACCTTTTCCTTCACCAGCTTTCCCGCGTTTCTTTGGCAGTTCCACGTAAGTCGGACCTTTCGTAGAATACGCCAGACGTAGCTCACCATTCAACAACGGTCGAAGCAAATTCCTCGCACTCAACTGAAAATCGCCAGAAAATGTTAAAAATTCCCAGTATGTAAAATTGTAAACCACACAAATTCGAAAAGGGTACTCTCACTTCCACGTAACCTTTCTGGATTCGAAAGTAATGTTTATCACTGCATTACCTGACTAGGAGCAGCTGATACCCTTCGGATGCCCATCCTCGCAAGATCCGAAGCGACCACACGAAGAGCAACTCCCAGCATCTTGGAACTCATATTTTCTTCGCCATCGACAGAAACATTCCCAGACGCTAAAGATTTTCTGCAGACGAACAGAGGCGTGATTTTGCAGCAAATTGTCGGGAAAAATTAGATAAAAAAAACTGATGAGAAAACGCAAAGATAACGATGTAATTCAACAACAATCTGCACAGTTGAGCAGAAGTAAAACCCACGGATTCGAGAAAATTTTGCCGATCGACACGATATTCACGCGCCGAAGAATTATGCAAAAAAGTTCAATAAAAAACTATTCAATGCACCCGTTTTCAAGCAATCCGTTTCCGAGTGGATTCTCACACAATTTGGCAAACCTGAAGATCACTGATAAAAAAGAAATCGAATCACATTTGCACCGCCTGTCGCAAAAGACTTTCCGGAATCAACGCAGTTTCGCTCGGCGACCACGAAGCATTATCCTCGATCATTCCCAATGCAGATGCTAGTGGAATCTCTGTCTCGGAATCACCGCTATTGTTCCAGGAATTACCCGATCTGATGGTTTCTTCTCCATTCGGCTGCATGATCCATTCCAACTCTTTCGGACTTTCGTGCATTTCCGGTACGTTACACATCAGCTGGGTCCTGTCAGCAAAAGAAAAGGAATAAAATTCCTTGAGCTTGACAAAAAAAAAAATGTATTGCAATTTCATCAATAAGAAAATCTTGCTTCTTTTCACTTCAACGCCAGACCTCGCTCTCTCAAATGTCAGGCAGGTTTCGCCTGGATAAAAAAAAAATGCAACCCAACCCGTACAAAAAATTATTGCAACTCCACTTCTTATCTTTCTAGTACACCACATGATACAACTTAATTTGTATGAAAGGAAACTCGAAAATGTCAACGCTAAAAACACATTTAACGTTGCTTCTATGTATAACGGGAACCTTCCGTTCATCGTCTGAGAAAATGGAAGAAGTAAGGTATAGGTTGGGCACCAGAATTTACAATAATTTGTAGATTTTTGAATTTAAACTGAAGCGAAAAATTTCAGGTGACTCCAAAACCGACACCTAATACGGCATAAAACTTCTTTTAACAGATTCATCACTTGGTTTTTCCCCAATAATTTAAAGCCAAAAAACACAGCATTACAGAAAATTGAAGAAAAAAGTCAGACGAACTCACGGTAATCTTCGACACCGCTTGTAGCCAGGTTCGGGGAAAATTTTGTTGCATTTTTCGCGAAGAGTTTCACAGTAGTCCTCCATTTCCAGCAATTTCCTCTTCACACTGTTCCTGTACCAGTTGCTGATCGTGTCATGGCCAGACGGGTTATCGCCGAGAGAATTTGCGACATTCACAAGAACACATGGGTGCTGAAGAAGACCAAAATTATAAAAAAAAGTAACAGAATTGAAAAACGAAGACACTTACAACAGCCGGATAAACGTGACACCGAGATTTCTCGTCCATTTGCCGCATTTTACCGAGCATCGACTTCAAGTGCTCGTGAGCAACATCAGTAAGAAGGTCCAGCACCTGCTCGGTTGAACCTGGAGGTAAAAATTCAATTTTGATTGATTGAAAAAACGCTAGAATGTGAAACTCGAAGAATAAATATACAGACTTCTCAAGGGCATCTAAAAAAGGGATCCCGGCCTGTCTTCATCCTTAATCAAGGAACTCTGACATCTTCAATATCTCAAAATTTTCCTTTTCAAACTATCAAGATTGCAGCGGTTGATAACCACTTTATGGCTTGATTTGAATCATTTAATAACACATATTGCACTTACAGAAATGCATTTCTTTCATCATAAGACCAGATAATGGGATAAAGAGCGCCCAAAATTCTCAAAATAATAATTCACAATTCGCGCATCACAGAATGATCAAATGATGCAGCCTCAAAACTGAAGATCAGAAAATAAAACTTGAAATGTTTCTTTTTGTTCTTGGAATTATAGTGATTAACGCATACATTGACAGTCGCGAGAACAATCTAGCACGCGTAATAAACAAAATATGCCAAAATATTTTTGCGTCTGAGAATGCGGAAAAGTATAATACGTGCCAGCACAGCTCAACTAGTAAAACAAACGTGCTGCATAGAATCAGTAATTTCTATAAATTGCTTGGGAGCTTTCAACAATAAATGCATCCTTCAAAAGAACAAAAGAAATTTCGTATTTTCAAAGAGCCTGCATAAATTGAAATAAAAAAAAAAACTATCCATTCCGGTTGGGTTTCCAACCCGGTTAGCAACGTTAATACCCGGGACAGAAGAAATACTGTAGTAACCTCCTACACTAGTGAAGAGAAGTTTGTCGGCGAATATTCAATAAAATGCAGAAGCACGTTGCTTACTGTAGAAACCGGTGTGAGCGGCAACAGCAGCCACGGATTTCCGGAAAATTTGCTTTGCCACAGATTCCGTCAAGGGTGGTGGAGGAAATCGACGATTTCGACAGAGCTCTTTTCCATCCTTCATTTTCGGCGGATAAGGAGGAATTTCTGAAATATCTGCAGCATCCAAAGGCACTCCAGCTTCCTTGAAAAAAAGAGCAGTATGAAATAGGAAGCATGAACTAGAATTGCAGTTGAACCTAAATAAATCGGACCTCTCTTAGTCAAAAACCTCCTTACAAATATTTTTTTCAAGGCCGTGTCTGAATTTCTTAGAAGCAATGCATTGAAGATCTCTTTAACTTGAAGGCTTTCCCTCTCAAACCTACAAAAATCGAATTTTATGGAGGCCTTTTTGGCTATTACAGTATTTTATTGACTCAGAAAAGAGAAAAGATATAAAATTTAAATTGATGCGTTTGGAAAGGAAATGAAAGACTGAGTGGGCAAATGAACCCTTCTACTTCAGCATCCTGTCATCTCGATCAAGAAGCAATTCAAGGACTAGAGTATCAACAATCACTTTTTTTCTCACCTCACAAAAATGCTTGTTTCCCAACCTCGAAAACTCCTAACGCATTTTTTGCTGGGCCCTCGAAGTTTGACTCCGACTGTACTAGACAACTAGAATATAATCTTGACAATGCAGTGCTCCCAAATACAGCAATGAACTTCCCATCAGAACATCGTGGGATCGCGATTAAAATAAATGATTAATCCGAAAAAAAGTCCAGGAGAAAATTTTATTTAATAAAAATTCAAAGGTTCCTTTCATAAGCTATTGAGTTTTTCACGTTCATCCTCCTCGACTTCTCGTTCATACCCTTAATTCGTCTACTTCAATCAAGCAAAAGATGAGATTGATGCATCACATCCGTTAGTACCTTTCCGTGGAGAAAAGCGGACATCTGTCTAGCATACTCTCTCAAGGAAATCGTGTGCATGACGATTGGGTCCATCTCGACTTCACAATGCGGTAGCCTGTATCAAAATTAAAATAATTTTTATTTGAACAATGGAACTTGCACTGACTAAACTCACAAGTGGAATGCAGGAGGCCGTGGTTTATTCTGCAGATGCCTCGATCTTCTCGGACAACGGGGAGTGAGGTATTTTTCGAATTCGGGATTTAAGAGCGGCTCAGAAGCATCTTCTTTTGTTCCAGCGGATGAAATCACATCTTCATTTGCAGCTGGGAAGTTAATCCCTCTATTTAACAAATTATACTCTTCTTCCGAGTCACTCATCGCGAGTTCGCGACTGAGCCTAATTGCACTCTCCCCGCTGATGAATACGCAGTTTTTAGGTGTACGTGCACCTGAAATACAGGAGCGACGGAAAAAAATGTTATAATCTGCAAAAGAAATTCGGGATGATCCTCGACCATCAATAATATCGAAAGAGAGAATTTGCACAGCAAAATTTTTTCATCATTTTCCTTGAAGACACTCGTCTCATATCGCAATTGAAGGTTCACATGATATGGAAAGCGAAGGGTCAAGGAAATGATTCATAGCGAGAACACTTCATTCTAGCAATTGCAAAGCCAGAAAATAGATTTTTTCACATGTTCATCGTCATGCAACTCCCCCTTCGAGTTTGAGGATTCACAAGAAAGGAAGTTTTCATCCACTGTCCATATCCACCACGACCTTCAAGAACATCAACACTTGAAAAAAAAAAAAAAAGTTTCCTGAGTCCAACGCACAAGCTGAGAACTTTTTCTATGCTGCAAAAACACCAGCAACTGAAGATCAAATCGACACTGGAATTCATGAATACCACTCATTGCTTGGAACCTAAGGGGAAGAACACGAGATCTACTCAAGAGATCTCGATCACAAGATACCCTTAATGCTACATTCTCCACCTTCATTCTAGTCTCTGAGTGTTCTTTGTTGTTGAGAGATTGAAAAGATTTTGCTTTGGCAAGGATTCCCGTCAAACTCGCAACTCAGACGCGTTCTTGATTCCGAAACGAAGTTGCGAATGTCGCACAGGACGACTGGTCGGAAATTTCTTCAATGGGATTCCACAAAATGCCAACTGAAGAGCCCAGTTTCAGGAATGAAGTGAAGCTTGTTCTTCCGAATCGAATACTCGCAATCAATTTAAATATTTCCCGAGAATACGAGGGAATGGTCGTCTTTCGCGTGAAGCTTCCCACTTCAGCAGTACACTCAAATAATGAAAAAAAACCAAAAAATCATCTCAACTCCAGTCGACGACACTCAATTGCGTCTTTTTCACGCAACATAACGCTGCAAACGACCAGAAAGATTGCCAAGAAAACATCCACAAAATCAAGTTTCCACAACACTGCTGGAAGATTGAGCAAGGCTCTCTTTATACACCTTGACCACAGCTTTGCACACGAACTTGTATTGACTAGAAGTCTGAATCATCATGGCCCGCTGGCTTCGCATCGTCTGCACCATGTCCAATGGGTAAACCGGTTGATTGGCCTCGATTAACGAAATGGCCGTGTCCATGAGGATCAACACACCAGTCCTTCCAATCCCGGCCGAGCAGTGCACGATCACTGGCTCTTCGGAATCCCCTCGTAATTCTCGGATCTTACGAACAAAGCTAACAAATTCGTCGCAATGTGCCGGGACTCCGTGATCCGGCCACGTGTTATACTGCAACTGCGTCACCTCGTGCACAATTTCAGCGTCGTCTTCGTGCTTGATGGAGAATTGCCGAATGGTCAAACAGCCCTCAGTGGACTCTTCGGAACACGTGACACTGAAACCGTCATAGAGCTGACTTTGATTTTTCGCTGGCCAATACGGATGGCACTTGGTTCGCCCGCCTTCCAACACTGTTGTGAGCATCACGACTAACGGAGACTTGGTCTCCCAGGCCATGAGCCAAAAATCAACGCACGTGGAAGCGAGAGGACCTTGAGCAGCGATGAACCGGTTCACCTTGTCCGTCCCCGCAATTTCCATGTCCACGTAATTCGCGTTGATGTAATCACCAGAATTGGCGGATTTCAAAACGACCCGCGTGGTATCATAGGGTAAGATATCCTTGTAGCGATTCTTGTGGATGTTCTCCGGCTTTCGGCAATCCGCCATGCTCAGTTCCGGCTTGCACCGAAAAACAGCTTCAAATTGAGTCGTTAACAAGCCAGTCTCAATGGCTTCCGTGAGCAACATCATCGACTGAGCCAACGCTGAACCGGACGGAGTAACCGGAGATTTGTGAGCTTCGGGAACGTACTGGAATGCAGGTTCTTCCACGTCCTCCCCAATGTACACGTTGGGTTTAACAGTGAGCACTAATGCGTGTGATTTGCAGTTCATCGCTGCACGAATGCAGTCCACCACTTGGCGGTGTGTTAGGTTGGAAACATCTTGTTGATTGATGAGCATGACCTAACAAAGCAAAAAATAAAAAAGTAAATGGTACTGTATTTCATCAGGGGGACCCCGACAGACGGACACCCCGACATATGGACGATTTCATTAAGGGACACTTGAAACTTGAAGAAATTTCCCCGACATCCGGAAGATGTCTCGAGATACGGATACAGTACTTTCCAACATTTCTAGGAAGACTGATCAATTTTATTCTTCTCAATTTGATATTTCTTGAACAGATTGAGCTATTCACACAGTCAAACCTCTCCTGAGTAGAATTTCAAGTGACAAAAAAAAAAAAAAACTGGAGTTACGGAGGTTTCGAGTCAGGGAAACAAGCATTTCTGTAGTGAGGAATATAGAATTGCAGGAAATCGTAAAATGTGATATTCTGGGCCTTAAATTACTTCTGAAATGAGTTGACAGGATGTTGAACTAGGAAGGATTCATTTGCACAATCAGTCTTTAATTTCCTTACCAAATGCATCAAGTTACATTTTTTAGTGTTTTTCTCTTCCCTGTGTCAACAAAATAATAGCCTAAAGGCCCGCAGAAAATTAGATTTGTGGAGGTTTGAGGAGGAAAACTTTAGAGTTCGAGAGATTTTTCATTGTTTCTGAGGAAATTCGGAGGTGGACGTGAAACACATTTGACTTAAGGATGTCTCAATTATCCAGGTTAAACTTGTATTGACAAAAGTTAAAAAGAATTTCATGATATGAATTATTGTACAGTACTGTAAGACCTGATAATCGAAAACAGCTAATTTGTGCTTCATCTTTCAGAGTTTTTTTTAATCAGGTGTCTTGCAAGACCTGTTCTTGTTTTTTTGCTTCTTCTAATCTTAAGAGATCAGATTCTGTGATTGTTTTCTTCTGCATAGTTATTTTCTGTATCTTGAAGTTGAGAAAACAAAATTTTACTCAAGTTTTTGAGTATTAGTATTCCTAATTTTTGATAAACATTAGAACCAATTTAGTATTTTCCCATCGAAGTCTTTGGAATTATTTTTATCCAAAATACGGACACTCGGACATCATAGAGACAAGGTTAGAGCACTAATCACGTCCGCATGTCGAGGCCACGCTGTAGTATATAAATCACTCGCAATTAAAACTTACTTGATCGCCTTCGTTTAGCCTGGGATAGCATTTGTCGGCAGGAGTATTCGGAGCAACTCGGGTAACTATCACCGGCATGGTTTTATCGACGCCGCCCTTGACGTTGAATCCGAACCTTCCTTGCGCATCGGGCTTCATCATAATAGTGACTAATCCATTAACACTGTCTTTGCAGGAAGAATTGATGGATCGCTGCGGGGAATTCGGGTTACTACGAAACTTCTTTGGCAAACTCCACAGCTGCTTCGGCACGTCGAGAGGAAGTTGAAGCGAGTTGCGACGTTGAGGTAGTTGTTGCTGGTGAAATTTTTTGTTGGCACATGGGGACACGGAACCGGCAGAGACTTGCGGAGTTTCTTGGGCGAGACAACGCAGGGCTCCGTTGCGCTTCACCACGTACTTGCTGAAAGACCGCACAAACGCCTTGTCGTTCCGGGCCCGGCTTCGGGATTCCTCGAAGGCTTGCAACGCGGTTTTCCCCGTGTACCGGAACTTGGAACCGGACATGAAAGGCAGGCGACGCAGCGAGGGATGGAAAAGGACTCGTGGCACGGACGCTTCTTTTACGGGATCCGGATTGAGTTCACGCAAGGACCGGAAAAACGTGTGATGCTCCACGCAGCTCTTCCACAGGTCTTTACACGACCTTCAAAATAGAATGAGTCATAGACAATGAAGTTTAAATTAGCCAGAACACCAGATGATTCATTCATTCATTCGTTCCTTTGTTCGCATTGGAATTACAGGGAACAGCACACAGTTCACAGCAGTGGCGTACAGGCGCTGTCGATAAGAATTTTTATTGCGCACGGCGAAAAAAAAAAAAAAAACGTTTCCTTCCTTATGCGCAACGGTTCTTGTTTCCCTCGGGAATGGGTAATTTCCAAAATCTTCGCAGAAATTTCCTTCCAAGTACTCGTGATCAAATTGAAACACATCCTCAACACTACGATGAAGTTTAAAAAAACAGTAGCTTCAAAGATCACGGTCTCTCCATACTTCCTTGATCGAAGCAGTCATTTTCTGAGAGCGCCGAGCCTTTCTGGAAAAACATTCATCAGAAAGATTCCTTCTTGGCCGAGACATACTTTTTTACACACTTTTCCTTAAAATTTTGAATAATTAAAGTACTGTATAAACAAGAAATACGAGGGTCGGTTAATAAAGTTTTGAAAATTTTTGAAATAGATCCAATTTCAGAAATTCCAAATTTTTGTTTTTACTAGAATTGCCCCAATATGATTATTTAGCAACACTTCACTGCTGTTCAACGCAGTCTCTGCCAATTTCAAGGCATGTTTCATGCGATAACATAAACCCAATGATCAAAAACAGTGCGAAAATTTTATAACTGCGCTAGTTGATCAAGCGATTTTTTGACGACGGAAATGAGGCTGTCAGTGTCCTCAAAATCAATGTCTTTCAGATCATTATTCACCGTTGGGAACTGCAAGAAGTCGTTGGCTGCAATGCATTTTTAGGATGATTTTTTTTTCGTAAAAAAAAAAAAAATTCAATGACGGAAAATTCTGTTCCCAAATTGGAGCTATGGGAGTAAGAAAAAAGTTTGAAATTGTTGAAATTCTGTTGGAACTATTTCAAAAATTTTCAAAACTTATGAATCATCCCTCATACAAACACTTGATTTAAGATGACTCTCGCCACAGGAGAAATACAACGAACTTCTGCTTAATCTGCCGCATTGTATTCTGCTTCAGATTCTACGCTGTGGAATACGACATACAATAATGCCTTTCTTAGAGGGATGAAAATGTTGAAAGCATGCGACTGGAACCGGTTTTATACAGAAAAGCATATTCTTAGAAAGGAAAACGAAGAATCTTGAGTGCTAACCTGTAACAAGTCAACGTGAAAACCACTTCATCACGAGACAGCTCAATGAAGAACTCCCGTTGCTTGAAACAAAGCTTCATGATGGACTCCCAGGAATAAAAGCTCTGCCTTTTGGAATTCTTATAGAGATACAGGCCCTTGGAGGCGACTCCCATTTGGACCGGATTCCGATCCCAATCCCAGGCATCGTGGAACTCCACTCCGTACAAGTCCAACTCTTTGGCCTGGTCGAGGAATTTGAGCTCAGCTTCCGCGGGGGTCAAGCCTCGCATGGTTTCATGGAGTTCTACAGCAACACGGTCCACGTCCGTGTTTTGATCGGGGATGAGCTGAAGACTGGTGACCGGACTTTCATCAATCAAAGGGGCATCTCCAAGTTCCGATTGTCGGGCGCAAGCCGTGAGATTCGCAGCTACGCTCGTTGGACACGGCAACGACCCGTTATGGATTTCTTTTTGCAGTTGAAGAACGTACAGGTAACGAGTGTATTCTTCCTGCAGCTGCGTGCGCGGGTCGTCGACGAAAAACTTCACTCTGAAGTGAAATTCCAGTGGATCTCCTTCTGGGATCTAAAAAAAATTGACCAACGGTTAGAAAAACGGGAGAAACTTCAAGCATACAATTGATTCAACTGATGCGGTGTAAAATCGAGTAGGAAAACTCATCAAATGGTGAAATTTCTAAAACCCTTTCATTCACCCGGGATGCTCGAAAAACGATCTAAATACAGTAAAAATCGTATTCCAATACAAACAAACTCATGGGGACTCACGAAAAAGTTTGTTATACACTCATACAGAATAATTTGTTAAAATGAGATTTTCAAAATTGATGACTGGGAAAATTGTCACCCTTAGACCTGCCTATAATCAATTAAATCTCGCTTTCTTATGGCATTCTCAGATTTTTACTACAGTTTGAACACTGAGCGATCTGAAAAAATTAGCTTCACTGATACAGTCCATCAGTTGCACCAATCTATTCATTCTGGGAGGATGATATGTGGAACCACTAAAAATTATTTTTGTCATAGATCACAGCTTCCATCCATGCTACAAGATCAGAAATTTCAGACTGTGCCTGCCTCCGTCAGAAAATTTCTACCAGGAGAATCTATTGAACATTCATCAAAAAAGTTTGTTATACAGGAGTTAGGAATTTTGCTGTAACGAGATTCTTTAAACTGAGCTCTATAAGCTGTCTGTCGGGATTTTAAAAAATGTTGTACTACAAAATTTTTATAACGGTATTGTTAAGAGATTTTAGACATTTTACGGTACCCAGGGAAACAATTTTGGAAAAAATCTTCGCCATGTCTAATCGCATATCCAAACTAGTTTAAGGCAAAATACAAGCGCGATAATTACCTGTTTGCGAATAATCTTCCTCGGATCCAGCCATCGGAGCCCAGCATCCGATTTTTCCGACAACTTGCAAATTTTCAACCCGAAATAGTCCCTTTCCACGAGATCTAAATGCCGAAAAACGAGATCCAATAACGCCTGGCCGCGGGCTTTCTTCGGAAGTGCGAATGTGGAAGTCGTGTCGTCGAGAAAAAGCACTCCGCACTGCATTGCGTCAACTGCCATTGCCCGATGAATCACCTGCCAAGAATGGAAAACGAGTAAAGAATCGTAAATTTCATGAATACCAGAAATATACCATGATTCTTATGAACATAAAAACCTCACAACGCGATAAGAAATATCGAATAATAAAATAATTGCGTTTTCCATGTCGCCCCGAAAAGACATGACCTCGCCGTAAGATTAGCTCAAAGAAAATATCTACCCACTAACATTTTTAGACAGTAATGTACAAATCTCAGTCAACCTCGATCACACTTCGAGTTTTAGACCAACTAATTTAAAATTTAAATTGAACCACATAGATTGACATAAAATATTTCTGTTGGAATGCGAGGACTAACACTTCGGGAATACGGCTTAAAATGAAATCTTCACGTTCTGGTTCAAAAATTGGACGAAAATGTGAAGTTTACTCTTTAAAACAGAACTTCAACATGATGCCAACGAATTTTGAAGAATTCGTTCCATAAAAACAAAATTTTCTAACATCTGGCACAAACAGATAATGCACTCAGAAGGAACAACTTCCCACTCACCATGTCAACGGGAATCAGTCATGCCCCCCTCAGCATGTAACCGAAGGAAGACAGCGCATGATTCAATTCCATGGAAATACACGCTTCATTGCGGTCACATTGCGGCAACTTTTCCAGTTTCAACGCGACTGGATAAAAAATAATTATTGTTCTGTACTCCTGAACAAACGCAAGGGGGAAAAAAACAATAGCCTCGTCATTCAACGAGACACTTGGTGTTCGAAATCGAAAATCTCATTACAACGCTCCAATGCAAGGACGGTTCCCATTGCGAATGTGCCGCCGTCTGCTGAAAAACGAACTTCTATAAGCAATCGAAATTGATCATAACAACCACTTCCCGAACGATCTTGAAAACGATCAAAGCTCAACACGGAAGTACGGTAAGTAAAAAATAATAATTTCGAAGAAATTTTCACGTATTTCCCGGACTCAACTTGGGTGTCTCAAACGGGGATTCAATTACTACTTCCTCGGTCGGCAATGATCTCCTTATTTCCTCTCCTCGCTCTTTCAAGAACTCCTCTATGTCTCTTCCTTCGAGATGTTTGAACCAACAAAGCCGGTCAGCAATGAGATGCAAATTCTCACAGCCCGGGCATTTGACGATCACGATTCCTCTGTCATAGGCCAGCTTGGAGATAAATTTTGACACTCTCTCGCTGCAAATTTTGCACGTAAACTCTAGTTTCAGAGTTCGTTCCAGCCGGCCGACTTCACTTTTCTCCGCATAAAACCGGCTGGTAGTGAGAAAAGTTCTTGATGTATTTTCGGTAATACGCGACACAAATATCCGGCGATTCGCGATCGCAGGTCTAGTCAATGTCCGTAAAAACACTGAGGTGATTCTGCGCATCGCCATCAGTTTATTTTCACGCACGAAAAGAGCCTGAAAAAAATACAGCGAACAAAATTGGTACACTGCAGTTGAATCAGCAGGAGAAAGATCTATTCTGAATTCATAAATGAGATTCAAAAGCAAGCAGTTTAATGACTCGGCGTGAAGGATGTTGGAAAAACGAAACGCTAGGGAATGATTCGTATCATTCCCCGCCGCGAAGAGCAAGAACGAGATGAAGCACGGATCCGCCGGTGACTTTGTAGTCGGCCGCAGTTTTGTCGTCGTTCATTTGTTTCCCCGAAAAGATGAGACGTTGCTGGGCCGGCGGGATTCCCTCTTTCTCCTCTACTCGTTCTTTGATCCTAGCTACTTTGTCGTTCGGCTCGATGTCGATTTCTATTTCTTTTCCCGTCAGGGTTTTCACTTTTATCAACATACTTAAAACCACAGAGAAGAAAGAGGTCTGAAAAGCCGGAAGATTTCTTAAAACAGAAGATAAACCACAAAAAATAAACAGGAAAAACGACACAAAAGACATCAGTTATATTTAAATGAAATATTGTTTTCGAGACGCACAGGGAACTTTCAACGATAGAATTCATGCTCTGCCTCGTCCTTCTTGATGTTGTTCTTATACCCCTTCTCGAAATCTTTCGGCAAGATCACATAGCGGTTTTCACGAACTGCGTGCATTCCGGCCTGAAGAGAAAAAGAAACGCGAACATTCCTTCATTCACGCTCAATTTCAGGCTTCAAAATACTGTGATGCACTAGTCGTATCGGTAATGATCGGACACGAAAAGAAAAAAAGTCAATTACAGTACCCCATCCTGAGGGAGACATAATTATATCGTCAAGAAAATTCCATTGAAGAGGAACTCAGTAAGAAAAAACGAGATTTCTGCCAGGACTAGAGAAAGTTCGCTGAAAAATTCCTGGAGAGATTATTTACTCGCGTATCATTCATCAATTATGTGGACAGGAAGTAATTCCTGGGAATGAACCACATCGAAACATGTACTGTATCTTCATTCGAACAAAAATCTGAGAGTTGAAATTCAATACTGAACCTCATAGGTTAAAAAAGTAAAATACTACCTCTTGACAAATTGCATTGATATCAGCACCGGAAATCTTGTCTGGCCTGGCAACATATTCCTCCAAATCAACCTCGTCGGAGAGATTCATTCTGGCTGTTATGGTCCCAAAAACCAGACGTTTCTGCCGTCTATCTGGCAACGGGAACTCGATCTTTCGATCCAGGCGACCAGGACGGAGCAAGGCTGGATCCAGAGTATCAGCTCGATTCGTTGCCATAATAACCTTCGAAACAACAGCACATGGTCACAATCGGCACTGTGAAGCATCGAAAAAAAAAGTAACGCACCTTCACGTTCGTCGTTTGGTCAAACCCATCCATTTGATTAAGCAGTTCGAGCAGAATACGTTGCACTTCTCGATCGGCGCCAGTTTGAGCATCGAAACGCTTTGTCGCAATCGCGTCGATTTCATCGATGAAAATGATTGCCGGAGAATTTTCCTTCGCCAATCGGAACACATCCCTCACCATCCTCGGACCTTCTCCAAGATATTTTTGAACGAACTCGGATCCAACCACTCGAATGAAAGCCGCTGCATACGGATAACAAAGGTTCAATCACCGAATGATATTCAATATTCAACGTGGATTGATCAGACGCCTCTGAGGTACTCCGCACGACAAAATACCACATCTGCATGCTTCAGTCACACATTTATCTTCCACATGTCGCTCTCATAAAAGTAAGGAACACATTTCGGTTTACTCCAACGTCGGGTTTCATTCGACCGAAGTGATTTTTCAAGTTTCTAAGTTTCTGGATATACTGTACTAGAGTCGGCCGACATTGATTAAACCTTGAAAGTTTCCCGCAGGAAGGAGAAACCCAGAAGAAGTGGCATCAGAGAGAACTTGATACGCGCATTCGTCTACGCGGAGAGGACAAGTCTTGCATGTGGAATGATACTCGAAGAAAAATCGCGTCTATACGAAAATCGTTACCAGTAGTATGATGGGCAACAGCTTTAGCCAGCATGGTCTTGCCGCAACCGGGTGGTCCATACATGAGAACACCGCGTGGAGGGTCAATTCCGATTTGTTTGTACAAGTCCGCGTGCGTTAAAGGAAGTTCCACGGCTTCCCTCACTTCTTGCTTCTGGATGTCCATGCCACCGATATCTGCGTAACTCACGTCAGGCTTTTCGTCTGAGGAGAGAATTACTTGTCGTACTGCCCCATAACGGATGGCAAATATTATAATTTCGTGAACTTGCCGGCCTGAAGCATAGAAATGGAAGAATCCGCTTCCGGGGGGAGAACATCCACCAGGGCGTTACTATGTTTATGCAACGCAACGCTCGCAGACGGCTTGAGGAGTTCTCGGTCAATGGTTGACAAGATTCGAACAAAATAATTCGATCCTGGAAAGCACGAAAAATGTCCAACAAAATTCTCTCGATGTAGTCATATGACATACCAGTCGTGCTTCCTACAATCGCGGTGTTCTGATCCACCGCTTCGAGAAACTGCCCAATAACCAATGGAACACTTTGGATCCGCTTCACTTCTTCTTGAGCGTGCAAAAACTCTTTCTTCAAGTTTCGTTGTTCATCCTTGATATACTCCTCTTGCACTGCGAGGAATTGTAGATGTCTTTGCAGTTTCTAGAATGATGGGTGCACACAAACTAAAGAATTATAATGATCTCAGGAAAACTTGATATGATATAAAACCTTGTAACGGGAGTAAAGATCATCCGCATCGGCCGCATCAGAGAACATCCCACAGGATACTGCTTCTTTCTTCGGTAGCTCGACACCTTCCTCCTTCGCGGGATAAATGTTACCAATAAAAATGAAACGAGATAAGAGCTTCTTAATCGCAAAGGAAAACACGAAGTACAAGAAATAATGCTTACCCTCTCAGGAATCACAATACCGATTTCCTCCATAATAATGGCTCGACAGAAGATGAACAGTCACCCGCGTTCAATGAATTTTTTCCTATCAACAAGAGAGTCAAATGAGCAACAGATAATCGCGGCACGTAAAAGCCACTTCAAAGTGAACGAATGACTAGATGAACGAGCTTGATGAACGAAATTTGCAATCAAAATTTTAAACACGAACGTCTAGGGAAATTTAAGGTTCGCGCGAGCAATGAGTTCTACACTGTACTGCAAATTTCACCGGCGGACAAGAAGTGATCAAAAGATCGAAGATACGTGAACACGAGAAACGTTCAGCTGATTTTGATTGGTTCAAAAATAAAGCTCCATGGACTCCTACGCGACCTGCAATACCGCCGTTGTCGCTCTCTGAACATGCGGCAACATGCCTGAACACGCAATTTTAGCAGAAAGTCGGCGTCGAGAGTAAGCGAGATCACTGCGTGAGGAGTACGGTAAAACACTGTTCCGAAGCAAGGTACTATACAGTACCGTAGTTGTCTAACAGGTTTGACAAATGTAAAACGTACCTCGTAGAACTTATAGGAGCTTGAAGAACTACGACATATACGAGTTTCGCGCAGAAAACCCTCAAGACTTCGCGAAAAGTACAAAGCATTACAATCTGAAGTCCGAAGTTAAGATGCTAAGAAAAATTATTACAGTACAGTACCTGCGTCAGCATTTCGAATTTCCGTTTGTAGGGTAGCCATATAATCTGGTCATTTGTCACCTGGGCTACCTTCGAACCCATGAGATGTTTTTTTTCTAGGTAGCTGTTAATCGAGAGAGCAATCGTTAAAAATTATTATCAGTGTACATAGACCTGCCGGACAGCTTGCATGTCTTCTATTTATCCATACACTGAATTTTAATGGACCATACTTCGGGTGTGCATGGGAATTTACAGTGTAAATATTGTTCGACATATGCCGCAGCATAATCAATGTCCTCATGCATGAGTGTGTTCTTATTCACGGTAAATTTCTGCAGATGGAACACCTTTCCAATTGATTTTCAATGCGAATCCCATTTGGCCTTTATGTGCAGACATACTTAAAATTCCTTCTGATCTGAACAACAAATGGAACTTGAATGTTTTCCACATCAATCCGTAACAGTGGACATGGTCATGGACCACAAAATTTAATCAGGTGCACCTTTTTTGCTGATGTGCAGGAAAAGATCGACGTTCTTGCCAGAAAAAAAATAGTGCGTTTTCACAAAAACGTCGGCATGCTCCGTAACAGGTCTGGTTTCTTGAGATTTTTATGTGTGGCAGAGCAGAAATATTTTCACTGGTTGGAATACAGGCAATTTGAATGATAAATCAACTCTTCATGTAATGAAGATATCGTGCCCATTTTTGAAGTGCTCGAAGAAATTCGAGAACATCGTAGGGTGGCATTTGGCTTCAAAGAAGTACTGTATTTTATTGGATCAAAAGCAAAATGCAACGTCGGAAAGAGGGCCTTTTATTCTTATGCTTGAAAGAAATTACTTCGGGGATTACTTCTGTACCTTCACAAAAATTTTTAAATTAATCCAGGTGAACCGTGGGAAATGAAGCTAAATCTTTCATTAAAAATAATTCCCGTATAATAAAATATGGCAGACCGATCAGAAAAGTTGGGAGTGAAAAATTTGTTATCTCAATTCTTCAGATAGGCTGTTGAGTGCTGGTCGAACGAAGAAACGCATCACAAGAATCGAATCAATCAATTCACAGTTAATTAACTCATCTTGGAATGGATTGGGGTTTCAACGACGAAAATTTCCATCAGCTTTCAAAACAGAACACTTCAATTGAATAACGGGTATAATAGAAATCGTGGAATTGATTGAACGACTGGGCATGCAATCCAAGTCCATGCATCAGCTTTCATTGTTCATATACTCAGGAAACAATCCTGTAAAGAGAACATATTTTAGAAATTGCGCGAAAGCGCGGATAGTAGATAGAAGGTTTTTCCTTGTTTTACAAATAATCATTCGCGACTGCTTTCCTCATCGACCAATCCAAAAAGCTTTAATCTTTCGAGACACACTCGACTCAATGCCAAAACAAATCGCGCAAATCACCGTCCACGCGTGTTTCGCGATCACCTACCCTCAATCTAACAATGAGCACACCATTGCTCCAAAGCAAAGAATTCAACAAAATAAATCTGCGCTCGCGGGTCAAGAAAAAAGAATCGAATTTTTTTAAAACTACTGGTATTGCTGCTGTTGTCCAAACGGTGTACCTAGTTGTTGAGCTTCCTCCATCTGCGGGTTCATTGGCTTAAACTGCTCTGCGGACATGCGTGTGAACATTATCCCAATACCCTCGATAAGGGCAAGGAGCACGCCACCAATGATGGCACTTCCTGCCATCGCAGCTGGGCCATCTGAAGAAAAAAAAAAAAAGAATCGAGAACGATTAAAAAACTGTTCAAAATATCTTCATACAGATGTTTACCACGATTTTTGCGGTGGATGCAACTTCAGATACCTGCACTTCATTAAATCACTTGAACAACCTATCGAACAGCAGGGAATCGGAATGCACCTACGAGCAAGATGAATCCAGGCGAAAAATGTACTACGTCTGACTTAGCTAGAAAATTTAGAAAGGTAACACGAACTCCAGAATTATTCACAGGGGTAGGACGGTTTTATCTTTTATGCATTTTTTCTACTCTCGGAAAATCGGGGCTCTTTTCCGTTAAACAGTACACAACTTCAAGTCCCCAGGCCAATGTTTTCACTTTTCACAAATGTATTCCTCAACTTCACTGCTTCTCGACAAATTGAATTACAGTCAAATTAGATCAGAGGTCATCTGCATGAAGTTCCTCAACCCTAAACGTGGAATGGAACTGAGTTACAGGTGGATTCTCTGCAACGGAATTCCAGGGAACCGAAAAAAATTCCTTGTGGAGAGAATTTTGCTGCAGATGACCTCTACAATATTGGCAGAGGACCCTATTTGTGACCTAACAAGGATTAATTATACAGAGAAAATCTTTGTGGACAAGATCTTCGTAGAGAAAATCCAACTCTGTTGGATTGAACTAGCTCAGCAGACGATGCCTAATTTTGCGGAAGATGCTCCAGAACTTGTGATAGCCAATTGAATCTTTGAAATCTAGTCAATGGATAATCTTAAGTTCCAACTTGAAGTGCTAAGTCAGTTCACTGTAATTATCAGTGGGTCCCAAACTCCTGAAGGCCTGAGAAACTTGTGAGTCACAAACCGAAGTCAGGGGTGGCGATTCACTGATTCATAAGCGCTACGAGGGAAAAACTGAATACCGCGCTTACGAGACAACATAACATCGTATTGATCGGTATTTGACACGTACTGCGAGCTGCAAGAATGCCTCCTGTTGCCGCTCCACTCATAATAGAATTCCATGGATCCTCTTTTCCTCTCATGTGAGCAAGGGAACAGTCCAACGTTGTGAACATTCCTCCCCAGATGGCAAAGCTACCACCAATGATCGGTGCACGCTCTTTCACAGCCAGTAAACTGCCCAACAGTCGACGGTTCATGCCCTGGTAAATCAAAGGACTCTTCTAAAAATTAACACATACTACCAATGGAATCAACGTCAATCTTGAGTCTCGACTAATCAGCTTTACTTGCGCACATTACATAAGATTATGCAACTTTTTTACTTTCTCATCTGAATTTGTTCGACTAGAAACTTGCGTAGAGTGAATAATTTTTCCCTTTCTCTGATGGGTGGACTTGGAAACATCGTGGGTTTCCGGACAAAAAGAACCTATCTCAAGCCAACGCGCTGAAAATCTGCAGATCACTTACACGGACAAAGAAAAGATTCGGACTGATCTAAGCTTATTGGTAACTGTGGATGTTCTCCCTGAGCTAGAAGCAAATTAAATTTATTATCATGATTAAAAATAATTTAAAATGAATGAACCGTTTTTACACAGAATTTCATCACCGAGATCAGTCAAGATACTCATTACATCACACACGGCGACGTATAGCAGCGGGATTTGGGAAAAACATTGATTCTTCTCCTCTCTCCAAAAACCGACTCCCTGACATAATGCTGGCACAGCCTTATTCACTTGAATCCCAAAGCAATCAGAACAAAAACTAACTGAACTACGTTCACATAATATGCGGAACCTCTACGGGAGTGGAGGGAGATTAGACCACAACTACGTTAGTACAATAAAACGAAGCAGTACCTTTAGAATTGATGGCCTGATATGAGCTTGAACAATAAATAAACTTCGTAAAAAAATATTGCACTCACGCTAGGGGCATTCCTGAATCCACGGAACACTTGAAAAAGTGAGCCACCGATGGATCCCATAGCGAAAGCCCCACCACAGTCATCAACAATGCGCCACGGGCTGGAGAAAATTGCAAAACAGATGAAATAAAATCACTGCACAAAATTAAAATCTCAACTTACCATGGTTCCCGTGCATATTCTTCCATACTGCTTCCACTTCAGCGAAGATTTCGATTCATACGGATTTGAACCAGGAAAATTCGAAAGGGAAAGCGAAAAAATGGCTAGCCACACTCTGAAAAAGGAAACTATTTTTGATATTGAAAAGACACGAAGATTTTCGGTAGAGACTCAAAGGAGAGCTTTTGGGAATCAAGCCATCGAGCCCGGATTATAGGTCTAGTTTCAACGATAAATTGCTCCCGTCAGTAGTAAAAGCATTCTGGGCCTTTCGTGGAAGAACCATCACTTCATAATTAACAGACCTTCCAACAATTTTCAATTTCGCCCATTGATATCAATAAGGACGATTCATCCTTTTTCGTGCACAGCCACTTCTGCTTCTTGAGTTCAATAGACATTTATGTTTCGTAATTTCTGATTCTTCTTCAAGTTTCTTCCACGAAGACGCAGCAAAACTGCAAAGCGAGAAGAGCCTCTTCAGAATTTACCCCGGGAAAACTCAGCTCTGAAGCCAGGAACTCGGAGTCAACTAAAGTCTTTAATCAACTCATACAAAAACGAAAAGAAACAAACACGCTTCCTTAGCAATATCACGCTTCTCAGGTCCCGGAGACCCATGAAATTCAAATAAAAAAATTGTTTCCAAGCCAGAAATCAGCAAACGAAGAGCGCTGCACAGTCTCCATGGCTCGAAAAAATTCCCTGGATTGAATCTAACTTCAACGCACGCGTAACCACGGACTTCGAGAACACGGGGATCATCATCCGCCGAAGAGTTCCAACAGCACTCTTGTTTGAAAGGTTGAATAATTTCTAGGAGCAATCAAGCTATTTGGAAATGCAGACGTCAACGATGACGGAAAATTCGAATAAACTATAGAATTCCGCATTATTTTCGTAACTTACGAAAGAAATACGCGAAAGAGCGAACCCGAAACTATTCTCGTGTTGTGGTTCATCAAATGTCCACCGTACAGCCGTGAAGATAAATTATTCACTAATTTGGAGTCACACTGGTTTGAAAAGGGAATTCGAGACGGGACTAGGGCATAAGAACCGAACAGCATCCGAATGGTAACGAGGCCGTCAATGGATCCTACATTATTGCATTCATAGCTCTGCAGTTTGTTGCGCTTCAGCGGGTACAGAACCAACGTATTGCCGCATGAAATTTGGCAAAGGTAAGTTCAAATTCCAAAGTCCAACAAGAGTGGGGTTATTATTGCGCTCTTCCGCAGCATTTTCATCCCTGGTTTCGCTTCCCGTTCGGAGGCTACCGTACACGCCCAACAGCACTGAGCAGAACAGTCCCGTGAGAACTGTGAGGCAAATGGTGGCCAGAAAGCTGAAGAAGTGTCCGAACTGGTACCAGTACGCCCAGAGAATACTCAACAAGAATCCTCCTACAGGCATCATCCAATTACCAAGCTCAATTTCAAACTCTCCTTGAGCCAGGATAGCGGCGTCATTGAAATGATGAAAAGCCGGATGCGTTGCATCGACCGAAGCTTGGGGTTGTTGCGCCCGCGGATGATTATTTGAAACGTGGCAGTGGACCACACAGTTATCAAATAATCCATGTTGCGCCAACGTGTCATCGTCGTTTGAAAGCAACCTCCCTTGGAATATCAGGCGAACAAACTTTCCGGCAGTTATGTCGGGTCTGAAATTTCTTCTGCAAAATTCAACGCAAAAATCGAAATGCAAGAATCTCGCGATTTCAAGAAACAACTCACCTTTTGAAATCAGAGAGTTTCTCTCCCAAGCGTCCACTTACGCTTTTATCAGAATCATTTACGTACTTCAGTTTTATCTTGATCGCGTCTGGGTGAGAACCAACGTCATCTTCCGGACGTGATGGTTCTGCTTCTGGGCCGACTTCAGGTTCACCAGTTGCCGGATTACTTTCACTTTGATTCCCGGGTGATTCTGATGTTGGTATATCACCTACAGCCCCACCGAGTAGGTGTTCATCCGACATAAGCAGAAGGGGATTCACACTAGAGCGAACTCCGGGATCACTCAATTCCACAGCTGCTCGCGGCCGGTCTGACACAGAAGTGGAGGCCCACACGACAGCAGCAACCATGATCACAAAAACTAGCGCAAAGATGCAAAGGACCTCATCGCCGAAACCCTCGATTAAGGCCATTGCAACAATTCACCATCTGAGCGAGACGGCTACCGAGAAAATCACTGATCTGCTGGAACACAGGAAACTGGCGATTTACAACACGTGAGCGCTCTAAGGTAAGTAGAGATTAATAAACCCAAGTTAGCCTGAAATTGAACACATACGTGATACATCTAATAACAATAAACATACACCACGCGGAACCCTGGTAGGAAAAGGGCACATCTTTGAACTATTGGAACAGTTTACTGCCTAGCTGGTGGATAGTCCTGCCCTACACACATGTCCACCCTTTGCGGGCACGCACATGTAGGGCGACTGTACCTGACCATGAAAACGACTCACCTTGAGCGCAACAAACATGCCCAGGTTACTCAATCGCAGCTGGCACATGAGGTACTCCAAATTAAAAGCGCTGGAAACCAACCCAGCGTGCCAGCTTCTGATACCCGAGGAGTTACCGTACTGCGCGAAACTCTTCATGCCTAATGTTTGTCTAAAGCAAACAAAAAACAGAATAGATAGAGCAACAAAATTACTGATTGCCAAACTGAAACTATTGTACATTACTGTACATCCTTTCTAAGTATAGTATGCAATGGGAAGAGGTACAGTATGAGACTGAAGACAAAAATTCAATGCCCACTTGCATTGACCGGGTGAACTTACGTGATGTTATACCCGGCCTTCTATGAAGATCAGTAGTCATTCAACTTGCACACTTTTTATTATGTAATGCGTAGTTTTTTTTTATAGCGTAATTGCCTTCTACTTCGCTGGATTCATGTTCATCGGTGGGGACTCAAGCATTCATAGCATTCATAGAACGCTGTGTCACAGGTAGAGATCTTTCGGCAATAAAACATGGCGGCGCTGGGCGTCGTTGTTCCGGTTAGATTCTGTAAGTCGGCGAGCTCATCATGGAGGCTAGGGTCCACTACAGTGTTCCAGGAAGCTTTCGTGATTAGTGCCGATCAGCAGTATGGTACAGAAAGTTTATTTGCATTAGTGTAGGGGAACTGACACCCCAGACCGCGTGGACTTTTCGGTGGGTCACCCCTCCTTCACTAGTGCCCGTTTATTTGAGCGATTAGCTCAAGTCATCAATTAAGGAATGGAAAGTAAAATCTGGTCCATAGTCGAAGTCAGTGGTGCTAAAGGCAACCAGCCAGATTGTAGTGAGGTTCACTGTGAAGTCCACCGAATTGCTTGAAGTCCCAATGTCCTCCGGGTTACATGGTCATCTTGTCGTCATCGTGAGGTTCCATTGGTGGACCGTAGCCTCCAGCGCGATTTTGAATTTGGCCGCGGCTTTAAGTGCTTGGTTTCCTTGGGCGCGGCTACCTTGCTGGTCTATCCTCTTCCAACGCCACTCCCTCCTTCAACTTCGGTTATGAATGACTTCAAAAATTCCCAGTATTTATGTGCTGTGCTTGATGGAGAATGACGGTGTATAAAGTCTTCTCAGTGCCAGGGAATTATTATTCAATGCATGTATGGAATGTATGGCATCATTTGTTTTGTGTGCAATGTGGCTGAAATTTTCTGCATACTCTGAATAACTCTGGGATTTCTTGTCAAAGCTACATTTGCTCCTAAAAATTATAAAACGAAATTGTTTACCAAACCTTATGACTGCAGAGGTCCCATGACTTCTCTTCAGAATTGTTCCTTTGCTATACAGAGCATGAAATCCCATTTACTGTGATTATTTGTTTGCTTCTCTGACATCATCCACGCTAGATTGAATATGAGGCAAAATACAATTTTGTGATTGGAACAGAATTCAGCTTCAGAATCATGAGAATTCATGTACAATATATACATATTTTGACGAGTTTTTCTTACTGTGGATGGATGTATTCAGACAAAAGAATTCACTGTGAATGTAAAATATTACATATGTTCAATTTGGTAAAAGTTTGATGGAGTTCTGTAGACATTCCAGTAGGAATCATTTGATTATTTCAGTTATAATGTTCTTGACCATTTTATTTGAAGCTTTTACAATTGCATTTAAAAAGATTTTTGATTGCATAATACGATTTCATCACAACGAAGTACGATACAATACCTGGGATTTTCTGAATTGAAAACATAGTTGCTACTTTTCTTTTTAATTTTTGTGACTGAACTTAATTAGAAATCTACATACATTTATTAGATTACATACATTAATTACATGCATTAATCTACTACATTAATTAGAAATCTTGATCATCATACAGTTTTAAAATTTGAATGCATCAACGGAAAAAAATTGGTTCATGAAAAATAGCTTTCCATTCCATTTTTATTTCCTATTATGGAATACATTGTGATGGAAATTTGCAAGGAATGATTTAATTTTTGAAGATTCCTTTTGTTTTTTAAATTTTGTGACTTAATTTTCTCAACAACCCTGAAATTTTTACCACAACAGTTTCCAAATTCATATGACTTGGGGAAAGTATAAGGGCTTCAAATCTATATTTCAAAATTATATATAATTTTATTTATATTTACTTTGTGAAGGAAGTTTAGAAGCCGATATCAAAATTTTAGAACTGTTCATTTGAATATTTGTGGTTGAATGTACTCAAGAAACTCAACATGTACAAGTGGTAACTTGCAATTGGACCTCCCACAATGTGACTGTCCTGCAATTTGATGGTTGAATTTTCAGGGAGGTTGACTTGCAATTTGACCCTTGCCCCACAATTCCACCTGCTTTGACCAATTTTTTTGCATATTTGTACTGATGTTTTAAATTTAAGAAAGTTTCTTGCAATTTGACTGCTTTGCAATTTGACCCTAGTTTGGCAGTGGATTAGGGTCAAATTGTAAGGTACCTAAGTCTACTGCATATGAAAAGTGAAGAATTCATATGAACTGGTAGGAAACAAGTGGAGTTGAATGACAGTTTAAAATGTATTTTGATTTTTTTTTTGTATCCAGACATGATAGGCGTTTTGAAGAAAATTTAGAAGTTCTTATTTCATTTTTAAACTGTCTTTTGAATTTTTGTGGTTGAATTTTGCGGAAAATCTCAAAATTTGTATCAAAGTTTCAACATGTATATGAATTTTTGAAAAACTGTTGGCTTGAAAAATCAACTTGAAAATGTTTTTTGATTTTTCTTCTGATTAATATGATCAAACTTTTCATATGGATGTTGAGTTTTTGAAGTAAATTCAACCACAAAAATTAAAAAAATATTTTCAAAATTTAAAAGGTAACTTCGAAATGTCCCTCACAAATTCTACCATGCCTGGAAATACAGGTGGTGCCTTGCAATTTGACCCTAATCCATTGCTGGACTAGGGTCAAATTGCAACTTCTAAATTTGACCTAATCCATTGCTGGAGTAGGGTCAAATTGGAAAGCAACCTCAAATGCGATGCTTTCTACATTGTACCGTATTTGACATTTTTGCCCGTATCTGTGGGTCAAATTGCTGAGCCTTGGTGGGATTAAAAGTTGACCTCCCAGCAAAATTGACTGTCAAATTACAGGATGGTCAAATTGCTGGAGGTCAAATTGCAAGGTACCACCTGTACAAATAAAAATCAGAAGAAATTCCACACTGTAATTGGAAGCCACTTGTTTTCCAGCCATTCATATAAACTTCGAATGTTTCATATATTTGTTGAGTTTCTTAAATAAATTCAAACAACAAATTTGAAAAAACAGTTCTAAAATTTAGATATCATCTTCCAACTTCCTTTACTAAGTCTACGATACCTTGAAATTTGAATGAAACTCAAAATAAACTTTAAACTGTCATTGCTCTAAAGCAAAGAATTCAACAAAAGAAATCTGTGCTCCAGGGCCAAGAAAAAAGGAAAAAGTATTGAATTTTTTTCAACTTCTGGTATCATTGTTACTGTTGTCAAACGGTGTACATAGTTGTTGAGTTGTTGGGGGAGTGGCGCCCTATGAGCAGCCCCAGAGGTTGAAGGCCATGGTCCAATTTCAATCCAAGAAGTTATCATGTTCAGTGATTCAATAAATATCATATTTCCGCTAGGATTTTTGATAAATTGAGAGGGTAACTCTTCATCTAGTACAGCCAACCAAGTCTCTGTGATGAGTACAGTATGATGTTCAAAGCTGTTTGTGAATTCAAATTATTGATCTTACATTTCTTCTTATTTTTTTATAGAAGATTGAAATGCTGCGCTTCCTCTTCACGTATGGAGCTGGAGTATACACTGGCATATATGTGACACAAAACTACGAAGTACCCATTGTCGAGACGCCACAGCAGCTTCTTGAAAAATTTAGGCAATTCTTGGATGATTTTCAACGCAAGAATTCCTGACGAACTCTATTGCAATGTATTGTAGTTACATTTGAGGTGATTGTAGGGCATGTGAGTTTCTGTGCGTGCGCAAGTCCTCATTGCGCGATCCCATTGATGCGGCAAGGTGAAGTATTCAATGCATTCCTTTAGTTGGGTGTCCTGAATCTTATGAATTGGCATTTGCAGGTGTACAACAGAAGCTGAAGAATGTGACAAATCTCGGCATCGAACCCGTTCTCTGGAGTGGAGAGACAAAAAGCTGCTGTCATGTGTGTGGTGTTTCACTGCATTTTGCAGTCGCGCATTACGCCTGTTCATGAAGTACCCTGCAATTGATAAATTTTGATTAGTCAATGGAGGCTTTTATCCTTTATTGTGATTTGCTCTCTTTGTTTAAAATCAGGAAACCATCCGGCTCTACCAATTAAGTGCAATTGTTGACCTTCCAGGATTTCTCTGGAAAGTTTGATTGAAATTTTTGTACTGGATTAGGCAACGTTCACTTGTTAACAAAGAACTCTTGATGCTGAATTGAGTTTGTTATTAAATCAAAAGTCAGATTGCCGTATTCAGTGAGATTTCATTTCATTCACTTTTCTACCGCTCAGGTGAATATTATATGGATGCTCGGATCCAAGCAGATAGTCAGGGATTCAGGTGGAGTTCAATTGGTCAAAGCTGGTTTATTTTAATTAACAATCAGGTGGATGGAAGCTTTTCAGTGCATGAAAGAAATCGTCGTTTTGCGGCAGTTTCAGCGTAAGCTCAGACAGTTCCGAAAAAATTCTTTGGAGGTACACCCGTGTTTTTTCCGCCGTTCCATTAGCTTTCAGCTGGTTGATGTATGCCTTCAGCTCAGCTTGGTTGTCGTGATCCAGGTGACCTGTTTGTGTAAACAAAGTACTTTTGTAATGTCATCAAGGATTAAAAACAAACTGTAGATTTTCATCTATTTGCACAATGTGTCCCCTGTTACAGCTACTGTAAATCCCAAAACCAGTGGTTGACATTTACTATAAAAGAGCATGTGCCTTCCTTGACATTTTCTGCCTTTTCGAATGAAGTAAGTGATCCACATGGTAGTTGCCAGCTTCTTTTGTAAATATGCATTAGGTTAACATTAATTTATCAGATACTGTATTTTCGGGGGTTGGCATCAATTACTTGATGAGGGCGCAGCGTAAATTAGCATATATATGGCAATGATTCTAAAATGCCTTGACTGAAACGTAGAAATTTGTTCAAAGCGGAATGCGCAAATGTCTGTACGTCCAGCTTACTTGTTTTGTTCATTGCTTCAGAATTTTGAATAGAGATAATCTCCGGCATTGTCAGGATGTGTCTCTTCAGCTCACTGCAATATTCAGGTTCTGATTCGTCCTGTTTGGAACTGATGATAAATTTTGAATTCAGGCATTGAGCGTATTAATAACTTACCATGACAAACATATTCTGGTAGGCAAACGCAGTGCTTGTATAAAGCCCTGAAAGTTTGATCACTTGTGAAAGGGTTTCGCGGTGACCTAGGTTCACCTTCCCCGCTCTGAACATCAGTTCTCCTGCAATGTGGATGCCTGCAGTGAAATCTTGAAAAGAAAAGCATGTACAGTACAGAATTTGCAAAATTTTTTTCGATTATGAAACAAACATAGTTCAAGTTTGTTGACAGCATCTGGTTCGCAGAGGCGTTGAGGGTTTTTGCGGTACCAGTGCTGGGCAATTGAGGTTATCAGCACGTACTGTAAACCAAGACGAATTGCAACGGGAAATAATTGTTCCTGTGTATAATTTACACGTTTTAAAAGGGAATCTAATCACAAATATTAACTCCATTACGATTTCTTCCTTCCATTCGAGCAGACCGGAGAAGGCTTTGTACAGTGCGGAAATAGTTGCGTTTCCTGTGCGTGCATTTGAGTATACGCTGCGGATTTTTGGTACTCCGTTCACCAAATCGCTGGCCGTTTCCAAATCTATTGTGCTTGAAAAAGAAATATGATTTCTGGTGAGGTCCTGTTCACCTATTCTGGTGATCTGAAGTCTACCTGAGCATGGTTTTTTCAAGGTTTTCGGCGGTACGAATAATCCTTCGCAGGCTTGTGTCATCTAGTCCAACCCAGTGATTCAAAGCTTCAATCAGCTTCGTTTTGCCTTGGAAGGAGTAAATCCTATCCAAGTGATTCACTTCCTCGGATAAAAGCTGGAAAAAAGATCAACGCTCGAAAATTTGAAGCCTTTTGAAAGAACCAATAATTCACAAACTTCATCGGCTTCCTGAAAAACAGATTCATTGACATTTTTGATCCCGAGGACCTCAAAATATCGAGGGTCCAGTTCTCCGAAAGCAGCCGCGGTTCCAAACCTATACTCTTTCATCTCTGTCATGTTAGAATTCCTGTGCTTCAAATCACTGTAATCAAACACTTCAGATTGCAGAAATCAACGTTGGTTTCAATACTGAACTGATTCTCGTTTGGAATTTGGTCTGCAACTCATTGCAGTTACTCAGCAAAATTTGTTTATGGAAAAATGACTGGACAGTCAAGGTAAATGGAAGACAAATGGTAATTCAGACTGGTTTCATTTGCTTTTTGGGATGACTATGCATATTTCATCTCTGGAATCTACATAACTTTGAAGCCTGCGTTGAAAAATCATGAACTGTCTAGTATCTATAGGCATACTCCGTCGTTCTAATTTTTTGGGTTTTCTCCTATGCACTTGTTGGTGTCATGACCTGTTATGTAACTTTTTCTCGATGTATTATGGTTATATTTTTTCTGAGGTTTTTGAATTTTTTGAACTAACCATTTCAAATTTCATAGCGTTTTATCATGCCTGAGAAAAGTCTTGCGAAATTGGGTTCTTCGAAACAGAAAAGTATTGATTGAGCAAGAACAATCCGGACTACTTCAGATTGTGTTTCTGGTGAACTTCGCTAGTCGGAAGTGTATTTTTGAGTGGCAGCAATTATTCACAATTCAAGGGTGGGTGATCATTGTGAACCAGGAAAATGAGTCGGACTGATTTATTATTGAATAATTGATTTAAAATTTCCTGAAAGATGTGCATCATTATGAAGGAAAACTCAAAAAATAAAAGCTTTCACACTAAGATGGAATTCATTGCAGCATTGAAAAAGTCACATTGTAGAAGTTTAAATTTTCACAACTATGGTTGGAACACTCGGGTCTTGTAAAAAATCTTCTGTATCCAAAAAAAGGACTACGCAATCTGGAACAAAAAACCCTGATGCTGCATATTTTTGCAATGTTCCTCTTTACGTATCTATATACACTGACGGTGAAAATCATTCTCTTCTGCAAGAAGCAAACACAGAAATAACAAATGGGTGGTACGTTGTTGACGGGGAGTATTATCTTTCCTGGTGTTTGAGCAGCTTGAAAAGGGCAAACCCTGCATCTTGCCTGCCTTAACTTAATATCCTCCTTTGTGACAGCAGCATCAGTGGTGGAGCCAAATTCTGAGCTGCTGCTGTTGTGTGTTTTTGCTCAATCTTCTGAGCCAACTTATGTCCATCTTCATTTTGCTTGAATGTGTCATCATTCAGTGCACCTCAATGGATATGTGTAGAAATTCCTGTCCACTCTTCTCATGACATATGACCTATGAAATCATTGGTCATCCATATGTACAGTACAACTTTGAAATTTCAAGCAGGGACTGGAGGAATTTTGGATGGAATAACAAACTTTTATGCTCCTGTGGCTGTTAATTGCTTATTGAAAATAATCCCAAGCAAGGAAAGCATTATAGATTTTATTCAGCAAACAAAGATAAATTAATTTGGAATGAAAATAGAGAATTAATTATCTGAAGACTATTTGGTGTTGGATGAGGTTTTACATTTATTTTCACACCTGGCTCTTATCATGCTTCCTATTTCAAGGTTGAATAGTTCAGATGAACAGAGATGAGTGCTCTAGTCTGCAATTTTATACATGTTTGTTAGAAGAGGATTTATTATGATGCACTTTTACAGTGTTGGACTGAATTTTGCAGCAAGAGTCTTTCTAAAAAACAAGATATAGAGCAGAATTCCTCCCAAATGCATTTATAAAATTGAGGCACCCAATGCAACGTGACTGTGACTGGATTAAATAAATACATGCAAACTTCAAAACAATCATTGTTGAGGAAAGAGGCAATAATGCAAACACAGCAATACCCTTTACACATCACTTGCAGAACCCTTTATTCGACTCAAATTTCTTTGAATACATTGCGTAAAGCTGTTATGAATAAATATAGTTTTCTAATTTTCTTCAAGGAAATGAGTCCAATAATGAACAACACAGTTGTCAAATCAATTAAATGCTCAGACAAGGTCTGCATTTCATATCCAATTTGAAGCCTATGCTTTGAAAAGAAGGTCCAAGTTGTGTTTCTCCTGCAGTGAATTGTAAATAGGAATACATCTTTTAGACCAGCTGGAAAAAATTTATCCATTTAGATGTGGAATGTTATTCTACAAGTAGCTAAGAAAGTTCATATATGGCATAAGATCACTACAGTCAACCCCCATCTAACAGACTTGATTTGTGCAAGGGACAAGTCTGTTAGACAAAAAGTCCTTTACACAAATTCAATTGCATAAAAAATTAAAAATTTCAATTTTCAGCACTAATTTCAAACCAAAAAAAGTCTGTTTGGTGGATTTTGTCTGTTGGGCGGGAGGAAAAACTGCTTGCAGAGCTGGTCTGTTTGGCAAAAATCCCTTACACGGGAGGTCTGTTAGGCGGGGGGCCACTGTATTTGATTTGCAATGAACATACTCAACTATAACAGCATCTTCCAGTCCCTGACAGCAGTGACCTCAGAAAGTAATTTATTCCAACAGATTTCAAAGAATAATTTTAATTTCCAAAATAACAACCATTCCCTAAATTAATCTCAGTTACAATCATACCACACAGATGCGCCTGATTTATAGTTTGGTAACATATAGGCCGATTAACTACGTAATTACTTTTTTCACGCCCCAGCCTGACAACTCTCAGCAGCAAGTGTAAATAAGAGAGAACACCTCATACACCCATGAACCCCACCCACACACGCCCTCAATAAGTGTTGTTTCTGGCACACACATCTTCTCCTTCTTATGGAATCCTGCAAACCAGTGTTACCCAACCTTTTCTGGGCCTTCAGACCAGCAAATTTAAAAATTTTTTGGAGACCAGCAAAGTTCCATAAAATTGTTGGAGACAAAGAGAAACTTCATGAATACCTGCCAGCATGATTTCCTCAAAATTTTTGTTGTTGAAAAAACTGAATCAAGAACCACTAGAGCAGCCATAGTGTAATGTCTTAAAAAAGGAAAGCTGTGCTTTATGGAAGGTTTCTGAGAATAAAAACTTGAAATAATTCATCTCAACAGGTGAAACCTAATCTGAGGTGTTAATAATTAAGAGAAAAGGCAACTTTTAGAAGTGTTATTAGGATAAAAGCCAACCTGTATTTTTCATCAGACAATTTCATTTGCCATTGTCTCTTCAAAACTTACAATGAAGAAATTATACTTCAGTACAACCCTGCATCTTCAAGTCAAATTTCAAGGGACCTAGAAAAATTGTGGGAGGGAGGTTTTGAATTTGAGTTGAGGAAACAAGCATTATAGTTGTGGAAAAGGAAGAGGAATTGCAGGAAAATGTATATGATGATATTGTGCCCTTGAGTTTCTTTTTAAATGAGTTGATAGGATGCTGAACTTATTGGAGGCAAGGATTCATTTAAAAATGACAGTCTTTCACGTACTTCTTTTCAAAACATATCAGTTTACCTTTTCAATTGATTGAATCTTCACAGTATGAAGACAATGATAGTCAAAATGCCCAATAAAATTTGAGTTCTGGCGGAGGTTTGAAGGGAAACACCTTCGAGTTCAGGAGGTTTTGTTTCCGTAATTTTGTTTCTTCTCTTTGTGTTGAAGGGAATTCCTCAGACAGGGACTTGTGAAAAAATTCAACTCATGGGGATTTGAGTCATCCAAGTTCAACTGTACTTTTGATACATACCTTATTCTGAAGCAAATTTTCAGGCAGACCAGCAGGAAAAAAACTCCACAGGGTTGCAGACCAAGCAGCAGTATAGGTGTAAACGAATGAAATCGTTTCCTTCTGCAACACAGCGGGATTGATGATCTCCAGCCCCGACAGACACATCGAATACCCAGAGAAGAGGGATATAATTACCCACCACGCGCGTCGGACTGGAATTCGAAACCCGGCGGGTGATTGGGCCGTCGTTCCGAATACCCGGCCGGAACCCATAGGCTTTGGGGTTCCGTTTTCCAGCGCCCGCTGACGGATGGAAGTCGAGCCCGGCGCCGGAACCCACGTCCATCACGCCCGTTCCCCAGGGACGCGGACAAACAAACAAAAAACCAAAAGCCGGGCCCGTGTGAGAAAAGATACGTGTTCTTTTCGTTGTAAACCTCTTTTCTTCTATCGAATCTTCCATCATTCTCTTCTCCTTCTTTGATACTCTGTATCATTCGCCAATAAAAGGAAAATCGCCAGATCCAGTCATTCAAGATGAAGCACAAAGACGAGGATGGGCGAACGGAAGGATAAAAGGAAGCAGCGAGATCTTCGCATGGATGAAGAAAGAAGAAGACGAAGAAACATAATGGAAAGAACAGACAAGAGGTTCAAGCAAACAGATTTAGAAGACGCTCTGCAAAAAAGAAGAAAATAAACAGGGGTTTATTGCTATAAACGTACTGAATATTTTCAAATTCAGGAATTCTCGATAAATTTATAATAATCAAGAGAGGACATTTTAACCCTTTGATGGCAAGACTGGGATATGTTTACAGGAATTGCTCACTACAAAGTTTGAAACAAAGCAAAAAAGGTTGCACTGGCAAATTTGGCCTATAAGTCAAGAAATATCTGAATATTTTTTTCTATATGTACAAAGAAAAGTTTTGGCAGAGCCGTAAAAGTTCTTAAAGGCTGGGGTTTTTTCAACCTTCTGGCATAAGATTAACTTGGGGATCTGCTGGACTTGGCCAAATTTCCTCTCCTGGCTCATCCAAATATTTCCTGGCTTTGGAAATTCTGCCCTGGTGCTGTTTTGGTGACCTTCAGTCAAACTAAAATGCAATAACCTGAGAAAAAAAAATCTTGGCACTGCTGCAAAATGTAAAAATGGAGAAGAACCTTCTTCTGCTGAAGGCTCAAGTACTTTTCAGACACTTCCAATGTCCTAACTGCCACATGAAATACAGGTGTTGTGCACAACAAGAAGCTGGTTTCAAAATTATGAAAACAGATGGACTCTCTCTTTAAAAGTCTTGAACAAAAATTCAAGGGACCAGAACAAATCATTTTACAGATAATTTTGTTGTATAGAACCTCCATAACCTGGAGAGAGAAATCTATTAGACCAAACAATTTTTACACAGATGTATTGTTGCAGACAAGATCATTGTAGAGAGAGTCTATCTATATAATGAACAAATGTGTTTGACCCAGGTATATAATTTCTCAGTACTGTGCGATTTTTTCAACAGGAAGTCCTGGGTTTGAATGGAAGCTAAAATTGGTTTAAAGGCTGAACTAAGAATGCCTTCTTTAACCCTTGCACAGCAGAGGTTTCCTCTCCATTGCACTGTAGAGTTGGGATATTTTTGGGAGGCAGCGCATTTCAGTTTGACAAAAGGTCACTGAGATGCTCCCTGGCTGAGAAGGTCTCAATTGGGGAAAATCCAGGAGGCAACTCTTCTATTGTTTTCAGGAATTTTCCATGCTAATCCTATGTCAGGAATGCAGGAAAAATACCACCCACTATAAAGGGTTATTTGTATTTATCATTAAAAATTTTCTGCAGGATTAGAAAAAGAATTGTACTTTTCCCTAACCTAGGCCTTGGTACAAAAGTGGAATTTTAAAAATGTCCAATGCTCAGTGACAAAAAAAATTGCTAAAAATTTCAAATTTTCAACTCAAGGAGTGATAAAGAATTTATGTAAAATGTCATTATAGTTGGATAGATTTCATAGATCTCAATAAGTACTGTACTGTACCATATTGTCACAATGGAATTACAGTGCTTTAATATTGGTGCTATAGTCATTCAGCAAGTGTCAGGGTCAGGAAAGCCTGTCTCTTCATTATTTGGTTGAGTTATTTTCAAAGTCAGGCTTCTCATTAAAAAATTCAAATCATAAGTTTGCCATCCTTGGTGTAGTTTTAAACTACAGTACAATAAAATGACCATGTATAGACATCCTATATTGTTTGAGGTACTTCAGTGTTTTCTTTCAACCAACTCTATCATCAGAAAAACTGTTTGACAAGCTTTGACAACTCAAAAATCCCACCTGTAAGAGGCTGTGCATTCTTAGCCTAACTGGTTCCTGCAGGAACTGGACACAGTTCATCATGTTCTATGTTCAAAGTGTTCCTTCAAAAACACCACTGGTAATTTAATAATTTCCTAGACAGAAAAAGTGGCCTACAAAATTCATTCTTTGGAACATACGATGTAAAAAATTCTGACTGCCTGTAAGAGACCAAGGAGCTAAAAATGCCTGAGAACCCAGCACAAAAAGCCCACAAGAATGGAATTAGTCAGTCCTGATCTTTTTTCGATATACTGTACTGTACTTGCTCATAATGAACAGATAATGTCATATTCAGTGGTCACTCATATTTTACTGTTATAAATAGAAAAATATGTGGGGTCCAAGACATAATGAGTACAGATAACTTTTCCTCAGGAATTTTCCACAATTTCTATATGCTGTACATCATTCTCTGATCACATTAAATATACTGTATGTGTAATTCTCAAGTTGGGAACAATTTTTACTGAGAATGGATTGCCCCTCTTAACCATCAGGGAAACATTTTTACTTGATTTGACAGTTAAAAAAAATAAGGTGCACATCTTACGGCATGCGAATGTGTTGGTGCTTGATAACTTGAATACCATATTCGCATACAACATGCCATCAAGTGAAACATGCACCTCATACATTATGTATCTAAAAAATTAGAAAAATGTCTAGTTGCATAAGATACAGACTTCGTGGTTCTCTGCTACTAAATTGAAATTTGAAAAGCTTTGCTGCGGTGAAAATCTAAATCATAGCCAAACTTGAATATCGATTTCAATTGTGAAATTTTTGTTTACTAGAAATGATAGCAATAGTGAAAATGAGTCTGACATAATTCAAGGCGGGGAGACAAGTTTTCAAAAAATTCCCTTGAAAATGTTTATACCCAAGTATGACATGCTCTTCATTTTTGCTCCAATTTAATGGGGAAAAGGTGCGTGTATGATACTCATGTAAATACCATGAATATACATATTACAGAAATTTTAACAATGTCCATTAAAATTTTGAGATGGCAGTCCATTTTTGGTCACCTCTGAAGAGTTCATCATTCAAAACTGCTGTTATGAAATATGTACATTTGTAACTCATTGTCCTACTTATTCAACGCTGTCTCATTCCTGAAACATCACTAAAATTCGAAATGGTAGAAAACCACGGGGGCTGTGGATTGAAGAATGAGAAAAAACCCAAAGGTTCCAGAAAAAAAAAGAGCGAATAAGCGGATAATACGACCTAATGCAGGCGGAAAGAAAGGAAAAATCCGATCGAAAAATCCATCTTCTTCCGATTTTGTTTTTCGTTTAACGCCCTGGCTATTTCTGACTTGTCTCACACACACACACACACGTACACAAACAGGCATTTGCTGATTTCGTTGGTGTCCACATTCCTCCTTTCTTATCATTTTTACCTTCACACCCCTGCATTTTCTGCGTCTTTTAGTTTTTCACGCATTTCGGTTGCCCACCCGAAATCCTTGGGCTTCGGTCTTCACATCGCACTGATGCTGAAGAGCAGAACGTGGAGATACTGTGTCGTTTATTGGCGAGTCATTTTGAAACTATTCTATTCAACTGGAAAGGTCAAATTTCGTACTAAAATTTGCCTGGTTTTCCCTAAAGGCATATGATAGCGTTTTACAGGAGCAGAATGCAGAATGCATATGCAAACCGTAGTGCAAAAATATGTGCATCACTGGTAGAAAAATCAACGAGTATGAAGATATTCTACAATGTGCAGTTCCGGCGAAAACAACGGAAACACCAGCCTTACGAGATTAATACAAAAAAATGTTCAGGTGGAATCTAATTCCACTAATTCCACGAAATGTTTATAATGGCAGTAGTGAATATACGCTAAAAAAACCCAACAAAAATTTCTAAAAACTTGCAGAGGATAGCTTTTCTCCTCTGCCATTGCCGAGAAAGACATGGAGCTTCACATGAAATTATTGCCTATTATATTGAGTTCCGATCATCAATTTGTTATTAAAGTGAGGCTGTATTTCAGAACAGATGTTCCAGAAGGATAAGGACTGGTTTTAATAATTAGACCAGAAACTGATGTTTCATGATGAACCTACCAAAACTAAGCCTAGATCCAGACTTGAAAAGTTTCTGAGACAATTTTTTGGGTTCACTTAAAATTTAAGTTCAAGAGTTTCAACTGCATAGCACAAACAAGATGATGATGCTGACAGTTTTAAAGCAATGGTAAATTATAGGTATACAATGAAATTAGAATTTTGTTTCCACAATTTCTTGTCTCCAATAAATATTTGCGGTCCCTGGAATATAGCCAGAATCTCATGAGTCATAATGAAATATCGTTTCACTTTTTGAACCGTAAGAACTAAAACCCATCAAATTTAAATACCTGTGTATGTCAACTTTTTTGAAGTTCGTCTGGATACCCGTAGAAAAATTCATTAAAAAGCTCTGTTACAGAAAATTTCACCCGCAAACCTCTATAACTCAGATTTTCTGAAGGCCTTATTTTATCATTTATTTTTTTGACTCATAAGAAAGAGGAAAAGTATTCATGTTAAACTACATGATTGTTTGAAGAAGGCCAAACTAATTGGGCAAAGTAACTTGTTGTCAGTAAACCAAGGTAAATAAAATATGAGCTCAAATAAAATACATCTTCAATATATTCACGTCACAAATATTCCGAAGTACAATCACACAAAAATATAGAGATATGAAAAAGTCTTGCTAAATCATTATGCAAGTCTCTCTGAGAAATAACCGCAAACAACTCTAGATTAATTCTGGGAAAATATACAGCAACCAGGGTATATATATACCTTCTGGCAACACAATGTATATAGGCAAGATATTTGCCTGGATTGAGGAACTGCGATTTCCTTGAACACTAATGAATATATATACATCTGGGTATATATATATACAAATACATTTAATAAATACACTTGTGCCTTCAACAAGAGGGTTCTTCCTAAATTGGCAAGTTATTCAGAAAGAGGAGGGTTGTATGTCACTGCTGACAAATAGCCAATTCTATTGAGGAAACAAACATAAATGGGCATCGCGCATTAATGCGGGCTGACACAAGGGAGGGGAACCAAAACAAGAGGGAACAGCTGCAAGGAACCAAAAACCTTGTAAAATAGATTTCAACCCAAATAAGGAGGGGAAAAGAATAAAGAAGGAAATCAGTTTCTGGGTTACAAACTTTTATTTCCAAGTTCAGCATCCTGTCATTTTCTTTATAAAAAAATTCTTGGCCAACAATAATGCTTGCTTATTCAGCTTACTTCAAATCTCATTCAAATTTCATTTAGGGAGAAATGGTAGTTTTCCTAACTTGAAAAATCCCTTGCAAATTTTTTGTTGTTGGTCCAGTGGAATTTGACTTCAAGAGGTTCAAGTGCAATGATTTTTTTGGAGGCGTCTCAGTAAGTCAGTAGTGACTTTAATATAACAAGATCTTCTTGTTAATGTTTCATGCAGTATTCCATGTGAAGTATCCTCTTTTTTTTTTCGTTGGACTTATGTGTCTGAGAAAGTTTTGGTTTGGCTCGTCCTGGAAGAAGCCAACGTAAGTTTTTCCCAAGAAAAAAAGCAGTGACTTCGTTTTGCATGAGAAACTTCGCATGCTCTGGAATAGACACAGTTCTTTCCTCATATACAGACGTACTCAATCCACAGGAAGCCTTCGTGGACAGACTTTCTGTGTAACTCGAAGCTTAGGGGACATCAGTTGCTGGACGAA